CCTTTGACACTTTTCACACGTGCGTACACATGTACCAACCCATTTGTACAACTTTAGCCACCAATTATGGGTTCTCACCGAGCTGTAGGTCTTCTCACGACCTAAATGGCCACCGAGTGGTGTATCATGGGCCTCATAATGTATCTGATACTTGAGGTCCTCATCACGAGGCACCACAACACGAGGGTGGTCGTCCGACCCTGTACTATAGTGCAACAGACCATAGGTCAGCGCATAACGATGTAATCTCGCCCAATTACGTGGTGACAGCTTCGCCTTAGATTTTACAGACTCTGCGCTACCCAGCGCCTGCAGAATGACAACACATGCCTCATCGCGTGCATAAAATACACGGATATGATCCGTTACTGACGAACTCACAACAGTGAGATGGGCAAGCTCGTAGTCAGGTCTACGCGACAACGCGTCAGCCAAAACATTCTGTTTTCCGGCTTAAACCTCACCTCGAAGTTAGACTTTGCACAAAAGAAGAACCAACGAGCCATTCTCTGCAAGAAATGAGGCGACTGTGTTGCTGTGCGTAACGACGCATGATCGGTATAGATCACAAACGGCTTTAAGCCCAACAGGTGTACTCCTGAACTTAACAAGGGCATACTTCATCGCAAGTAGCTCCTTGTCATGAACTGGATAGTTCTTCTCTGCATCTTTTATCTGGCGAGACTCAAACGCGATGACGCGATCGCGACCCTCAGCGTCAACTTGCAAGAGAGCACTGCCAATGGCATAGTCCGAAGTGTCACATACGACGCTAGACGGACGATCAGGATCAGGTAGAGCCAGAATTGGCGCCTGAAGGAGACTCTCCTTAATGGCTTCAAAAGCCTCGTGGCGCTCGGTGTTCCAACACCATTCCACACCCTTTTTAAGGAGATTCGACAATGGCCTAGCCACTTCCGCATAGTTGTGGCTATATTTGTGCAAGTAATTCGTCAGTCCTAACCACTTGTGGAGGCCCTTTTGGTTCCTCGAAACCGGCCAATCCACTATGGCTTTGACCTTGACAGGGTCTGCCCGGATTCCTCGCTTTCCAATGAAGCATCCCAAACAAGGGAATCTCTTCCGCACCGAAGATGCATTTGTCAATATTGGCATACAACTTATGCATCCTCATGCAACCTAGCACAGCTCGCAGGTGCTCGATGCGATTCTCCACATCAATCTTGCCATTTTCGGCTCGACTATGGACGAATATATCGTCAAAGTATGTCTGTGCATACACCCTATGGAGCCGAAATAACTGCGTCACCAGATGATTGAACGTTTCAGGTTCGTTAGATAGCCCTTAGGGCATCACTAACCACTCCCAGAACATACCGCTAGGAGTGCTGACCGCTGTCAGCGGGAAATCACTAGCTCGCATGAGCAGTTGGTAATATCCATCGACGAAGTCGAGGGCACTGTACTTCGTACATTCCACCATATTGTTCTGAAGAACATCCTTGCGAGGAATCAGTGTTTGAGCCGGAATAGTGGCTGCATTCAGCTTACTGTAAGCATGCACTGTTCGCCTCACCCCATTAAGCTTCCTTACACAAACGTGGGCGTAGAGTGAGGAGGCTTACTATCACGCACCATGCCAGCCGCGTGCTTTGCACGAAAGAACTCGTAAACGACATCACATTGTTCCCGTGGCAGCGGGCAATGTCGCGTCACACAATATTTGGTTCCTGGAACCAAGTCAATTTCATGACGTACACCTCTATCCGGAGGTAACCTCGTCGGAGGTTCTCTGGAGACAACATCTCCAAATTCCTTCAACAAAGGAAAGTAAGGATCCGAAGGGTCCTTCAGGATCTGTGATCCACTACGCGCATTCAGCGCCTTCTTGAGTATCCTCAAGAACTGCTTTATCCAAAAGCGATGAGGAGTTTAACTCCTCCTCAGGTCGTATAACGACCACTTCTGCGATGTTGCCTGCCTGTAAGGCACTGCCAAACTCGGCAAAGGACAACTCGTCCAGCTCTAACAGAGCGCTTACTGCGGGTATAGCCGAAATAGCCACCGGCTCTTCAACATCCCCAGTCAAACCATTGACGAGTGTATATAGCTGTTCGCTATCACCGTCACTCACGATATTATCATCGCTACTCATGATGCTCTCAGCATCCGACGCATCAGCGTCCACAGGTGTACACACCTCAAGGTTAAAGACCACTTCATTTACTGACTGCACCCCACCCTCTTGGGACAATGCCTCGTCATGAGTTGTTTGCACCTCGTTGTCCTCAAAGACGACCGTCATTCTTGACTTCACCCGACCCTCTTGGGCCAGTACCTCGTCACTAGGTGCTTGCACCTTGTTATCCTCAAAGACAACATCTATTTGTGACTTCACCCGACCCTCCAGGGTCAGTACCTCGTCACCCATGTCACTTGGACTCATGTCCTGACATCTTGGCTTGCAGCCACCAACACCACTCACGGTGTTTAATGATGTAACATCATTCTCATGACACATGTCATATGTGCCATCTAGTGGGTTCTCAACCACACTATCGACAGTCATTGGGCCTCGTCCAGGACTATTGTCCTCGACACTTACAGTGTCTACAAAGTCGGATATTCCGACATCCAACATATTGACCGACTCGGTCCAATATCCGCGCCAAAAGCGCTTTTGCTTCCTAGCAGAGGTGGGTTCATGACTCTCCAGAGCCCCACCAGGAGCATTGCGCGTTGCGCCTAAGGTCTTCGACCTCCAATCAATCCATGGCTTATGACGTTCTAGCCATGCCATGCCTAGGATGAGGTCATACCTCGCATCCAGGTCTAAGACCAAACAGCGTTCCATGCTGTTAAAGTCCAAGAACTTTACATTTAAGTACATCGGGACTTTGGGTACCGTAACACGCGTACCCGTCGCTAAGCGAACAGTGACTGTGTGACTTTCACGCGCTACAAGCGCTTCAGCATACTGCTGACTACCTTCCACGGTGGCACGGCGCACATAGTTGCCCGATGCCCCCGAATCGATCAAAATGATCCATGGCTATTCAAAGCCCTTGACCGTCCCTTCAACGACCAGCAAGCCTGGCTTGCATTCTCGTTCCGTTTTGGAGAGTTCGGGCCTCTTTGGGGCTGGGCCCTGTTTATGTTTACCTCTTACAGGTTAAACAGAACTTAATTCTTCCCCAGTAGGGCGCCCCACGACTACTGGGCTCTGCCGCTTCCCCGCGGCAAACCAGAAGGTTTACCCATGGGGCGTCGGCCCTTCGAGGCCAAATATGCCTTTCTTGCAGGGCATTTTGCCATCAAATGGCCTGTGCTCTTGCAGATATAACATCTGCCCACAAATTGCTGCTCCGCAGCATGAAGCTCAGCTTCTTCATCCTCCACTTGACTACAGTCCATGGGTACAGACCTATCAGACGAGTAGTTATAAGTGGCAGGCCTAGCGGCCTTAAAGTTGGTCTCGGCATTCCATGCCACTCCAACAGCTTCCTTGAATGAGGACGGGTTTACCTGGAAAACTTCCGTTCTGGCAACGCCAACTCGGGGGCCATCCATGAAGACCGTGACTGCCTCAGGCATAGGGTCTATGACCATGGCAGCAAGGAGAGTTCTCAACTCTTGTACATATGCCGCAATCTCACGCTTTCTTTGGCGACACGCCAAAAACCGCGACCGATTTCGGTGCGCTTGGTTTGGCGGTGCATACTGCCAGGTCATCTGAACTTTCAGACCGGCCCATGTTAAGAATGCATCTTGCAATAATGCACTACATGTGAACGCACATTGCATAGCTAAATCACCCAACTTACCCGTAGCAAAGCCAACACGGTACGGTTCATAGGTGATGTCGGCTATAAATATAGCCGACTCAACCTGTCGGAACCACAGCATAAGGTTGACACCTTCTTTGCCGTCAAGTTCATCGACTTCCATATGTGTTGGTTTTGGTTTGCGATTTACTTCTTTCACCAAAGTCACCATGGGCGGAGGCGCAGAAGAAGGCATCTGTGCCTTTACATAATCTACGAGAACGGTGTTTACTCTTCAAGCATATGAATACGCTTGTTAACCTCTTCCTTGCTTTAAGCGATGAGTTACTCCACGCCCTTAGGTCCAAGGATAGGAAGCATCTTTTGCAACTCTTCCTGTTGTGCCTGTGACAGGCCAACCACTGACATTTCATTGATGTCCATCCTCGCAAAGAAGGAGTCGCAAACCCAGGTGCGGGATCGACTACAATTGCTACGGAGTGTGTCCAGGCCATTGTAGCCAAGCTGCTTATGCACTGAGTGTAGAGAAAAACAACCTCCGCGAGCTATACATTGTAGTGGTAGGAGCCCTTTAAGGCTAGCTTTATAAGCTCGTGCCTTCTGATTGCAACAATTACGTCTCTATGAGACCGTTGTCACAAATACAACTTCCTTTACAAGATATGCTAAAGCAACACATGCTTATAAAAAGCAAATTTTAGAAAACTAAATTCTCTTTTTTTGATCTCCTGAAACACCTATTCTATACTTCGTGCTAGTCACTATGTTAATTAGCTCTACCGTTTTAATATTTAGATTATATTATAGTACTTAAACAAATTCGTCAATGTGAACCTATTGGACTGTAGGAGTTACACCAAAGAGATTTTGACCCCAACGTATATAAAGTACAGCAACACGAAAATGATGTGGCAGGTGTGTTTGTAAATAGTAACCCCGTTACAATAACGCTACCCTTGACTAAAATATTTGTACGTATATTAAAGTTTTCGATAGAAAATAAAGCTGAAGTTTAAACGGTTAATGAGCAGGAGGGATCTTAATTGAAGGTGAAAAGAGCAATAATAAGCTGGTTAATATCACCACTGACTGGTGTTGAAAATGATGAAGGTTGCCTGTTAAACTCGTTTTATTGGTCTAACGATCACCTTGATGGACCCCTATGTCTCCAAAAGTTGTACTTTCAATCTCTAGTAGCTAGTTGCCAAAACATTCTTTTGTCACACAGGTCTACTCGTTCAGGTATCGCATACAATGGAACTGGATCGTTTTCCAAGCAATGAAGACAAGATCAACTCTGGGATGTGGATTTATGTTTTTTCTGAGGTAACGACGCTACGAAGTGCACTCGCGAGAGCTGCAAAGCCTTAGGTCAAGAAGGTTAGAATTAGTAACTAGCGGATAACTCAGGGAATTCGATCAGGGACATGTGTGTATATATGTGTCAGGTGCATGTAAATAGGTCATGTGAGGTACGTGATGTGACAATATGATAGTGGGTGCACTGCATCTGTTGTACTTACGTGCAATGCGTAGTAATATGCGCAAGGTCAACACCGGGGTCCAAGAAAGGCTTCAGTAACAGGTGTTGAAGATCGGGATGAAGAATCACGATGTGCGGCACGACATGTCACATTAAGTTGGTGTCGGCTGTTTGCATGTGTATAAGAGGATAGTCGAGAGATGAAGGAACTGCAAAGATGGGTGAAGAAGCTTGCAGTTACGAACAGACAGGAAGCGCGTCATCGGAGTGGCGGCGAATGGTAGCGCAGCGACAGTAAGTCGACCTAGTAAGAGCGGCAGATACAGAGACATCGTGTGCGAGATAGCGAGCAGAATAACTAGGACAAAACGGCACAGTTTGAATATCAGTTTCCTTTCTACCTCATCAAGTGCAAGCTCAACATTGGCTAACAACAGGGAGTGAAGAATGTTAGACCTGTTAAAACATTGCAATACAATTATATCATTGTACATTTATGCTTACAAACTTGCGGCACTTTCTCATCGATTATGATCCGCATACAATTTGAAACGTAACACTTAAACGTACCAAACTTTCAAACATACGACACTTTCTCATCTATTATGATTCCATACGATTGGAGTCGTGTGCGGGTCAATTGGTTAAAATCGGATGCGTACCATTTTTTAGATTTCCTGTCCGCGGTCTGGAATTACCTCTTGTCGATACGTTCAATAAAAAGAGAGACCTGCATTACCGTGTTCACATTTATCTCTATCATATCGCATCCAATGTGTTATTAAAACGAAAACTACCTAGCTCTTAATCTTCTAGGCTTGCAATTTCTTCGACAAACCCAGCATTTCTGAAACATCCACTGTCTCCTCTACGCCAACACAATCTGCGTCTGAAGTCAGGCAGTGGGGTGAAAGTGTACAACATCAACGTCGTGAATCCGAGTGGCGACATTGAGGAACTGGTCAAAGGGCCGGCCATTTATCTCGATGATAGCAAGTACGGTTTCTATGGATGCAGTATTTCTGGCTATTAAAACACGCTATGTTCCCGCAAGGGCCTTCAGCTCTATTCTTATTGTTACATCAGTGGCGCCGGCAACTTTGTGATAGGCAAGGATGCGAAAGCGTGGTTTGAGTCTTGCGACATCGATTCCATTGAAAAGGGATGGATCACCGCCAATGGCAACAAAAACTGCTCGAACTCGTCCACTTTCGTCTTTAACCATGCAAATGTGTTTGGATGCAGTGGTGTACACACGACGTACCTCCGTCGTCCATGGTCCCCCTATGCTCGCGTCGTGTGGCAGAATAGCGAGCTGAGTGATGTCGTTAATCCTGCAGGCTGGGATACTTGGAACGGGGACACCGACACGTCTCGCCTATATTTCAAGGAGTACTGCAACAGTGGCCTCGGCGCGGATACGTCCATGAGAGCTAAATTCAGCGACCTGTTATCTGGTCCAGTAGACATCACGGAAATTCTGGGCCAAGATAACAAATCCATGTGGTGGTTTGACTCGACATTTTTGTAAACTTGTGAGCTGCAAATCTGCAATTGCTCAGAACTAAACGAGCTGAGGCTGCTTGGATATCAGTGCAGCTGTGTTGGAACAGTCACTGGTTTGTCTAGGTTACTCTCCCAAGAAGAACATGGTCGACAATTTCCAAATCTGCTTTGTTCTATGCGTACGTATTTTGTTAATGCCTGCATGATTGTGGTTTGCTGTCAAAAGGTCAGTTGTCATCGTCACTATGATCTAAAATAAAAGCGAGCAACATCATAAGGCTGCCAGCTGTAACCATGCGTACAGCCACAGTTGTACACGGCCAATATCCAGTTGTCACAGCAATCACAACTATACTGACTGATACTTAGCACCTTATCAGCATTCATATGTCACCGTTTTTGTTGAATACTATGTGTGTACCGTGTTGAAATGTTGCGGTGGATGGAGCTACCATTGCGTGTCGATCACTCTTTGCAACATAACGTGCAAAACATACATGTCCAACATCCTATAACAAGAAAGATACACGAAGTAGCTGTACTAATTGATTCACAGCAACTTCGTGTCGCTTACTTGCTGTCGTGTTTCCTTTTGATCTAGGAATAGCTATTTTGCCATGAAGTCCACCCCTTCCTGTGTGCAAGGTGCTATGGGATTCCTTCAGACGTAGTAGCATGCGTAGTCAGGTACACATTCCAGTTAAGGTATGTCTACGATGGCAACGTAGATATACTATTTGATATTGCCTCATCACTTACCGCGACACGACTGCTGCCATTATCATGAACATCGCAGTGACCAGGTTTCTCTCCCCACCTTGGCGTCGGTCAACTCGTTAAACGTTGGGTAGATCAAAATCTGCAGCAATCCATGCTGCTGAATGCGCGTGTACATCGGTACAACTCAGCGGAGAATTACGGCTGGTTATGTGTCGACCTGCGTCAGTAGACTCTACGATGGTCTCATCAAAACACAAGCCACTTGTTTTAATGCGTGTTCCGCATTGCCCATCGCAACTGATACAAAAGTAAGCCTGTAATGACGTCCTATAAACCTTTGCTGTCCGCCATTGTCATGAGCTAGCTATATCTCTTTCTTTAACCATTGGTGTCCGCCAAAGTCATGAGCTCGCAAATTCATTTAGGAAAGACTAAGAACAATGCATTTGTTAAGCTTGCCGTAAGGAATCACCGTGTAAAGGCGTCACACTCTTCCACCTCGAGCCGTGACCCTAAAAGTAGCCCAGAACCGCTTGGATTGAATAAAGGGACGCCACCATGCTAATGCCTTCTCTTTGTTGATGCGGTGTGTTGTACAATACCCTATCGTTTCGCGAATACTCAGTCGCAATTAATGGTCTGCTGGTATGATGCCTTCATACCGTATCCACATTTTGTTGCAGCGACATCAACTCCGGCAAACTCAATCTATTTACTGATTGCCAACAAAAACATACTTTGACTTTGCTCTGTCTTGAGTCATCTTTCGACGTTTTAACCGAGGGTGCTGACGGTGCAATGAGCTGCGGCTTGTTACTGCTGGCCCTTGAGAATCGTCGATAGCGTCAATTGGATGCGCGTGTGACCGTCTATGTTATGAAACGCGATGTAGAGTTCAGCAAGTCACCATCCCCTAAAAGGAGACGGAAAGACCTGCATTGAGGCAATTGAAGTTCGCACACATTTTTAAGACTCGGTAAGACTAAAGGACACGTTGCGTCGAGTGCGACTCAACAAGCTGATCGTTTAGTCCACATTGCACGGAAAATACTAAAAATAAGAAGGCACACGTTGCTCAAACCTATACCGAATATATGGTGCCTGCTTGATGCATCGATTTTCTTGGTTGGTATTTCACATGCAGGTCCATCAAATCTCTTTCAATGTGTTTGATTTGTCCAACAAGCAATTAGCTGAAAGATGTCTCACTGTATTGATACTTTGGCGAGCAGGTAACGTGTGTATGCTTTAGTTGTTCTTGTGTGCTTCAAAAGGTCATGTGTTATCGTTAGCTTTACTACACCCAATTGCTACCATTGCTTATAGTTATATAAATGAACAATCGCTCAAAGCGCTGGCGATACTGGCGTCTGCGACTGACTGGGTAAAGCATGAACCTTCTTGTTGTCAATGCACCATGACGATGATGGTGTCATTAATGATTGTAATCATACATCATATCTAGATGGTTCCAGAAGTTGTTAAATCCTGATGTTGATGGAAAAAATAAGAGAAAAAGTCTGATTGTTTTTGATACCAGTGCTGGTCTTCCGTTTACAGTTTAATTGACTAACAAAGTGGTCCATACAACATATAGTAAGGAGGGTGGAATGGACTTGCTCTCGTATAAATTTGTCGGATGCAAATCGAAATCTTACGGCTCCCACCCATTATTGGCGTCTTTGTGTTTGAAATGATACCTTTTTGATTCCATCTTCCTTTAGACCATACAGAATTCAAGTGAATCACTTTGAAGCTTTAAGGTCTTTTCTCTTCCACTTTTTTTTTGACTCAAAATCCCGTAACTGGCCACTCACAATTAGCTTTACTTTGTACGCAACAAGTGTATCTCTCGCTCTCTACCTCACTCTCCCCCCCTCCTCCTCCTTTATTTCTATAGACGTCTTTTGTTTAGCATACGTGTATATACTTACTGCATGCCACAATGGCCCCTCATTTCGGGTACGTACATTACATGACACAAGCAAACATTTGATTAAAACATTCTCCAAAAAGTCTTGGTAACTGATCGTTTCTCGTGTTGTTTTGTTTTGTTTGCAGACAAGAAGCAAATGCGATTGAAGTGAAGCGCTCGAAAAAGTCAATGCAGCAGTCGATGGCGTCCTCGGAGGACGTGATGTTGTATCTGAAGACGAAGCACACACCAGTAGAGGTGCATGTGGATACGGTAAATCCTGACACGTCATCAAATGTACACTCGGCGAAGCATGAGATTAAACACCATTTGGAACAAGATCCCGTGAATGCCGTGACAATCACGTCGTCTCTTGTACGTCGTCGTGAGCACAATTTGCTGCGTCAAATCTCCATGAGGCTTTATTTGAAAGGTAAACACGTGGCCGATGATGTGCTGCGCAATGTAGCGCCCTTTCGTCTTGCAGATGCCGAGGAAGTCTGCGGCGATGCACAATCAAGTTTAGATCATGAAGTTCGCAATTTGAGAAAAACGAGAAAACATTTATGGCTGCCCAAGACGCAAGACGATTCCGTGCTGCGGTCGTCGAAGCCGATTAAGGACGTTGTACGCAAGAAGGACCAGTCAGCAGTCAAGGAGTTTTTCGTTTCTCGTGTGACTGATCCAACTTCATATTTTTACCGCTTTCATTATGACCATCACCGTCATTTAGCTCCTCAGAAGGCGGAAGTGCAGCTAGTGGACATACAATGGCTGAAACCCCATGAGCAAATTGTGAGTTGGGAACGAGTGAATGCATTGAAGACGGCGACGCTATCGTGGGATGCTTACACGGAGCCTTTGCTGGTGGATATAAAAACCGGTGCCATCTTAGACGGTCATCATCGCTACAATGTGGCACTGCAGTTACGTCTTAAACAAGTACCAGCTGTGTTGGTAGACTACTTGGGAGATCAAACGATTCGTGTCGACGTGTGGCCAGGCTGTGGACGATCACAGCTTACGAAGGAAGAGGTGATTGCGATGGCGCTATCGCCCGATGTGTTTCCACCCAAGACGAGCCGTCACAGATTCACCGAAAGTCTGCCTCCTATTTCAATTCCGCTGTCGGTGCTGCGCCAGCCACCTCTTCCGATCGAGGAAGTTACAAAACAAGTGACAACATTGTCAGTACCCAGCAAAAAATTGCAGGCGGGAGCACCGCGAGTGCTGGAGCGCAGACCCAGTCTTCAGCAAATATCCATTCGCCTGATCTGCGGTGCCCAAAACTTGGTAACATCAATGACCAAGAGTCTTTTTCGTGGGCGACTGCGCTATCATGATCGACTTTGTGACTCAACCCAGATGGACTTGATCCGGCGGCCATCCTATGACACGAAGGAGTTTTTTAATGCCATTCGCGAGAATGACCTGACGTCGAGCTTCTGTAGACAGAAGTCTGCGACACTGGAAGACCTTTTGTCGGACGATACGGATCGTCGCCAAAAGTTCTTTTTGACACGAATAACCGATCCGACATCTTACTTTTACAAGTATCACTTTGACGCTCGTCAAAAGCGGCAACCAAAGAGATTGGGTGTGTATCTAGCATCACTACGATGGCTGAAGGCACACGAGCACGTCGTGAGCTGGGACCGCGTTGACGGTCTTCGCCGCGCCACTGTTCATTGGAATGCTTACCTGGAGCCACTGCTTGTAGACAGAGCTACGGGTGCTATCTTGGATGGCCATCATCGTTACAATGTGGGTATCCAGCTAAAGTTGCAGTGTGTGCCAGTCGTATTGGTTGACTACCTCGAGGATGAAATGATAACAGTAGACGTTTGGCCCAAATGCGGCCGCGATTCGCTTACGAAAGAAGAGGTGATTGAGATGTCTCTATCTGACGATCTTTTTCCGCCCAAAACGAGTTGCCACTCGTTCTCAGACGATCTACCTCCTATTTCAGTGCCGCTGGAGCAACTACGTGTGCCTCTGGAGTACAATTACATTCCATTGAAGTTGTAGCAGTATAAAAGTGCGAGCTACGGGTAACGCGTAGCGAAAGAACTTTGCATTCATATGAAGCAATCACTTGAAAGTACCCCATGTATCAGTCACCAGGATAACTAACCCAAGATACCTTTATGACACGCTCTATTAACAACACTCGTATCGTTGACACGGCGAACGAGCGTTCTTTAGTTTTGTTACACTTTGTATTTGATCGCATCATACTTAGCGCCAAATCCAGAGTGAAGAAGATGTAGATGATTGCAAAACAAGAGAGCGTTATAAAGTAAATGAGCGCCGTAATAGAACTTCGTTGCTGTAGAAGACACATACCTGACATGCTTAGTAGAGACAAACCCATTAATGCTAGTAGCGTATATTCAATAGCTGGCAAGAGTTAACCAATTGTTAAAGCAACAGCTACCGTCATGTTCACCGATTTTGTTGTTCAACACGTCTCAAACCCCGTACGGTAACATGAATCAATGCATATCATAGCTGGCCAGAATGCATACAATCAATTGCGATAGCTCTACTGCAGTCAGCTCGACTTCGTAATGCAGTCGCCCTACTTGGACTTCTTCGTCTCCTTGTCGTTGTCGTCCTTCGCGTCCTTTTCGTCGTTTTGCTTATCACTGTCCTCGTCTTCTTCCTCCTCTTCCGAGTACGCAATCAGCTCCTTGAACTCACCCCGGACAAATGCAGTGACTAGTGCAGAGCCCAGACACGCCGGCACCAGATACAGTAACGCTGGCTGTGCAGCATTGAAAATGTTCATGACTGCTACAGTAGCAACAAGACCCAGAACGTAGAAGAGCAGACTCACGTTGAAAAAAGGTTTGGGGAATGACTGGTTGGTGTTGGTCACGTTCGCACGATGTGCATCATACCGTAGTAGCAGCGCGACAAAGATGCCAGGGATCACAATGTCACCAAGTCCCAAGATTGAATTCTGTTGCTTTTCCGTGTCAGTAGCAAATGCACGTGGAAAAATGAGCTTAATCGGTGCCTCAAATGACATGGCTACTGTAACCATAACGTCCGTACCAAAGACCCAAAAGATGTCGTAAAAGAAGAGACCACAGAGTAAGATCGCACCGACTTTGAAACTGCCAAGTGATAGTGACTCAATTCCTTTAATGGAGAGGGAAATGCCAAAGATATTGTTCAGCAAATAATGTTTCGTCTGGAACCAAAGAGCTGCGAATGCTGCTGCAAATAGAAACGTGACGATCCAAGCTTGAGATAATTCAAGCTTATAGAGCCCATAGAATGGTACTTTCATATGATGTCGATAGGTCTTGGAATGTCCGTGAAACAACAAATTCAATACAAATGGACTAAAAGCTTCAGTCAAACTATACGCCCCAACAAGTGCAAAATATCCAGTCAATAAAAGGTTTACCAAATCCTTGTCAAATATTTTAAAAAGAAGATATAATCCAACTAAAACACCCGATCCTAATAGAGGAAACATATAGGCATCTTCGGCTTTCATCACTTCTTCATTCTTTTCACCACTTGCTTCACGTGCGTGTTTTAGTTTTAGTGATAAGGTTGAACCAATATAAACAATACTAGTAGCTGAAGTGATTAGTTGGAATGGAACGGGAATGAGGATAACATGAGACAAAAGCATGAGCGAAATAAGCATCAAGTAACAACCATTTTGGATCGAAGTCATCCTCATGATGATAATCAATAAATGACGTCAGAGGCAACGTTCATTCAGTAAACAGAGTGATGGGTAGTAGTCATTCATGCCACGTGGAGTCAAAAAGGTAAGGTCAGTACATGTCATTCAAGTGAAAGAACACCTGCTAAAGTATTTTTAGCCACTCACATTATCGATCGTATTGGATTGGTGTAAAAGAAACAACATGTAAACTTGTGTTTTTGCACTTGTGCGACATGTTCCATAAACCCTTTGCAAACCAATAGTAACTGAATCTACCAATACTAGCACCCTTCGATGAATTGATTAGGGGGTTTCGAGAACGTTGTGCTCGTGAGAACGACTCTTTGCTACTTGATTGCGAAAGCTCATGTCGTTAGTGCAATCAGACAGGGTCCTTGAGATCGACACCATGAAAAAAATCGGGGCGGTATTTTGAGCCAGGATCATTTCGCGGCTTTATGTGCTGTTTTTTTAGATGGAGTCGGAAGAGTACCGCGACAATACTATCAGTGCTGGCTCGAAATGGTTAGTTATACTCGAATGCTAACGACGACAAAATGTCCAACATTTGTCGCTTTATGCTATCACTTTCACAAGGAGCGAGCTTGTTTACAAAAAGCAACACTAGTATGGATAAATAAAGTTTGATCTCTACAAACTCATTCTTTGCTACTTGCACAAGATGTGTCTTAAAATGCATTCAAGTCACCGACCATGATGGAATGTCTCGCCTATGCAAAGTCGAGTCAGTCATATTCATAATCAGTTTACTGTATGTAGCAGTTGAAAAACGACTGCAATCGCTCAGTCGTTTTTCAACTTATAGACGCATGAATACCACTATCTCATCACCCTACCCCCGTGTTGTCACTTCAAAGTGAAGGAGTTTACCAAAAACTGGCAAACGGCTTTTCTACTTAAACTGTTACTTCACGTGGTTTTATTTTCTTCTAAAAGGCGCAATTTCGTACATAAAACCATCAATTCCCTCGACCAAGTATTATATAAGGAATGATGTGTCGTCGTCATCATCACCGTCTCTCTCTCTCTTTCTCTCTTGTGTATACTCTACTGTATAATAAAAAAGAGTTAAAATCAAAACACTCAAAACCAATTGTGACGATTTTCAAAATATTCATTTAAGAAAATCTCATTTCATAAGAAAGTAAAGTAAACTATTTTCATGAAGGAAGACGAAGAAGAAGAAGAAGAAGAAGTGTGTGTGTATACAAGAACCAAGAAAATAAATGTTTCCTCTATCTCTTCCTCCTCTTCCATCTCTTCCTTCTCCTCGTCGTCCTTTGCAAAAGGTGGGACACCACCATATAAACAACAAGAATATCCCTTAAATGAAGAAAGTAGTGATGAAAATCAAAGTGAAGACTGGGGCATGGACGAGAGCGATTGGCAGATGTCTAGTTTCTCCGACCCAAGTCCACGTTTTTCTCTCATTGCATTTCCATTAAAAGTACGTGATTCTGTCTTTCGTCGAGTGACAAAGAGCGCTATGAAACCTCAAGATAAACGAAACAAGAAACGATCAAGTACGACAGATACGACAAGGACAGTATCATCGACGGCTTCAACACCTCGTGATTCAGTGCTTTACGTGAAGCAACAGGAAGAATATGAAAAAAATGTGGAAAAGTTTCGTCTCTTTTGGAACGAGAAATTACGCAGTACAATGGAAAGACTCGCAACGGGTCGACTCAAGTGTCAGGAGGCCGAGAATAGTGTTTTTCATTTACTACTGAAACTCTATGCCCATCAAGATGTGGTCGACGAATTATACAGGAGCTACGACTTGAATGCTGACGAGTTTGTGTTTTATATCCCACAATTGTGTACATTTTTCATGCATGGTAATTATGCAAAACAGCAGGAGCTAGAATGTTTTCTCATGTCAAGAAGTGGCGAGTCATTGTCATTTGCCCATCGGTTGACATGGTTTTTGAGGTCTTTTTGTGGCAATGCAAAGAAACATCAATTTGAGCATTTTAGTGTAACAGCAGCAGCATCCGAGAGACAGGAGAATCCAGATTTTCTTGATGCAATCGGAAAACGAGCAGGTGTGCCGGCATTGTTGATGAACAGTGGACTTTGTGTAGAGGAGGTGATGGCGACGAATCCCGATAATTTAAAGCGGAGACGGTGTACTGCTTTCCCAACGGATGATGAGCTACAGTTCACAACGTATGAGAGTGATGAATCCTTTGCAGGACACTTGCTCCAGAGAAGAAACTCCGTTCAGGATGAAGCGAGGACAGATGAGGGAAATTCACAGCAGTTTTTGCTTTTCAATCAGACGCCAAAGTTTGTAGAGGCTCTTACAGACCTGGCAGAACAGCTTATTCCCACACCGCTATCTCAGAGAAACAATGAATTGCGCAAAGGGTTAAGTGAAATTGATAAGCAAATGCTGCCCTCCGATGTGATCTACCTTCCGATCGGTAATCCGTATCATCGCATTAAGCGCATTCGCGCAGAAGAGTGCTTCACATTTTCTACAAAGCAGCGCGTGCCGTACTTCCTGTGCGTGGAAGTGTTGGACTACTCAGTCACCCCTCCCTCTGCAGTTTCCAAAAAACAAGTAAAAAAGAAAACGTCAAAAGCGAGTCGTAATCAGACACGAGTCTTTTCTTTGAAATTACCGTTCAAGAAGGCTGACGCCGATTTGGTGGCAGCAGTACATGACACTCCCATGTCGAGCAGTACTTCACCAGAAAGTGATCTGAGCTCAGTGTCGTCGCCAAGTGCTTCTTCTGCGCTGTCAGAAACAGCAGACGAAAGATGCCCAACATCTTCACCGTCGTCGGCTTCTTTACAGGATGTCGATGATGAAGTAGTACTGATTGGGAATCGGATGGACAGTGAGGACGGCGATGACGAAAAGGAAGAAGGTGAACACCAAAAGAGTTTTCGCGAGGGCGACGATTTTCGAAGAGCTGAAGAAGATCAACAGAAACGACTGGGTCAATGGAACTTGCCAAGATCTCAACGACGCAAAGAGTGTTCTTACAGCGCATTAGCTTGCTCAGGAGGACAGTTTGAAAGCTTTTACTCGTCCTGGGCTTCGAATAAGGCACACCAAAGTACCGATGAAGACGGACATGTTCCGCCTGTGTTTGAGCCAACAAAGGGTAGCGATGCTGCTGAAAAGGGCGTTGCTGTTCGTTTGATGAAGCATGAAGAACCTGCAATTATTACAGAGGTTGTTGCTGGTGTTGGTGATGGGAAAGTGGAGACTTGCGACCTTCATGAGGAATTGTCTGCTCAGTCGACTTCGTTAGTAAGTGACTCCGTAGCTGTGTCCACCACTGAAGGAAGCTTGCTGATACCATTATTCGAAAAAGTGACTTTGGAAGACACTGCTCAAGATTCTGTGGCGAGTATAAGCCAGCCTAATGCTCAACCAAGTACCAATGAGAAGGGTGCATGGAATGGTGTTGAACCTGTCAAGAGTAATGCGTCAAAAGGCATGGGTGCTGAGAGGATTTTTCTTTTTTCTTTAGCAGCACAAGCCCCAGGTCCCTTTTCAACCTTGTTATTGAATAATTCTATGGACAATCTACGTCCTTCAAGCTTAGAAGAAATGCTGGCCTTGGTCAAGAAAGAAATAAAGCAAGGGGCGACAACAACAGCAACAAATGACGGAGAAGGTAACGCAGCCGTCACAATCACGCCTGTGTGCAGTTCTGCGTCTATTGTCGCGAAAAAGTCAAAAGTTGCTGTCGTATCGTCTGATAGTACCTCAGAACCGGCATGGTCGCTTCATTCAGGTGAAGAGGGATTGTTGAATGAGATTGATGCTGCAGGTGTGGATGAAGAGGAGTCAGAGCCGATGGAGGCGCTTCCGTCTGATACTGATTTTATCGACAGAGCTTCAGCATCGCTAATTGAGATGAGTGAAGGTGGTGCAACCGACGACGCGATAGCTGAGGATGCAGACGGTGAGGACACGGACTCGAATGATGGGTGTGTTTGGGATGACGAAGAAGCTTCGCGCGAACCGGAGCCTTTGCCTGCAAAGAAGTCCACTCTAAAGCCGTTTTCTTTCGTAATGTGGTTCTATCGAAAATCTGTAACCGGATTTGCAGGGCAAAAACCTGCTAAAAGACTGGAGGGTGCTCCAGCTCTCATAGAGAGTGCGACTGCATTGTCTGAAACTGTTAATCCAGCTGTTGATACTTCAGAACTCTCCGCATCTGTCGTTAAAGGCACAAACGTACGAAAGAGCGAGACTCATTTCCAACAAAGACGCCGTGATTTGAGCATTAGCATCGACTTTGCTGACCCGACGGCGTGGAAGGAAAAATTTGATCTGGGTGATGGCCTTACTGAGGAGGATCCAGATGTAGACGCTGTTGATACCGGTAGTGTGGACGACGATAATGAGGTGGAGGACGCACCATTAAATGAGGAGGAGGACGAAAAGCCAATGATTGTATTTCGCGAGCGTTGGAGCGAGAAGGAAGCGCGTATTCGTAGCGAATCACCGTATGGCGACCACCCTGGTTGGCGACTTCTTCCTGTTATTGTAAAGAGCAACGACGATTTGCGTCAGGAGCAGTTTGCGGCGCAGCTGATTGCCCAGTGCGATCGGATATTTCGAGAGTACTCACTTCCTCTTTTGCTGAGGTAAGTTTGCTTGTTTGGTATGCTCTTATTTAGTAAATACTTGTTACTAATGTTGCAATGTTGCGCATGAACCATCTACCAGACCGTATAACGTAATTGCTACATCAGCTAAGACTGGACTCATTGAGGCCGTTCCAGACACTGTTTCTCTGGATTCATTGAAGCGAAATGACCCCAGTTACACCACGCTCCTGTAAGTCACTAACAATTCTTTTGTGGTCGTTACTCGTACTAATGCACATTTACAGGGATTTCTACGTTCGTCTTCACGGCAACAAGGGTACTGCTGGGTTTGCTCGAGCCCAGAAAAACTTTGTGGAGAGTCTTGCGGCCTACTCTATGGTCTGCTATGTATTCCAGATTAAAGACCGCCACAATGGCAATATCCTAGTGGACACTGATGGACATGTGATCCACATTGACTTTGGCTTCTTGCTCACGAATAGTCCTGGCAGTAACTGGAACTTTGAGCGAGCCCCATTCAAGCTCACGGATGAATTCGTAGAGCTTATGGGTGGGGCCCGTAGCTCAACATTCCGCTATTTCCGGTCGCTCTGTATCCGTGCATTTCTGGCACTACGTCGAAACATGGACCAGATTGTGCTGCTTGTAGAGATGATGCTTGTGGAGAACGCCGACCTGCCATGTTTTGCTGGCGGGAAGAGGACAGTGATTGAGGGCCTTCGTGCACGTCTCAAATCGGGCGCACCTACGAGCACATGTCAAGTGTTTGTAAACCAGCTGGTCGACCAATCCATCAACAATTGGCGAACGCGCTGGTATGACAAGTATCAACGAGCTTGTCTCGGGATTCTGTAGGTAGTGTTACGCTCAATAACGACGTCTCCATTTTTGATTAGGATACCTTGATATAGTTCTGCTTACAAATGACGAGAACGACACGAGTTTGAACTGTAGCAACGCAAACTTGAGGCAAAGTTGTCCACCCTTTTGTCGTATCAAAGTACTACTTCACACGAAGTTCTTCTACGTGACGTGTTTATAGCTCTTGGCTCGAATAGAACCAATCTATCAATTTACACCTTTCACAAGTATTTTTTCTGAAGGTGAGCAAGTATCTACTCTCTGGTCTTTTCGAATCGTACAAGACTCGTCATCATTGTCTTGCTGGCCATCATGAGGTGAGGAATCAAAGTCCAACTTGTCGATAATATCCCGTGGGTCTGATGTCGGAATCAAGAAGAGAAAAAAGATTGGTACCACTTTCAGCACGCTGCGCACCACAATGGCCGTCCCCAACATATCGTATTCGTCCTTGGCAATACCCATCCAGTCACAGAGAATAGCGCCCCAAAACTCACTAACACTGTTTGAAATGTTCGAAATGAACATGAGCAATGCAAACAGCGTGCCCTCGATTCCTCTAGGGCACAGCTTTGCACAGAGAACCATTATAGGCATGGTTTTCAACCGACCAATTACGTCTGCAACCACGTGGTCACCAAGCACAAAAGCCTTGTCTGGAATGCCGAGCTTAAGATTCGTACGCGTCATCAAGACGACGTCTAGTAGTGAGATAAAAGCCAGGGAGAGCTGTGCAACTAGGAAAATTCGGCGAAATGACACGTTCGTGAAGAATGTGCTGTACAGCATTGTCCCTACCATTAGAAAAATAAAGCCAATAGCGGATACAGTTCCTAGAAATTCGGGAGTAAAGTGCAGCACGTCGGTCAAAAAGTAAAAGAGAATCTGCGTATTCGCTGGACTAATAGCATGTGAGATAAACACCCATAATGCACACATCCAAGCTACAGGGGTACAAATGGCGATCTTGAGCTGTTGGAGTTGCATTGTCGCTGAGGATACATATTGACGTTTGCTCAGTGTACTCTTTGATTCTTCTAGAAACATGGAAAACAATAACGTCGTAAGTAGACCCAGAGCTGAAATTCCAAAAGCTCCACACCACCCAAGTTGTCTATCGCCGTACCAGATAGAAAAGCACCAAGCATACCACCCAGTGATGTTGCAATCCACGACACGGACTGTAAATCATTTGCACCCTTTTGGGGATCAAGTCTTGATATTTCCACAACTTGTGCATCAATGACGACATCAATTACAGCCGTGGATAGATTTTTCCGTTACAAGCACAGATACAGTGACTGTCGAGGTTGTCACAAGATGAGGTATTGCTAATATCATTGCCGTTAGTGTTCCCGAGATACTAGATAGTATCATAGAAGACTTGCGATGATAGCCAAATAATGGTAATCTATCAGAAAGAATGCCATAGACGGCATGGAATTTTTATCAAGAGATGAAGAAGTTGGGACTCCATTGGCTGCAACTGTAAATTCTCTTTGAGAAAGTAGTTTACAGCTAATGCTGTCAAACTGGCAAACTTTTGTACAATGTCTACAACCGTAAGCAACACTAGAAGCCACGTTCCAAAGGTTTGACGTAAATGGTGCATCCAATGGATCAATTGTTAAGATCTTGATCCTTGCATAGTCTTGTGACGTTCATCTTGAGAATGACGTTTGGGGTTGATGGAGTCTTTCGGTGAGATAATGTTATGATTGTTAGTAGTAGTAGTAGTATTGTTAGTAGTAGTATCTGATGGTAAAGATGAAAGCTCAATGAATTGAAGTGTCATTGTTATGATGCGTTTTGAATGAAAAAGTAGTCACAAGATGGAATTGTTGTATTGAAAAAAACACAAAGTTTTGTTACTACTACATATGTTATTACTACTACTACTGCTACTACTTCACAAGCTACATATGATGTTACTACAATGTCGTTGTGTCATGAAATGTTTGCTCCATGTGGTGCCTTGTCCCAACTGATTCTTATGTCGAAAGGTTAGAATCGAATTTAAGTGAATAACTGCCTTGTTGAAAAAGAGTCCAGAAACAACTTGGTCAAAAAACCTTAAAAAAAACCCTTTCTTGTCGAATAAAATCAAAAAAAACTCGTTCATTTGAATACGCAAAAAAAAAAAACCCTTCCATCGTAATAAATAAACAAAAATAAGAATTAAATAAAACTCAAGCTAAGGAATAGTTCCTATATATATTATCATCATCATGGCTTCAATTGCTGCTTCTCTAGGTAAGAACGTTCTCCCCCTTCTTCTTCTTCTTCTTCTTCTTCTTCTTCTTCTTTTCTCCCGTGTCTTCCTTTTGTTTTTAATATCCTTGTCTTCTTTACTCTATGTAGTTTGTACGAATGGACTCAAGAAACGATCTCGATTGAATGAATCATTTGATCTCTCAAGAAAGAAACGTCAACGTTGTGTAGGTGAGAATACTACGACAAGTGCGACTGAAGATACAATCGATGAGAGTGATGTGGTCAAGTCTTGTCAACGACATGTGGCATACTTTGAACAAAATGTGAAACAAGCTGAAATAGCTCGAATGAAGACCGAGTATGATCATTTTCTGATGAAGAAAGAGGTGGAATTTCAACAACTTGGTCAAGAATTACAACAAACACAAGATCGTATGATGCATCAAGCGAATGAGTTGATGCGACTTCAAGGAGAAAACAAATTATTGAAACGTGCGGTTGCGATTCAAAATCAACAAAAGGACGAAGTGCAGCAGGAGAATAAAACATTGAAACAATTGACAACACAAGCTGCAGAACATATCAAACGTCTTGAACAGGCTAATTATACGCTTCGAGTTCATCTTCAGACTAGCACAAATGCAACGATTGGGTATCGTCAACCACCTGATGTGTACTAGGCTATATTTCATGCTGGCTAGAGGAGACAACCAGATTTGTGCTGACGAGAAAAATAAGCTACGAGTTAATGGACTGGTGTTGCAAGAAATGGAGGCTTTGGTACTAAAAACGAGCGACAAACAATAATCTTCTGTTGGGTGCTTTAGCTTTTGTCTCTATCGATTCATTCCTTGCGTCTTTACGTTGTCATTCATGTTTTAGTGTTAATGTTTCAAGAGACACAAGATGGTGAACCAAAGCACAAGCCAGTGGAGGCAAAAGTACCAAGTAAAAGTGCGCTACATTGGTCACTTCCATGAACGCCGATGACTTTTGAAAATCAAGCTACGATCTGTAGAGATCTGACGCAGGAATGCAGTGAGCTTGAGGCGCTCTTTACATTATGATGCATACAAACTCGCGAAAATGCATTTGCCGTATGCTAATGCACTTCCATTACATTTTTCTGCCTTCCTCGTACATCGTTGTTTTGTAGCCAGGTCTAGCACGACGTCTTATTCGCTTTTGGTACCAGTAGGCAAGTGCGGCTCGTCCCCTTTCTGGTAGTCCTGGGCAAGTTGGGACGCAGACGCAGCTCGTGCGCATGCAATATTCTGGAAACCAAGCACTGCACGAAGCCCGGCACGAAAGGTAAAAGCCACAAGCAGTATGATCATCAGTGCAATCCAAACAGCAACTTGTCGGCGCTCCTGTGCGGTATTGTACTCGTCAATGTGTGCGTAACGGTTCTTGAGGTGATACGGCAGCTCAAACTGCGAGCGCTTGGGCCAAATGGACAGAAAGAGCTCGTGCAGGATCTGGCTCACCGCTGTCGACGGGAACCTCATGTCGTCATTAATGCAAACGAACTTGGTGCGTCGAGCACGTGTGCCCATCATCTGCTTCCACGCAAAGCTGTAATCGTCGCTCAGCATGTGGAACGTCACCTCAATTTCAGGCATCAGCTCCACCTTCGATTCGTACCGTACATTTCTGATTAAAGCATCGCGTATCTTAGGGCATTGCTCAAGATTTTCTAGCGTAATATGCGGTGTCAGTGTCTCACTAAGTCTCAGCGTACCCTCGGCCGTTGGGATCTCACGCACCTTCACGCGCTTTTCTGACTGTATGCACTCACGCACTTCTGTCACAAAATTTGCAGGGGGTGCATCTCCGTGTGCAAGACTAGCGGCAGTCAACACCTCGTTCTCATCCAGAATACCATTCAGGTTGACATCCAAGTACTCACGCCAGATCTCTTCCAGCGTGTGTGGGTGAATCTTTGCGCGATTGATCAAATAATGGAAGTACGAAAAGCTGAATTGCATATCTTGCGGGTGGCGAAAGCGATGTGCCGACGTATCGTGAACTTCCTTTGTCCAATAGTCCTTAATTTCACGAATGATCGACTTCTGCAGCAAGAATGGCATGTGTGATGGTACACGGCGTCGGCCTGGTGTCTTGGGTTTGCCAAAAACACGATTGTACAGTTGGTTTACATAACGTAGCGAATCTCCGAAGGTGTCCACGGACAGCTGAGCCTGCACGTTTGTCTCAGACTTCTCCTCAGCTGCGACAGGTAATCGGCTGCAGACGTCCGCGTACTCAATGTACTCCAAGCTGTCATCATCTGCAGGCATCACAGGCCCAAAACCGACTGCAAGGCTGATGCTTCGGATATAACGGACCAATCTGCCGAGAAGTCCATCACTGGCTCGAGCCTCATGTTCCTTGAGTTCACGCTGCGCCAAGCGCCGTTTCTGAGCTTCGCACGCAAGTTGACGGCCTTCTTCTTCTTGCTGTTGTCGTAAGTCCACCTTCGTTTCATCCTTGACAGGCAAGCGTAGGACAGGTATTTCATTCGGGTAGCAAATTTGAGGCTGGATTCCAATGAACCGTGTAGCGGTATCAATGCATCCGCCTGACAGCTCAATCAAAGCCGGATTATCTTCCATGTAAGGTGTATAGATCACCTTCGGTTTGGGCGGATGCAGCAAAGCCCAAATTGTTGGCTTGTGCACCAACTCCACTTCTTCCGAGTGGAAGTATCCCATGGCTAAACCAAAGCAGTAACGGTAACGTGTTGGGTCATCACGACCTGTGTCATAAAAGCATATTTGTCCGTCGGCCACCTGCGGACTTATCTTCCAACCGTCCATTGACTTGTCCATATCGCTGTTGGTTGAAGCAGCAGCATTGCGAGTGCTACTAATTTCCACGGCTTGAGGTGCGTCTGTCTTAATGTCCTCACCGTCAAGCCCGCTATCGGTCGCAGCTGCCGAGAATACGGTGTATGCACGGTCTGGGAGCACCTGGAAAGTGACAAAGACGCCACTCTGCTCTTCATTAAGACGGCATTTGGCGATCCCGTCATCTGTTTCCAAGTCTTCTGCTCCCGTATCCTCGTCCAACCCTCCTTCACTATGTTCACCGTTCTGCTTTGCATTTTTCTGCTCAAAGGCATTCTCATCATTCATCATTTCAATGGCAGTGCCAATAATTGGAACAACATCATTGTCAGTGTTTGTCCAATCAATTGAATAACCGTGTTTGCTACCACCGACCGCAGCCTTTCTGCTAGTTTTCTGACTATACACGGCAGCAGAAGCCGTAGTTGATACCTCTGGCTTCTTCGGGACCTGAACTTGACAAATGTCGTGTTCACTCCAGTCAATATCCTTCTCTTCGTTGTGTAGACGCAAATCCACGTGCCAGCCAAGGTTAACAATATCTCCATCACCAAGTTTTTTCCCAGAGGTATCGAATGGTAGGAAAATCTCTAGCAGCGGCACGTTGCTAGAGAACTTGTCAGCGGCCGTAGCATGTTTGTCTTCAATCGACAAGTTTGGAAAGGCCTTCTCATTCTCTAATATTGTTGTGACGTGCTCCATGTCCTTGGTGTCGGGCGGAAACACCATACGAAAGGCAACTTGCCGAAAACCAAAAGGTAGACGTATACGAGGTGGCTGGATGCTGGTATTCTGGAAAGTAAACACTCCTCCAAGATTTGCTCGAGCGTAACTCACTTGCGCAGGGCCAAGAGACTCCTCAATCTGATCATTTCCTCGCACTATTGAGAACTCCAGGCAAACATAATTTCCTTCCGCATCCTCACCGACAACAGATATCTGAGCGCTGCTTGTCATTGGGTTCGCGTCTCTGTCGCGGCCAAACACAAGCAACAAAACCAGCTCCGCCTCGTGCACTGATGCGAATCGAATCAATATTTCATTGTCATGTGCAGCAGTCCAGATACTACCGTTAACACCAAACGCATCTGTAAGGTTCAGGTACGTAGCATTTACATTCAACGGCACCTTCACGAGCGTATGGTTTGCCGCCACATCCGCCGACCAAAGTTCCTTTACAAATGGTGATAATTCATCGTCTTTCCCTTCCTCATCTTCCTCATCGTCATCATCATCATCGTCAGGAGTCACAGTGCGGGAGTATTGATTGTACACTGGTTTCGCCGCTTTGCAATCCCCTCCATCAAACGCACAGGAACTGACATTGCAGGCAATATCACACACTCCGTTCCCCAGCCATTGATAATTACACACTCCTTGACACAAATGGTCACCAAGTTTCACGGGTTTTGGTAAATGTTCCAAAATCGTAGCAACCTTTTCTGCATCACACGTCAGCGCTCCATCCAGTGGATTAACGTCACAGCCACAGTCGCCCATATCAAAATCACATGCCGTGACATTGCACTCCTTGTCACACCTTCCATTAGCAAGACTTGTCTCAAAGCATCTATCAGCACAAAGTGGAACCTCCCATGCAAGATAGACTTTTTGCACACCTGCTTGGCTTACAAAATCTTCCGGTCTTACAGGCGAGCCCAAGAACACGTCATCATTAAAGTAAAGAAACATATCACTCAGTCCTGGAATATTATCTAAATTCCATTCAATAGCAGGGGAAGAAAAAACTGGCAAATGACTCTTGTTTAAGAAAATCGTCTCATGCTTGACGATACTAATTTTCGGTGATTCAATATCAAGCCACGATGGAATTTGTCCATCGGTTACCACGTAAACATGACGTATCCAAGGTGCATATTTCTCCAATGAACGCAGAGAATAACGTAATTCCTCATTATCACGAAATCGATTGTCCGAGTTCGAATCATCCTTTCCTCGTATATTCTCGATATCTTCTTGTCCCCATACGGGCAAGGGTTGACCCGTAAGTGATGCAATCCAATGTTTATGCCAAAATACTTTTTCTTTCTTCCATCGTGGATCTGTGCCATTAACCCATGTGTATACAACATCAATGGGCCCATACGATAAGAAATCCATGGACTTGACATGACCAATATTATTGTAGTCTAGAGGTTCCCAATCACTTAGTAAAAAAGTCAAACATGTAGCTAAGACACCTGCAAAGAAGATAAAAGGTAGAAAATAGCTGTAACAAGGACGTGAATGTCGTGAATCAAGCTCCAAGGCAGTAGACCGACCTTGCGGAGCGGTCGCCATTCTCGAATTTACTCCTTTTTTTATACTAACGAAATGATTCGGAATTAAATGAAGTATACGAATTGACTCTGGTGTATACTGTCTGAATTACTGGTAATGTACCAGTAAGAGCAGTATATCGAAGGGTTTTTTATGTTTTTTTATGTTTTTTATGTTTGTTTACGTATGTAGTAAAACTGACACTAAGGATCTTTGGGTCGAGGTACAGGCTTGAGTTCAAAGTCATTAAGAGCCAATTTGGCAGTCATTTTCTAAGAAGAATAGTAATGATAATAATAAGAATAATCAGAATACCAATGCTGTTAGTTTAGTACAAGCACTAATGACAACGAACAAAACAAAACCCACCCTATGCTCCTCTTCTAAATTAAAGTTATGCTCCGATTGACTTTTAATCAAGTGATCTCTTGCCTCATACTTGCCACCAACAAACTACAAAATAACATTAAGGAAGAAAAAAATAACACTTGAATAATTGCCATCTACTCGATAGTATTTACGAAAGATGATTTTGTCACGAGACAGAGAGCTATTTACCTGGGTTAGCGCCACATACCCACCAACAATAAAGAGCACAAGGGGAAGACCTGCTGTCATGAAGTAATTTTTCTTCTTCTTGTGTTGTTTTAACCGCATTAATGTCAGTTTCTCGTGTTTGGTCGACGCACATGTTAATACGGAACGAAACATTGCCAAATGTGCCTGCCACTGGATAAGAAGATGCCAATTCTTTGGGAGATTATTGACCAATCACAGCACGTCGTACTTGTTGTAAAGTGAACGAATACCAGTCATTCATTCATTCATGCATGGCACGCGTGACAACGAAGCAGTATTTTACCCTTTTCAGTGCAACAATGGGCTCACTTTTTGCAGGATCTAGTATCATGCATGCAATTCTGAAACCTGATCTAGTAATATTTGGATGCAAAATTGTTCGTTGCTATATTGTGGAATGTACTGATACTGTCTGCACCTTGTTTGATTATCAGACCATCCCAAACCTTACCAATGACAGGACGAAATCATTGAAAAATCAGTAGCAACTTGGTTTTATACGACACCCAAGAACAAATGTTGTGGGCTTTTAAATAAAAACGTACGTGGTGTTGGAGTGTATTTCGTGGCTTCGCGGTGTCTTTTATTGTTTGACCTCTCTGATTAATTGCCTAAAGTAGCAGCATTAATTTTATGTTGCAGCATGCAAGTAACTACGTTGTTGTTGAGATAAAGTCCAAAATAACCTCCGAGACAGCAATGATAGTAAAGTACATGAAAAAGAGTTTTATTATAAGGAAACAACCCCGTTAAGGCTACCGATACCATACCTCCCCATCTTACAATCGTCAAAGCTCAAGGGTTAGGCACACATTCATCCAGGTGTGAACATTCATGAAACATAATCTTTGTAGGCTGCCTTCATCTCTTTCACCTCGTCGCCGTTGATGTCGGCATCCATGTGCTTCCATTTGTTAGATCTATCAGCATACATAAACTCAATAAATGAGTCTTCTAAAGACCTCTAAAAAATCGCCTTCCTGAAAAGGGCTTCGTTCAGCTCATTTAGTAGCTGAGATTGACCTCGCAATAAACTTGTTTTTTTGCGAAACGAGTGCAACGCAGCATAACATCCCATTTCTTGAAAATTTGGGTTAATGCTTCCACGAGTTCCCCATACAAGACTGAAGACTTTTCAACCTTGATGTATGTAAGAAAGTAATCATGGGCCTACATAGAAAACACGTCACCCGCTAAAAAGGATTTGATAGACTTCGGCTTATTTTGTCCAAAATATGAAGCAAATCGTGCGCAGTTCCACCGCTCACATCCCACAAATAGAGTTTAATTCCTTTTGCGCTTCTCAAAACAGAAGATTTCACGAAATCTAAATAATTTTTGGCAGTTGTCGAAAGGGCAGACACTCGCAATGAATCCACGTCATGGTGAGTCTTTGCAAGGAGGGGCTGCAGGATGGGCTTTTCCAATTCTTGACGCCTATTCTCGCTTCAAAATCCTCGTTCGTAACACCTTAAGGAATGCTTCGACGAAACACTCTCTTTAGGTGCATTGAGCATGCTAAATCCGTATGAATTGTTGATTGCGTCTCGGTGGCAGCTACGCTTGTAGCTAAGCAAAATCTGAAGAGGGTGGCAAAAGCCAACACCTTGCATTTAAACTTAAGCTGGGTTTATTTGGTAAAACGAATTGTGTTGGATGGACGGACATCTTGAGGTCTGCACATGTTTGGTGATAACATAGGTTAACAAATCAAGAAAAAAAAGACTGTCTTTACTGATCTTCTTGGGATCGAGTAAAGTATAGGTTTATCAAGTGTATTTCAACAGACGACATTCGTCTGTTGTTAATGTCGTCTTAACGAATGTCGTCTGTTGTTAATATCGTCTGTTGTTATACTTGGCCTTCAAACGATACGCGCGACGTTCGCGTATGACGACTGAGCGATAGACAATCGACGATGGAGTTTCTGGGTGCGTACAAATATTCCTGCCTTTACACTTGCAAGCTCAAAATAATGGTATACAAAATATCATACAGGTAGAAATCGCTTTGCTGTAGGTCTTGAGTTTAGATTGTTAAGCCAGCTGAACGCATGCTGGCCTACATCAGACTTTGAGCCAATGCATGATTCTCACATCGTCGAAAATACAAAAGGACGACTGCCATGTGTTTCTGTACCTGTAGGCAGAAAAAGGTGAAAAAAAACAAAACGATCAACTGCTACTGAGTTGCTGGGTATCGGAGACTTCCGTGCAACGCCATACAACACTCGATGATTGCTGCTCAAAGCGTTCGTTTCCACCAGCACTTTTATTCTGTACTCTCTTTTTCGTTGACGCTCTTTATGCCATGGAAACATTTGGAAAACCTTCCACTCCATTATGCCATTCATTTATGTGCAGACACCAGCGGCCTGTGTATGTCAATGGCGACTTTATCCCTATGCTTACGATGTGATGATATCTGTCGCAATAACGCATCGCTTTCCTTTTCCCAGGAGCTCGTCGACGCGCCAGCATTCTGCGCATCCTTTTCTCGCTTGCGTTTGACAACATCGAGAACTTGATCGTACAGTCGGTAGCTTCATCGGTTGAGATTCTGGTTCAACTACTTTCTTCTACCCGACCCAGCAGCTGTGCTTCTTCTGAAAAAAAGACCTGTCGTGCCGCGACTACGGGTAATTGGTGCAGCATCGCATTGAACTGAATCATGTTTTATCGGCATACTTTCTTCTTCAAATTGACTCTGTTGTTGACGGCTACTTTTATTTAGCTTGTCCTGCTGAGGCTTTATCTTGTCATGCTGGTTATTAACTCGTTGACCAAAGCCAGAATGGTGTTGCTGAAAAGCTTCTGCTAATGACACTTCTCCTTCACCTTGATCTATATCGCTATCTCGTTGATTCCGTTTGGGTGCTGGTGACTGGCTCCTGTTACGTAAGCTTGGTGAAGACGGTGGCAACTGTGTAATGAACCGCTTGCTGTCGGCAAATGTGAAACGACGCGCCGCTTTTTCTGATCTAGTTCTTCGTGTACATCCAGCCACTCTGCTTACATTGCAATTCTCGCTCTGGAAACTGACATGAGAGGAGTGCTGTAAATCGCAGTCACGCGCTAAATGATTCATAGTTTTAAACCAACGTGCGTGCTGCTCCTCAGCAAGGGAAACACTTACGTCTTGGTCCGAGCATGGAATGCTCCTAGAGGAAGAAATCGAGGACACTGACGAAGCCGACCAGGTCATTGGTGCTGGTGGTACTGTCATATTCTTTACTCTATTGGTCATTGGTGCTGGTAATACGTTCGTATTCTTTTCTTCGTAGGTCATTGCAGGCAACCAAAGCTGCAGCGGCAAGGACTGTTCGACAGCCGAAGTCTTTTTGATGTGATGGTCGAAGTTAATGTCCATTGACATGCTTGAACTAGATGCAAAACTTTGTTCAGAGGCATTTTGTTGCTTGTCCATTTTGTCATCGGATGGATATTCCTGAGCAGATAGATTGTGCAGACCATCTGCACTGCTGGAAGTAACTCGTGCTTTGTCACCAGCATTGCGTCTCCGAGTAGCATCAACTGCAATGTTCAGTTGGGCAGTAGATCCGAGGCTAGAAACACTAGCCTCGCTAGAGATTTCAGACATGGCATCTTGCTCCTTATGATCACTTGTTTGAGGGCTGTTCCCAAATCGTCGACTGCTATTGGACCCCGCGGCCACAGTCTCCAATTGTCTATTTTGTCCATCCACTTCGGGTTGTTGCGCTGGTAATCGTTTCACCGAAGTGTTGAAACTCGTTGCACCAAGTTCAGAACTGGAATAGTCTAAGTAATTTCGTCGCGTGAGCTTTCTCTTGTCAACGGAAGTTGTTAGACATTTGCTTTTTTGTTTGCAAAGTCGTACTTGCTAAAACCTGACGTTGTGAATGGTCAGTTTTAGCAACCTGGTGCTTCTCGTAAACCAGGCGTTGCCCACTCTTCTCACAAGAAAGACATTGCGCTGATGTTAACATTCTACGCATATTTGGTTCCACGAACCGGATGTTGTACTCCTCAACTGTTTCGTTATCCTTGTCAAAAGATTGTGGCGATGACGTTAAATTGTGTTTGGGAAACATCGGCACCAGTTCATTCACGAAGCTATCATCCTGGCCAAGGTCTAATCGATCGAAGCTTTCGTCGAACGAGCTCTGCGTGTCCGACGATGGTAAAGAGTACTGCGCAACCGAGACAGCTGAAGTGCTACTTCTCCGAGCCTTGTACCAAATGCGTTGGCAGTACGACCCACGAGGATCACTGAAATGAACGGAAGAGTGCGCCCTGTTGAAACCAACAGGTGGACCCTGATATTCAGCCTCAGCATCTCTTTCGTATTCACTGAAACCCTCAGACTTCGAACAATACATCGTGTACTGATCGACACAATGTTGCTCCGGAGACCCTTCCCTATCATTATCCATTTCAGCAAGATGCGATAAAGATTCCCAGCTAGAAGCTGAAAACGAGTCAAACATTGACAGCCAACCGTCTTTGTTAATAGACACGTCGCGATAGCTAGTACTATCGAAGACTCGACCCTTCTTGCAAAATTTGCCGTTGTCATCATCACGACTCGCGTATAAATCTGGTGACAAAAACTCAGCACCTTCAATCAGCGATGCGTCAACAGGTTCTGTAGCCGAAGCGTAGCGTGGCACTAAGTGATCCGTTGCTGTTTCTTCAACTGAAGGCGTAAACAAGCGCTTTTTACCGATATCTGGCGTGCGCTCAAGTACCCTCGCGTCGACTTCATCTCCATCCAAGCTCTTTGGTGAGATATTTGACTCATGGGGAGCAGAGTGATTTGCTCGTACATCATACAATTGATGCTCTGTGCTATCCACAAGTAATTTTGACTCCACATTTTCGATCGACGTCGCAGTCGAAGATGCTCCCGACAGATACTCGGCACTGGAGTTCAATTTGACGGGTTTGTCCCCGACCTTTTGGAGCCGCGCTATTGAAGTAGAATTATTGCCAACTACATCAAGGTGAGACACTTTTTTGTTGTTAGAAGTACTGGATGATTTGGAATATGAGCGCTGTTCTTTGTCAGCAGCTCCTACGTAATCATCACCAAAACACGTCTTTTTGTAAAAGCCCTCGGCGACAGAAGGGTTTGGCAATGAATTTGACGATAAACATTGACCACTCTCAGCAAGTGGTTGAGCGACAACAACACTGCCCAGCTCTTGTTTTCGTGTAGGGCTTTCTTGAATGAACGATTGTAATGAGCATTGTGCGCTGGAGTCGATTTCTTCTTTGTTGCCTTCAGGTCGCTCCGATGTGTTACAGTCATAGTGGGGTCGCCCCATACTAGTTAATGCAACATAGCCACCTTTGTCTGTTCTCCCATTCCATTGTGATAATGGTGTCTGTAGTGATCCATCGTCACTAAGTTCATGGTAGCCACTTCTGACTCCTCTTAGCCGTGGACAGCTCTTGCAAACATCCTTCAATTTCTTAAGTTTATCTAGCTCAACACGCTGCATTTTACCTGACGTAGTCGTCGTCAAAGGCTGTCCACATGTGCGCTCAGCTTGCTTATCCTTAGCACCTTTGACCAGGCCACCAAACTCTGGTCCCTCGCGCAATTTGACAAAATCACTGTGTTTCGTTGCTGTAGGTTCACTTGTTCTGCCATCCAAATCTGCACGTTCGGCCTCAGCTCCGTCCCAACGGAACTCGTGATCCGAATCAGCCAAAGCAAAAAATGGTTTGTCGTCTGAATTGATAGAGAAAACTGACAAGTCAACTGAGCCTTCTTCATCAAGACCAAGCAGTTGGGCAAACGCGCGTTCTGCCGTTTGCTCTGATTTGTTCAGTTCTGCATCCATTAGATCATCCTCTCCACTTCTTTGTTCTCGTGCTCGTCGCTCCATTCTATCCATCAACGCCAACCACTCCATTGCTTGCTGTCCTTGTCGTCTCGACACAAGTTGATTCAAAGCTTTTCTACCTCTTTCTCGTCTCACCTCTTGTCTTCCCTCCACAATGAACCGATCCTCTTTCTCATCCATCTTGTTCCTGTATTTCATCGTCTCATCTTCTTTTTGTATCACTTTCGGATGTTCTTGCTTCCATTTCACCACTTTCTCGACAAGTTTCTTCGTTTGAGGCGAACTTGTGCCCGTCCTCTCGAGTACGTTCAGCTTTGAATCATAACGACCTTCTACTGAATGTTGATTCTGAAGTTTCCACTGCTTTTGAGCCTTGTAAACCCTTTGACGTTGCAATTTCTGTAGATTATTACGATAGCACTTTGTCATGTGCTGTGCCAGACGTCGCTCTTCATCACGTACAGCTAAAAGAATACGTCGACGACGTGTAACTTCATCCTGACGAGAGTATAGCTCGATTTCATTTGAACTCAGTGGTATTTGACCCAGAGAACGGTCACATTGACGTTGTCGTTCAGCTGCATGAATCGGCATGAGAGCGGAAGGAAATATGACGTTATACGTTCAAATTTCACGTTAAAATGTCACGAAATTCTTCAAATGGGAATTATTTCTCGAAATATTCTGAATCAACAACTTCATCATTGTAAGGATGGAGTTGACAAATATCAACAAATACTTTTTAAGAAATTCTCAAAAATTTGAATAAAAACGAGCAAAAGGACGTGCACCGTCTCAGCAGTATGTAATGTGACTATAAAACAGATGAGCAGCGGAAGGCAAGAGCTACTTACTCAAAATGATTTTCCAACAAGTGCTGCCTTCGTGTTTGTGATCAGAACCGGCACCACCGATGGATCTGCCAGCGTTGAAACGTCGCCGAGTGAATCCTCCTCACCGTGCGAGATTTTGCGCAACACGCGACGCATGATCTTGCCACTGCGTGTCTTCGGCAACCCAGGTACCAAAATAATCAAATCAGGCGTTGCAAATGCGCCAATGTGCGACCGTACTTGAATCGCCAATTCCTTCTGCACTTCAGCATTTGGTATCACACCATCCAATAGTGTCACAAAGCAGCAGATACCCTCCCCCTTGATGCGGTGAGGAATGCCAATCACCGCAGCCTCTGCTACAACGTTGTGTGCCACCAAAGCGCTCTCGATTTCTGCCGTGCCGATGCGGTGGCCAGATGTGCATAGTACGTCGTCGATACGGCCAGTTATAAAATAGTAGCCATCCTGATCGCGACGGCAGCCATCACCAGTGAAGTACAGGCCCTTGTGCGTTGACATATACGTCAGCAGGTAACGATTGTGGTTGCCGTATACTGTGCGAGCCATACCTGGCCAGGGTTTGCGGATGCAAAGTTGGCCCTCGACATCGTTGCCCGCGATCTCGCTGCCGTTTTCATCCGTCAGCACAAAATCAATGCCAAAGAACGGCTTCGCGCACGATCCGGGCTTCATCGGGGTGGCAGCAGGAAGGCCAACGCCAACGTGTCCACCAGTTTCCGTTTGCCAATATGTGTCAGCGATGTAGCACTGGCGGTTGCCCACAATTTCATAATACCACTTCCACGCCTCCGGATTGATTGGCTCCCCAACACTACCAAGGATTTTCAAGGTAGATAGATCGTAGTCCTTGATCTTGTCGTTGCCGCGAGCCATTAAAGCACGAATGGCTGTCGGAGCAGTGTAAAACTTGGTCACCTTGTGACGCTGGACCAGGTCCCAGTAGCGACCATGATCTGGGTACATAGGTGTGCCCTCGAACATGACCGTAGTGACGCCGTTGGCAAGCGGGCCATAAAGGATATAGCTGTGTCCGGTAATCCAGCCCGCATCAGCAACACAAGCGTATACATCGTCGTGTTGCAAGTCAAATGTGTACTTGGACGTGATCATAGTGTACAAGAGGTAGCCAGCCGTCGTATGAGCAATTCCCTTGGGAGTACCCGTTGATCCTGACGTGTACAAGATGAACATTAGGTCTTCGGAGTTCATAAACTCAGCGGTGCAGTACGGACGATGACGCAGTAATTCTTCATCCATGTCAATGTCAATCTGCGGGTTCATCTTCACTTGTGCGTTATGTGTGCGTCTAAAGACAAACACATTACGTACAAAGTCTAGGCCGTCAATAGCTTGATCAACAATTTGCTTGAGCGGTAGTGTGCGACCACCGCGTTTACCCTCGTCGGAAGTAAAGACCCATTGGGTCTTGGCATCAATGATACGATCACGCAGAGCATCAGCCGAGAAGCCAGCAAAGACAACACTATGGACGGCGCCGATACGGGTACAGGCTAACATAACGAAAGCAATCTCAGGAATCATCGGCATGTAAATGGCTACAGTGTCACCTTTCTTGACACCTGCATGTTTCATTGCATTCGCCACACGACATGTTTCCTCCAGTAGCTCTGTATACGTAATCTTACGTCCTTGATCAATTTCATCGGCTTCCCAAATAATAGCTACCTTGTTTGGATATTTCTTAACATGACGATCAATACAATTGATACTGATATTCAGTTGTCCATTGAGAAACCACGCGACATTGCCCTTGGTGATTGTACCTGCAATTGTCTGGTCAAAATCACGAAACCAGTCTAGATTCTCTCGTGCGAGCGTCCCCCAAAAGTGAATTGGATCATCAAGTGATTGTTGATACATTGTCTCATATTGATCAAGGCTCTGAATATGTGCTGTCTTAGCAAGATTCTTCAGTGGAGGATAGGCACCTTCAAGCAACAATCGTGGACCATTCTGGATACTACTCTCAGTATACTTGTCCATCGTTTGAAGTTCGTAAACAAAAAAACACGGTTTTGTGGACAAACAGTGATTCGTCGGAATAATAAGTTTGATTGTGTGGTCCAAAGTTGACAGACGGCGTGTATCTTGTGAGAATTAATATTTAGGAATGATAATATCTTAGGTTTTTGGCATTTTGTTTGTGGAAATGTAGTAAAATATACAGGTTACTACTATGTGAATAAGATTATACCTGTTGATCTATAATCGTGTCTGTCGCATCATCTTTGATCCTTTTTATTGGCCATGTTGAAGTTGAAAGGAAGTTCTTTTTCGATAAAGTAGCACCATACTGACCATCAGATTGCACATGCATAGAGCTTACCGGATGGAGACTTGTCGATTTACCGGATGGATACTTCCTCTTGCCTTCCAGAAAATCTCGGAGATGAGCTGACCAGAGAGAATTGACATTTGGTCTGTATTCGTATAAGAAAGCCGTAGTATGCATACGGCCTGGTTCTCTTACAAACGGTGTCTATAACGTTGATTCATGTCTACTAAACAGAAAAAAACATCAAATTGAGAGGTCATCGATGAGGTCGATGATAGCCTCATATATCACGTATGTATGTAGATCTGTTATGTAGCCAACGCCACGAAACAAGCGGGTTACATGGAACCTATCACTCGATGCTCCGTATGGCCATGTCAACTACAGGCCTTAGTTGGGGTGTATACTGCTGACGACGAGGATTAGCAGATCGTAGACTGCTGTGTGAAAGGCATTGGCATTGTGTGGAAAATGTGCATCTTAGTAGAGTCAGAAGAGGATTTGTAACGTGAATATGAATACGACAAGATTGTAAGACCTTACTTACCATCCTACGGAGTCTAAAGCTCACAAGACCTCCTCACGTCTAAGGTTACCTGCTAACCTATCGGGTATTTAAGAAGCTATGTGAGACCATGAATGACACCGTTTATGTCTTATTTGTATCGATGTTCGATATTCTAAACAAGAGCGAGCGGTAATATATTTGCTGTTTATTTTACCATGATCTATTATAAAGCTCCCGGTCGCAAACCTCGACTCTTTAAAACGTAACATTACGCTGGCCCTTTTTGTAAAATAGAGTATTTGCTCTATTTCTTTTCCTCATGTTGACTAGAATTACCAAGCGATGTCGTGCTCCAAGTGATGATGATGATGAGTACATTTCATCCACTCCTACGTATCAATCATCACCTATGAAAGTATTTTTACAGACGACAAGACGTGATGGTTTTTACTTGAATCAACTCACGTCGTCCATTTCATTACCCCACGAGTGGTCTCAACCTAAAGTCACAATCGAGGCCACGACAGATCATAACGCCACTCGATTAAACGAGAAATGCCGTAAATTAGCGTCATTAATTGCTCATTCAAAGCATTTAGTGGCTTTTACAGGTGCTGGAATTAGTACATCGGTAGGAATTCCCGATTATCGTGGTGAAAATGGCATTCGTACGAAACAAAAGGGTGATACTAAACTCAAGCGTACTAAACAAACCAAGAAACAACGTCATGAGGACAATGAAAAGACGTTATTGGAGGTCGAGATGCTGAATATCAATTCATTAATACCCTCGACAACGCACATGGCGTTACAGGAGCTCTATCGCTTGGGGTTTTTAAAGCACCTTGTGTCTCAAAATGTGGATAATTTGCACTTAAAAAGTGGTCTCCCTGCGACGGTATTAACGGAAGTACATGGGAATGCAATGCAAGCAAAATGTGAAACATGTGAGAAGATTTATGTGACGGATTTTCCATGGACGGGCTTATGTACTGATCCTGATTGTATCAGTACGAAGCGATCTATTGAACAGAGATTACGAGCACGAACGCGGCATGGCAATGGACGATTGAAACGAAATGTTGTTGGATTTGATGAACCATTGGGCGATATTGATTGTGCCATTGATGAGTGTGAAGCGGCTGATGTGGCACTTGTCTTAGGCACGTCCTTACGTGTTGAACCGTTCTCGGAAATGGCAGGAGAGTATGCAGGCTCCTTGTGTATTGTGAATTTACAGTCTACGACAACAAAATTAGATCGACGTGCTGAGGAAACAGGTGTCCGGTTGTTTGAGAAGACAGATATTGTCATGGAAAAGACCATGCAATTTTTGATGAACGACCCAACGTATCGCGTTCCAAAGTGGACGGGTGAGCATCCAGACTCTGTGTTTATTCTGGAACATGAGAGCTCGAATCTTGTTAACGTTCTCGCTGGCCGAATTTCTTCCTGATGATGGCAGCTAAATATATATGGGTGGTTGTGGGCTGGGTAAAGGTGCAGGTTCAAGTGCTTGAAGGGTGTCAAGACATATATAACGTTTGAAGGACCTCTCGTGCGTGTGACAGAAGTCGGTGCAAAATGCTAAACGTCGATGGACTGAAGCAGTAGGCCAGACACGTGGAAAGAGCAACGAGAAGGCAAACAAATATATTGACAATTTCTATGCGTTTAGCAAATTCTGCATACCACTCACTAGTTCTACGCCTCATTCAGTAGTGCTGTAATTTCTTTGTAGTCAGCAATGAGTGCATCCAGCTCTTCCGAATGCTTGGTTGTAATGATGATATCCTCCATAGGGGCAGCGACGTCTGTTGCCTTCTTCAAGCAGATTTTATACTGTGGGTACGCGCCACTGCAGTACGCAATGTCCCCGTATTCGCAAAAACCCAGCATCGAGCCGTCACGACCAAGGATGTGCAAGCCGTAGCCATTTGCTGCAATAACAAAATAATTGGGCAGCTCAATGCCTAGACACTGATTATGTCCGTTGGTAGAGCCATCGCGCTTTGATCCACGGTTCACCAACTTGGACGGGAAGAAACAGGCACCATATAATCGGTGACGCGTCACCTCTTCAATGTAAATGCGCTGCAGCTCGCTAACGGGGAAAAGAGAGTCTTGATCGTCGAGGAGATTGTCTGTGATCGTATCAAGTATAAGCTCAGCCCATTCCTCTTCATCGTGGGCGAGTCGCCACTCCTGCGGCAGGTAGTCCAAAACACCCATCTCAATCACTTCTTCGACCGATACAGGCGGGATTTCTTCACAGTCCACGGCGATAGCTAGTGACGTGAGCCGAAGCAGAGCTTCCTCTTCCAGTACTGGCAAGTTCCCTTTTACAATCTCATCCTGCACCTGAATGTATACGAGACGGTCGTACATTTCATCCGTGTACTGCAACATATACACTGGGTTTAGCCGAATTTTGAACACAAACCGCACCTCGCGTCCACGGATCAACTCTTTCTCAAAGATATCGCCAAGGTATACGTCGGCGTTCAAGAATGACGGAGCTGCGATGAATTTGTGAAAGTAGCTCGATGGAGACGACGACGGAGGAGTCAATGCCGTTGACGTATTGGCAGCAAGAGCTGGCAAAGGCGGTACTTGTTCGGCGTTGCCACCGGCGTTATCAGCAGCCAGGTCGTTGCCATCAGTATTAGCCGGTGCAAACGAGCCGGTAGCAGCAGAGCCTGAGAAACCGCTTTTGCCAGGAACCACGCGCTCAGATATCACCGTGAGGCCTAGAAAATTGACGACATGATCTTCTAGACCAAGGAAGTGCGAGCAAATCTCGACGAGCTGTGCCACGGTGAGCTCTGGCGTGACCGGGAAGGCATCTGCCAGCGGTGTGCCGTCTAACAACTGAATTGTCGCAAGGAACGGTGGTCGCGCTTCGTAGCCACGGATTTCGTCGATGCTGGGAATGAAACCTGTTGCTCCATTTTCAAGCAGATTCTCTAGTTTCTTGAGCGAGTAAGCCGCAAAGTTGCGCACAAGCCGCCAAAAACTATTCGACTCGGCAACTTGTGCCTTCAAAAACAGTAGCACATACTGTTGAAGCGCTAATGAAGGTGGAAAAGAGGTACAGCACATAGCAAAGAGTGACCAACCACGAATGCTGCTGTCTCGCTTCGGATTCTTCGTCAACTGCTTCATAAGCTGCAGATAAATTTCGTCCACAAGAGAAGGTTTCATTAGCGCAATTTGAAGAATATACTGCGCAAGCATTTCCCGGTAAAACACAATGCGGTCCCGCATGTATCCTAAGATGCATCGGTTGATTGAGAGTGCCATTTGTCCAAGTGATGCAGACATAGTGAGAGATGGCACTTCGTCCGGGTTATCATCAAGTACCGACAGGCTCTGTGAAATAGCGCGACTTTCCCAGCATAATTTCTTGGCGAGAGCGTCCTCCGATTGAGCATTAAAACCACGCAACTTTTCAAAATGGTTGAACGCCAATGCATCCTTTTCCACACTCGACTTTGATTTTTTGTCGCTTACATTATTGGAGATATCGTCTTCGCCAGATATACCTGCCCATCCCGTTGTATCACCTTGTGCACTGCTGTTTTCGCTATCGTTGCGACAGAGAGTGCCGGGCCCATTCGACCGTAATCGGTCAGCCGAAACTACAGACCTTCCTCTTGCCGTCACCATTGCGTCTTCAGCTTTCATCAGTAGTCGTTCGTGAACGCCAGCTTCTCTTGCAGCTTGAATGTCAAGTTTTAGTGCTCCAATCGAAGATGCATCAGTAGGAAGCACTAAGGCTGATTCTAAGCGGGCAGCAGCGGCTATACGAGCCTCTAAAGTGCGTCGCAAGTTGCCTGCTGTAAGAAGGACCTCTTCCCGATCAATGTTATCATGCTTCATCTCGTTTTCGTCACTTGATGAACGAGAAAAGTCATTGATCTCCGTCGAAAGGAGCTGCACCGCATCTTCGCGAGTTTCAGCTTTTGCCTCTAATCGACGAGTCAAAAACTGAATAACTGCGTGCAGCCCATCCATGCAGGTAGAACCATCGGAGGCATCTTCACCAGTATCTACACTTCGAAGTATCGAGTAGCGGTCGAACAGCGCAGCAAACAGCGGCGAACAGAACCCAATACTGATAGACTTTCCAAGCTCTTGTTCAACGACCTTCAAATCATCAGTGTCAAGTGCCTTGCTTAAAGCATCTTCAATGCTAGCCACTTGCTGTAGTCGGGTCATCTTTGCTTCAAATGCAGCTTGCAACTCAGATGTAATAGAAGATTGCAACTTGTCCAGGTCACTGACGTGAGCAGCCTCCCAAATCAGCAAAAGCACTTGAGTCGGTGTTGGTCCCAGCGGCTTCTTCTCTTTCTTTGCGGTTGGGCTTGACTTGGAAGCTACCGAATTTACTATTGCAACAGGAGTCAAGGAAGGACAATCTTCTGACTTAGCAGCGGCAACCAACTTATCAAGCTCCCGTTCAGCATTCTTCAAATTAAAATCCCATTTTGCTAAACCGACCGCAATAGCAGCTTCAATCGCTTCCGATAGCAGTTCGATATCTTGTGAAATCTTAGCCACTGCCAAGAACTTCACCACTTGCTTGCGTTCTGAAACTGTAGTTGCAGGAACGCTTTGAGCTTCCAATGCACGCTCGGCGTCCGCTATTCGAGGGTCCCCCTCTGAAACGCCAAGTACTTTTAATCGTCCTAACACCTTCTCAACTGCAATAATGTTCTCGTCATCCAGTGCCTTCTGAAGGGAAGCGAATACGTTTGTTGTGTCAGTGCATACAGAAGCATCTAGTGCAACGACTTCTTCTTCCTCCCCTATCTCTTCTGCTTCTTGTTTTTCAACCTCTTCCTTTTCTTCCACTCCGTCATCAACATCAGAACGAATTGCGCTCAGAGTATCCACAAGACATGGCAACTTGGCTTCAACACCCAGGCACAATGCCTTAGTTGTCGGTCCGAGCAATTTCTTCAGAATGGTAGAACTATCGTCATCTGTTGCAATCGTCGAGATAGCATGCGTCACGGACTCTACAGCACTTTTCTCCTCAAGAGCACGAATGATCATCATTGTAGCAAGTTTTCTTTCCAAAGACTCGACTGAAGGCTCTTCGAGCGTTGCTAGGGACCCCATAAGTGCTTCTGGGTCATTGGCAATCATCGAAGCCCGAAGCTTCTTGTTGATCGCTGCAATTTTTTCCGATTTCTGCTTCTCAAGCGCTACGATGCTCTTGCTTTTCTTGCGCAAATGGTCCAAGGCTAGCCACGGGGAACTCTTTTCTGCAACCCGAACAGCGTACTCAATTAAGGCGGCATGACCAATTCTTGTGGCATCTGCAATGATAGAGTTCACATATTCCTCTTCGTCTAGACGTGCAATCAACTGCCGACCTTCATTCAACAGGCGAATGTCTTCCGACGCATGCTTCCCGATAATTTGTTTACAGTTTGCAAGGTGCTGAATAATATCATTCTGATCACGCTGTGCCATGGCTTCACGTAGACCCCGCATAACATACAGTAACCGCGCAGACTTTTTGCGAAATCCGCCACGAAGCATATTTCGCTGAATCATTGTCGCGCACGCGTTTAGATATAAGAAACGTGCCTTTTCTAGTTTTTTCCATTGATGGCTAGTCAAATACACTTTTGTCTTTCCAACCACAAACTTTTCCTCTTCTAACACACCAATAGCGGATAACGAACGCAGCAGTGACTCTAATGTTCCACGGTGACCACATACATTCTTGTAGCGCCTGAAAAAGTGGCCATACGTCAGGTGGACTGTAAAGATAGAGCGGCTTGCTTGCATCAATTCTACCAAGTGGTTCTCGCGAATTTGTTTCATCACATACGCTGAGTCAAACTTCCCTTCTTCAAGCTCCTCGTTCGGTTTTATGCAAACAAGAAAATTCTTGCCAGTATGGTTCAACGCATGCAGCAACGCATCTGCTTGATTGTTAACGTCCATCGCCGCACTATCACACGCCGTCTTGGACTCCTTTGCTGAGCTAATCGAGTTCCTGAATTTCGATGAGGAGCTCCCTCGCTGAGCTGCTTGTTTTGCAGCCTTTCCACTGGATGCTGCAGCCATCTGAGCCGCCCCAACAGCATGCAGTACGGCATTCTTTGACGACTGCATGATTGCTGCACACGTTGAGGAAATGCTAAGGGCATTCTTTGCAGAAAGTCCCTTTCCATTGTATGTAACCTTGCCGCAGTAATGTTGTACGATAAACAGGAGTCGCCAGTCTTTTGAAGGTGCCAAATACTCGTTCATTGTATCAGCTCCCATATTCGGTCGTGACAAACAGCCAACGGCTTCAAAGCTGAAAAACAATTTGTTCACAAATTCCTCATCGTTTGGAGATCGTACCTTTACGCTTTCTGTCAAGAGATCAAAAATGCCACAAGGCTTGTCCTCAAACAATCGCAAGCACTTTTCCTGCTCGGTTGCTATATCGACGTTGGAATGCACAGTCAGGCGGCTCTCCACTTGCTGTGTCTCACTGTCCAAGTCCGACAAATTGATCGCCAACGTATTTTGAACATAAAAGTGATGCACCTTTTCACTCCAGTAGTTAAAGCACAATTGATCAAAGCCGTTTTGTGACGGCTCGAGATTTTCGAATCCAACCATGTCCAGCACGTGAACACCTTGCGAATTAATCACAATATTAGATTTTTCATAGCGATCGAAAATTCCACCCAAAATACCATTAAGAGTTTCCACAAGGAAATTAAAAAGTGCCTCGTACAGACTTCGGATAAAAGTGTCCCGTGCCTTGCGTGCTTGGTGCACAGTCACCACCTTCAATGACGACACCTTTTTACTACCGTCCTTACAGAAAAACTGACGCGTGCGAAAGTAGTTATCCAAAACAACAGGCTCTACTTCAAGAAGCTTCGCTGCAAGCAGAATTTGAGGTGGATCTTTTAATGCACACGACTGTGTATCACTTATTGTTGCAGAGTTTGTACCAGTTATAGATGACTTACCACCTTCAGGATCTAGGACAAAATCCACATTCCCTAGGTGCAACAATGCTGCCACAATGCGCACAATCTCCACACGTTGGTTCTTTCGGATTCGCAAAGCCGACAAGCTCGACATGAGATCTCGGTAATCGCGAGCATCAAGCGCAGAATTCGTCAACTCAGGATTCGCCTGTTTCAGTAAATCAAATTCTTCAACACCCTTATTCAGCTCTAATAAATCACGAAGCGTCGGATCATGCTGGACACCAGCGAGTACCTGATACAAAATGTGAAAGTTACGTTCGTGACTTCGACAATCAACAATGCGTGACTTTTCAAAGTAGTGCGTCGTAAAGCCACCTCCAATTACGTAGCCTTGTTTACCAAATTCGACTGAAATCATCTTGGCAAAACGCGACGAGTTTCGATTCTGTAGCGTAGCAGCATTTCCAAACGCTTCCAAAATCGTAAATGCATGCAAAATCTGTTGACCAATGGGATGAAGTGTGCTTGATTCCCCTTCTACATTCGGACGAGGAATCGCACTGTCACCAATCTCGCACAAATACTGCACAACTAATTTCGCTGCCTCTGATTTTCCTGCACCCATTCCTCCAAGTAAAATCACAGCCTGATCCTCTCCTGCATCTTGCATACAACGTAGTGCATTCTGTGCTAATGCAAACACATGTGGTGGTGCATCATTGACTGTATCTTTTTCATATAATAAAGTCTGTTCTCTGCTTTTATTATACGCCTGCATATGATCAGGTGTGTAAATTGGTAATGGAGTGACTGGATTCACACCAATAAGGACTCGATCGACCCATGTATACACTTGTTCCATCCGATATCTTGCTCTTAATGTATACAATACAATATTTTCCAATTGTTCCAATGTAAAAGTTTCAGTTCGTCCAGCATCACCCTACAAAATAGATAGAATTCAAATTACAAAGTACAATTATTGTATGGTGAATTGAAAGTGCAAGAAATATAAATCAAGAGAATGAAATCTATCGAACATAAAATACCATCCCCCTTTTCAAACCACGTACATTTGTAGCCATTAGTGGTACATTACTCAAATCATGTAATTCTAAGGAAATTAATTGTTTTGGATGATGACAAAATGGTAATTTAACCAATGGTTGATCACGAATCGCACGCTCTTCTTTCTCATCGGTATGAACGACTGTAATATGCTCTTCTTCTTGTTTTATTTCTTCATGCTTCACAATATAACCAGTACGTACAACAACAGCAGGGATACAAATCCCATTATCATCTCCAACCCATACAAAATCACCTTCTTCAAGTAAGGTCGACGATATTCTGGATGGTAGGTTTTTGTGCCTACTATGATGAACTTCCCCGATTTGACGTAATACGGGAGAAGTATGAGAAGATGAAAGACCTTCATTCATTGGATTAGGTAGAATAGATGGAGTAGATGTAGTTGATTGAAAACTACTAGGACGTTGCTTTCGATTGCTACGATAACTTGGACGCGAGCTATCTGTGTCCGAACTCATATTGTCCCTACTTTCTTTCTACTGAACCTTAACAGTGGAATTGGATTGATGGAGAAGGGTCTTTTATTATGATTCTCATTGGCTGAAATGAAAGATAAGACCGGTATGATTATAACATGGCTACACTCGAGCCATCTTTTTGCTGTTTAGAAATGTAACCGTAACATCGTCCGTTGGCATTTAGAAATGTAACCAACCCTTTCGTGTCGTACGTAACCTCATTGTTCGAAATTCCTTCCCTTGATCGAAAGATGCCGATTGAGATTCACACTTCGACTGAATTTCATACTGCAATTGCTGAGAAACAATTGACACTTGTCCAATTCTCTGCAACGTGGTGTGGTGGGTGTAAAATGATCGCTCCAAAGGTGACGAAACTAATGGAGTCGGACTTTCCTGACGTTAAATTTCTCAAAGTGAGTGCAGACGAAATGGAGGATTTCTGTGAAGAGATTGATGTCGATAGTTTCCCGACGTTTCGTGTGTATAAGAATGGTGAAGTGGTGGCATCGTACGTGAGCTCCAAGTTTGACAAGGTCGAGCAGTTTATCCGCGAACATGTGCAGTAATTGATCATACTTGTGTGGATGATACTTTTGCACAAGGCGAGAGGCTCGTGATGAGGTCGGGTAGTACCGTGATTAGTGATAAGAACGTGGAGGTAGTAGTCTACTGATGGTAGTGTCGCGTATACTTTTGCTAGACACGTGTATTTATTACATGAGGATGGTAGCCCTGCGTAAGAAAATGAATCACTTTTTCGAATTGAAGAAGTTGTAAAACTGCAAGAAGAGAGATGACAACTGTAGCTGCAAGGTCTACGCAGTGTTGAGTCTTAAGCTGTTATAGTATTGCAATGTCTGAAAAAAGCTCATCCGAGTAACAGCAAGTAGACTGAAAAGCGTCCAGCTACCGTACGCTTTTCGTGTCAACAAGAAAATTAGTGCTTTGGAATAACACGTCAAGTTCGAATAGTTTTGAGCATATCGACGGGACAAGATAAGTGGTAAACAATAGGACGTGTATATGCATATGCTTCATAGGTAACAGTCTCGTTCTTGCTCGACTTTGTCGCTGTTGACTCGATACCTTTCTCATTTGTCATCAAGTCGATTTGTGACGAACCGCTAGCAAAGACCACAATCGCAGTGGTGATGGCCAAAGAAGGTTGTAAGTACTAGTATCCACCTTCAGCAGGAATAGAATGCAGTGATGCATCAGCTAGTATTCTGTCGCGCTGCAGAAATAATGCTTCACCGTGGATGCATACGACCATATATTGTGCATGTAAATAGCAGCGAGGGTTGTGAACTTTTCCGTCATAAGCCATTCAATTTTCTTGACAGCACCCTACAGGGCTTGAGCGGAGCTTCCTATAAGATTGCCACTAGATCAAGAAAACCCTTTTGTACTGCCACCTGGACAGGCGTAAGACCATCCTTATCAGCTGCATCCAGAGCAGCGCCGTGCTCGACTAGAAGTTTCACGCACTCGATGCGGTGCCACTCGACGGCGCAATGCAAAGGTGATCGACGGATAGAGACAATATTCGGATCTCCACCAAAATACAACAGCACTTTCAAGACGTCGATGTGGCCATTTGCAGCAGCATAGTACATTGCTGTACAGCCATCAACGTCGACAATGTCGACATCCACAAGCTTCTTCTCCAGCAGCGATTGCACAAACTTTGGCTTGCCTTCTACCGCCGCATAATGGAACGGATGTCGTGCCATCACCTTGTCAACTTGTTCCGGACCATTTGGATGGAGAGACACATTATGCTGGACTAGCAGCTCGAGCATGTCAAGAGATCCATTCCCTGCCGCTTCGTGCCACACCGTTACGCCCATCTTGTCCACGACGTATTTGTTCGCTCCATTGCGCAGCATAAAGTACACTATCTCCGTAAATCCTCCGGCAACTGCTTCATGTAGCGGTGTGTGGTTTGTGCAATTGCTTAAATTCACATCTGCATTTGCTTCCTGCACCAAAACCTTCACCATCTCTTCGTGTCCGTCTTGACAAGCAATATATAGTGCTGTCATACCCATCTCATTCTGTTCGTTTACATTCGCACCTGCTTCGGTTACAAAGTAGCGTGCTAACTCCACATAGTTTCCTTTTACCGCATACATCAGCGGTGTACGTCCTCTTGTGGTGTGACAGTCTACCAAAAGTCCAAAACTCACCAACAAACGACAGATCTCCATGTGTCCATTGATTGCAGCCTCATGCAAAGGTGTACGTGCATATTTCTTTCGTCCTCCACCTATATGAACCTCTCCAGCTCCAAGATCTAGCAACATTTGAACCATCTCACACTGACCTTCACTCGCTGCAAGATGCAGTGCTGTCGAGCCATTATGATCTTGAGTAAGCTGTAGCAAGTCGCGTCGTTCTTCTTGTGCGATGTCTTCCAAACCTTTTGTCAATGCAACACAATTTCCCGTCTTGGCATATTGCAACAATTGAGTTCCACGATCCAATCGGTTATTATCTTTCCATTTCGAGCGACGTCGACCCATTCTGGTTAACAGAGCTGTCTGTCTGCTCGTGATATGATGAGGTAAACAAAAATCAATAAGTCGTTATTTGATGACGATTTTAATTCTTTAAAGGTTTGTAAACATATTATTTTCTTCCCAATTGTGTCAAAAGGTGCGATGTATGTATGTACTGACTGCCTTAACAGCTCTGCCCGGATAGCGTCATTGCTGAATCCATAAACTACCTGCATCAACGACTACAACATCACCAAAACATAAAGCTACCATCATGTCTGCTCAAAGTAAAGCTAGAGCTTGCTTTGTATTATATAGCCAGAAATGCCGCGTCTAGTGATATCGGTTCAACGATTCTTGTAAGCCTTGTTTTCAAGCGACAGAACTGCGCTAATATGGAATGGTCTACCACATTGCGCCAGTGTTCGCGAATCGTTACAATCATGTAATCCCGTATCTGTGTCGCCAATAACTGGCATCCAGTAGAATCCACGCGGCTTGACTTCTTGAACAGACCAATGCTGATACGTGTCTAGCTGTCAGCTATATCTGACTCGAGAGGATCAAAAGAGCGCCATCGCAACTGACTGCTTGTTGCAGTCAGGACATCTAGGCAGCGCTCTGGAAAACTGCTGAACAGAAATATCAACAGAAGAGATAATCGACGAAAACGTGTCTAACATAAGACATACAGCTCGAGCCACGCAGTTCAGCTGCTGACCACAGACATCGACATCTTAACGACCCATCCACATGCAGCGAACGATCAGGCTCGACTAAATGCGTGAGCAAACTCTGACTCTAAGCTGACTTTTATCCACAAAGTTGTCAAGTACGCTAGGACAAGCGACATCCAAGCGGATATTACCAAGATCTTGTCTGCATTCATTATATCATGAACGAATATTAAATAAGAGCGCTGAGCTCTTGACTCCTACTGAACGGGCATGAGCTGGTTTGTAGCAAGTTCTTTCACCAATGAGTAAGTTCTCAATCGTTGACAGCTTGAGCACATGTCGAAAATTCGGATTTTTGAGTTGCTCGCCATCAGGAGAAAACAACGGACGATTGATTTGTCAGGCAAACAAAAGCTTCACACCTTGCACATCCATGTTTTGTATTATGCCAACTTGGGTTTCGTTGATAAGGACGCTTCCAACTCGTTATCATTCGAGTGTTCTAAGTACTTATGTACCAAACAACAATCCACAACAACAAGCACCACCACAATCACTTCAACAGGAGCGAAGCGTACAAACAAGAGCGACAGGTTTAGCACAGCTGCAAAACCAAATTTCCACTCCACTAAGAGATTGTGCAGCTCTGGCAAGTCTCCAATAGATTCAGTTCGGCTATTTGTCGGTAAAGTGGTTTTCATACCAGGTTGAACAACTTCAATGTCATTATCATCTTCGTGTAACTCGTCGTCAGAATCCGACTCGGATTCATCATCGTTGTCGTCATCAAAACTGCCATCTTTGTTGTCCAAACCGTCGTCATCTTCGTCAAACACTTCGATTCGATCAAGAGGCTTGTCAGGATCCTGATAATTTGACGTTGCCACGGCACTTTCCTTGGTGTCCGTACATGCGCCTGACCGTGATGACTCGTCGTCTTCAGATTCCCTAAAAGACGTTTCCTTTCGTAGTGATGTCGAACATTCAGTCTTACCCACTGCCTTCTTGCTCTTTCTGCCACGTTGAGAACACTGAAAAGCCAGGATAGCCGTTGAGATTGCGCTTTCCCACTCGTTACACTCACTTTGCGATGAAGCACAAATGTTCCAAGAATGTTTCTTGGTGCAGATCAGAAACATGTAAGGTGTCGGAGCTGCATCCAGAGTCACACTGCTGGTGACAGCCAAAGAAGCATGCTTGTTCGACAAGTTGAGCTTAGCCAACGACAATCCTCGGCGAGCCGCAGCCTCGGAATCGTAGTAACGCAAAACGCACTTCCGCAGGTCCAGCACAAACCACTTCCGGTACCAATTCCGTCCACGGAATTTCACACTGCGCTGGATAATAAGAAACCCTGCCTTCATCTCAAGCTGACGACTACTATTAGATCGCTGTAATTCACGTGCATTCATATTCGCAAGCTTTGAGATCGTTCGCGGTATCATATTTCGAGTTTTTCCATGCGCAGAACCATCTTGGTTTCCCACATGTCCATGCACAAATGGTTTCGAAAGCAGAGAGATCGATGTGTTCATCAGATACCGTGGATGCATTGTGTTGCTACGTGAATGTTCAATAAAGCCCATCCGACGATTATCTACATCCATGGAATCTGACGCTTCTCCGCTACCTCGTCGTGTAGCTTCGATGCTCTCGGCTGGTAAATCCTTATCTTGAGCTACAACCGATGCACTAGATACTTGACGTTGTCCATTCAACGGTAATGGTCCATTCTGCGACTCAACCTCAGCCCAGTAAATCAATACTTTTGCTTTACTCCACGTATACGTGTTATCCCATGTAAGTGTACATGTACCCGGAGTCATGGAACGATAAAATCCTTTTACTGGTTTCATATCTGCACCTTCACGTGAGTAAGCACGAATCATTTGTCCTTCAAATGTTGCACTAAATCCAATATTATGTTTCTTTGTCATAAATTGCCATGACGCGACATCTCCAACCGTATCTAATGGTAACGTCACGGAGAATGATTGACCAGCTCTAACAGTCACAATCGTGCCTGGTAGTCCTTCTAGCATTCTTGATGGTATAATCAATCCACACTCATCATCACTACTGTCTTCAATGGCAGTTACTGTCTCTAAAAACTCATGCAACATCTTGGACGCTTTAATTTGTGGAATTTGCATCAATTGAGCTAAATATCGCGTCAATTCATTGCATTTGATCTCAATGTACTCGTCATTCAGTTTCTTATTATGACGCATTGTAGGAAAATCTCGTGGTAAATTCGACTTGGGATACGTTTTCATTAATTTTAAATGCAAGGACCGAAATTGTTTATAACTTCGTTGAACAACATGTCGTTGTGGTTCCATTGCGTTTTCATCTTCTTTTATGTATACAGCAATTGTAAAGTACGATTCAACCCCTCCATTATCTGGTAAATAACGTAGTGGATCCAATGCTTTCTTCCTAAGTGATAGTCTCTTTTGAATCTCATGACCTTCAATGCGACATTCTACTAGGTGCGTTTTATGCATTGTCTTATCATTTTCCATGTCTGTCGTCAATTGTGGTAATGTTGCAAGATTCAAAGAGCTTGAAGATTCAAGAATCTCGACTGGAACGTCAGTAGGATCATCAGTAGCATGGACAATCATTCTCTTACGTTACACCTATGACTGACTATTCTTACTTTTCTCTCTACCTGACACGTGACGAGTGCGGAATAAAATGTAGAATACATGAAACTGGTGTCAAGTTGGTGTCATGGCGCAATCTTTCCCGCCAAAAGGCGTAGCGATTCGAACGATCAAGGATGTTTCCTTTTTTATTACATATGATATTTGTATGTAGAAGCAACCAGCACACCGAGAATGATGTTCATTCTATAATTTGCAACGTCCGAGTCAAGTGTGAATCATCGATTAGTATCAAGAGAAGAAGAGAATGATTACGATTGCATCGGTTGAAGATTTTCATGCTGCCGTGGCCGCGACGAAAGAGAAGCCGCTTGTGGTTTTTTTCTCCGCTTCGTGGTGTGGTGGCTGCAAAATGGTGGCGCCAAAAGTAGCGACGCTAGCTGAGGAACTGACAGCAAGTGCGACGTTTGGTAAAGTGAGTGCGGACGAACTCAATGCGCTTTGTGATGATGTGGAAGTGGACAGTTTCCCACACTTTCGCGTGTATAAGGAAAGCAAGATCTTGGGTGACTATACGGGCTCGAAATTTGACAAGGTGGACGCGTTTATCCGTGGAGTAATAGCGCCTGACACATTGCAGAAGGTTGAGGAGACGCCAGAATGTAATGATACGACAAAGGAAGCTACGACAGCGAAGGAGCATGTGGTTGCTGAGACTGACAACGGACCGAAGAAACGCGAGCGCGAGATGATGGAGTCGAATGACGCACACGCTGCAAAGAAGACCAAAATGGATGGAGAGGCTGCTGGAGAAGCTGAAAAAGCAGAGGAGAATGCTGAGGAAACGGAGCATATTACTGAGGTAGCTGATAAGACGGAAGAAGGAGAGAAGGTGGCTATTGAAGCGCCTGAAACGACGAATACGTCACCTGACGAAGTTGAAACGACGCCAGTGAGCTCAGAGACAATGGAGAAGAAACCCGACGAATCGGTATTTGTCGACAAGATTAACTCAAATGACGCTGCGTCTACTTCATTGGAAGTTGCTACATCGTAATGTGTAGCTGCGTGTTCTTGTACTGCGTAAGACTGCCGTACACTAAATCTTCTTTATGCAGAATTTTTAACGGAAAAAAGAAAAAAACAATATCTCATGGTGCTTTCTGTCTTGATCAATGGCATAATTTGTCGTTTGGCAAAGCAATCAAATCGATAGACGTGATGTCTAGTGGCTGGTGATTGACATACGAGAACTTTCATGGTAAGTTGCTAACGTCACAGAAAGACCTCAGCAAGAGAAAGTAGATGATAGAATTCACGTACATTTTTCGACTTAGCGTCAGTTGGCTCCATATTTATCACCACTGATAATGATGTACTTATTTTGCTCTTCCATTTCGTAACGTCATCTTTCAGGTGCGAAAACCTTCAGCAATAAAACAATTCATCCGTCTCTCTATGCAATCTTATATTCACATTCTGTGTCGATATGGCCCAATCTATCTGTTTTCTAACACGCTCATTGAAGACGAACAACCTCAATGACCTCAACCTTCTCATTCTTTCGAATAGACGCTTTGAACTCCTTCTTCAGTTCCTTTTCATTTTTCATCGACAGTTTCTTCTCCTGAATCTGCTTCAGCACATGATTTTGCAGCATTTCCATCTCCAGCTCCTTTCCAAATCGTTTGAGCGTCGATTTGACTATCTTGCTCCATTTGATCGGTCGATCTTCCGTCTTTGTCTTCTTACGAACTACTGTGTCATCATTTACCGTCTCACCAAGTCGTTTATTATGATTGTTTTCCTCGACAGCAACACGACTAATTGCATTCTGTTCAATTTTCTCTGATACAGAAGTGTTGAAGGCCATCTCATACATCGTCCAAGCCTTTTCTACAAGTGTCATATCATGTAATGCCAAGCTATTGCTGACAAAATTAATAAATTTGTTCTTCTTGCGAGGTACGTTATCGTAGGTGGCAAGGCGTGTAAGTACGTCCTGTACCTTGCAATCGTCCAAGCAAGTAGCAGACCGTACAATATTCATCCATCGTTCCTGTGGTGTCATTTGCTTTGTACTGCCATTCATCTTGTGACTCTTTTTATCACTATGATAAAGACTCTTTTCGTATTTCTCAGCTTCCGAGATACAACTCGTATGTGCTGCGTACTCATTGCCTTCAAATACGACACTACAATCAACACAACTCACAGCCGAAAAATTACGACATCTTCCGACATGTGCATTCACTTTATTCTTCTTTAACGTTTCATTGCAGCCTTCACATACAAAAAACACCATTAGTTTCTCTCTCTCTCTTCGATACCAAAAGAGGATCGAAATTTCACTGGTTCATATACACCAAGATGCTTTTCACAAAAAAGATCCTAAAATAAGGTACTTTTTGTCCAACTGTCAACTTTATCAAGTAACTCTTGACGACATTGTTGTGTTAGATTGGGTGAAAAGTATACACCTACTTTCTCCTTTTCATCCAGTAAAATACCGCTACCTACTACTTCACGTACCTCATTCCTCGACGACCAAGGCACAGAAGTAAGCGAATAATGAACGAGCCAATGAATGGATTGCATGCTGAAGCCGATGAAGATGAGGTCGTGACACTTGCAGATGTACTAAAGCATAATGAGCACATGACAGAGACAGCGGATGCGGTATTAGGTGATGCAAGTGAAACAAATTGCAGTTATCCATTGGGATACATACGTCAGGCTATTTATGCTTGTATGACATGCACTCCTGAAGCGTTAGAAAAGCCTGAAACACGTGCAGGTGTGTGTTTAGCTTGTACATACGATTGCCATCAAGATCATGAGCTTATTGAGTTGTATACGAAACGTTCATTTCGTTGTGATTGTGGCAATGAAAAGTTCCATAAGAGTGAGTGTTGTTTCGATGTGTGGAATCAATATTGGATCGATTCATTCCTTGTAATAGAGAGAGATGATGATGATGATGATGATGATGATGATGTGGTTGTGTGTTATTGTATTATTGTAATAGATAATCCATGCAAGTTGGAAGTGAACAAGACACAGATAAACCCACGTAACATTTATTCGCAAAACTATGGAGGAGTCTATTGTAATTGTCATCGACCATATCCAGACCCGGAACGTACAAGTGCGGAAATTATGGTGCAATGTGTCATTTGTGAAGACTGGCTGCACGAGGAGCACATATTGAACAATGTGATTGAAACGTCTACAAGTCCCAAGGCTGAAAAGGAGGCATTGGCTTTGGTCGAGACGGACAATGAGTCACGTAGAAATGGGCATGCGAATAAAGCTACGGATTGCAAAGATGTCGTGTTGCCTGAAGACTTTGACGAGCTCATTTGCTTTGATTGCATGAGAAAACACCCATTTCTCATGGCGTACACAGTGGACAGCTCGGATGTGGAAGCTAGAGAGGACGAGAGTATTGCTGCTGCTGCTCGTGGTGATGGAGACCCATCCAAAGCGACGCAGACTGACACGAACGAATGTGTGCTCAAGAAAAAGCAGCAGCAGTATGAGGCCGAGGGCTCAACGACTTTGCGGCCAACTTTTTGGCCGAGCGAGTGGCGTAATGAGCTTTGCCATTGCTCGTCGTGTATCACGCTTTTCGAGAAGCATGATATTGCTTTCCTTCTGGATCCTAATGACGCGTTGCACGTGTATGAAGCTAGCGCAAGGGAGAAGAAAATTGCTTCGGCCGAGGAAATTGCTCAGCGCGCGTTTGCAAACAAGCTAACACACGAGCAACAGGTTGAGGTCGCCATGGGCTACAGTATCATGAAGAATAATCTTCAGCAATATCTTGCAGGTTTTGCGGCAGAAGGCAAGACGGTACGAAAGGAAGACATCAATGATTTCTTCACGGGGCTGAGCCAACTCAAGCGACAGAAAATAGAGTAAAGCATGAGTACGTGAGGGCAGATTTAGGCTCATTAAGCTGTCGCATTATTGCTGATTGATGTAATACGATCACGTTAACGTGCAAGTCTTAGTTACTTTTGGAACTTGCCTATGAACTCGAAGATCTTTGCCGATAGAGGAAGTTCAGCTTCCAATGACTCACCAGGCATTGCAGTCTCAATTGTTGCTCCCAGACGGGCACCCTGGTCAATTGCGCGCTTGGCATCTAACTCACCAGCCTCATCGGCACCACCAATGCGAAACACTGTGATGCCCTCGTCTTGCAACGGCTTCTCGAGCTCGCGTAACGGTACTTGACCAGCACAAACAATCACATTATCCACGTCTAGCACCTGCTTCTTACCCTTGTTGTCAGTAATGTGGAGCCCTGCATCATCCACCTTGTCGTACGTCACGCCACCAATCATTTTCACATTGCGATGCTTGAGTGAAAGTCGATGGATCCATCCCGTGGTTTTACCAAGGTCCTTTCCGTGCTTTGTACTCTTCCGCTGCATCAGGTAGACCTCGCGTGGTGGAGACGGGATGTTGGGCTTAATGCCTGCGACACCACCACGTACTGAGTTGTTTGTGTCAATGCCCCATTCGCGAGCGAAGGCATCTACGCTCGAGCTCGCAGACTCGCCTTCGTGTGTTAGGAACTCAGCCACATCGAAGCCAATACCGCCTGCACCAATGATGGCCACCTTTTTACCCACAGATACCTTGTCTCTGAGGACGTCAACATAGCTTAGTACCTTGGGGTGATCTGCTCCCGGAATGTTGAGAGAACGTGGCAGGACTCCCGTTGCAATCACTACTTTGTCGAACGCTCCAGACACTAAATCTGCCGCTTGCACCCGCCGTCCAAGTTTTACACCTACGCCTTGCAGTTCCAGTTGCTTTTTAAAGTAGCGTAACGTCTCATAAAACTCTTCCTTGCCCGGAATAATCTTAGCCATATTAAACTGACCTCCGATAGTATCAGCTTGGTCAAATAAGGTCACCTCATGACCGCGCAACGCCGCAACTGTCGAAAACGACAAGCCAGCAGGCCCAGATCCCACAACGGCCACACGCTGAGCATCTGCATCATGAACAAAGATCTTTCAGAGCGCTGAATACGTTGTATGCTAGAGATGCAACTAACCATTTGTGAGGGTGTACTTCAGCAACGTCTCGTAGCCCGAGCGCGGATTCACAAGACAGCTTGCTATAATGCCCTTGAACGTGTGATCTAGGCAAGCTTGATTACAACCTATACACGTGTTAATCTCATCCACTCGACCTTCTTCAGTCTTGCGGACAAATTCTGGATCCGCCAGAAATGGCCGTGCCATTGACACCATGTCTTACACGTAAAAGTTTACAAATTGAACCTCAGTTCTCAATACATTATCAGCATGATAACAACAACTACATACTCACCTGCTCTACCCTCAGCAATAATCAGCTCAGCAACATCAGGCATATTGATGCGGTTTGTCGTGATAAGAGGAATCGAGACTTCTCCTTTCATCTTTTTCGTAACCCACGAAAATCCTCCACGCGGCACACTTGTCGAAATCGTTGGGATACGTGCTTCGTGCCAGCCAATGCCTGTGTTGATAATTGTTGCACCTGCAGCCTCAATCTGCTTAGCAAGTATCACAATCTCATCCCACGTACTGCCCTTTTCAATCAAATCCAGCATCGACAAACGGAAAATAATGATGAAATCTTTGCCCACTGCAGTACGCACAGCTTTCACAATTTCAATGGGAAAACGGATGCGATTTTCGTACGGTCCACCCCATTCGTCATTGCGTTTGTTTGTGTGGGTGACGATAAATTGGTTGATAAGGTATCCCTCGGATCCCATAATCTCTACTCCGTCATATCCTGCTTCACGTGCACGTGCAGCGCAAGTGGCATAATCTCGAATTGTGCTCTCAACCGCCGCACTCGACAATTCCCTTGGCGTAAACCAACCAATGGGCGCCTTAATTGAAGACGGAGCTACGTTAAATGGATGGTAACCGTATCGTCCACTGTGTAGAATCTGCATCGCAATCTTTCCATCATTCTCGTGTACAGCTTGTGTCACTTCCATATGTGCCTTTACTTCTCCATGTGTCGTCAATTTAGCAGCAAAAGGACTAACACGACCAGCACGATTAGGTGCAATACCACCTGTTACAATAAGACCTACATTGCCCTTAGCTCTAGATAGAAAGAATGGATACATAAATATATTGACATGATTAGAGTTGCCATCGTAAAACGGACACAATTGTATTTTTCACTCACCTTTCGGCAAAAAAAGCAGCAAGTCGAGTAAGCGATTTCCCTTCTTCAAGTCCCGTATGCATGGAACCCATTAATATGCGGTTCTTTAGCTGTGTAAAGCCTAAATCCAGTGGCTGTAAGAGATGTGGGTACTTGCTCATCGTGAATTCGACTTTGAATAATCTTGGTTGTAACACCAAGTCGTTTTCACGTCAGCATTTGAGAAGATACAGTACATTTGATTTCAATAAGTATACATGATACAATATCCAGCATATACCTACAAGCTTATGGAATATGAAAAGTATCCACTGACAAAGTCTACGATTGAAGTTGTTTATGTCAAGCTACATTATTTTCCACCAATCAAATATCTATTTGTATATAAACCAATCAAATGAATTCATTTCGCCTGTGCCTCCCCCACCTCACATTGACTCTAAAGCTACGAATACTTACGTCGCGCCTATTCTAATCATGACCAAGGAATACACGCTCGACGAAATTCGCCGTCTTGCTGACACGGATCCAGAGAAGCTTGCACAGGAGTACCAGGCTTCACGTGCTGCTACTGCTAATCTTGTCGACCGTGCTCGCGCTGGTATCGCTGCGCGTTCGGCCAACCCGCCTACCAACAAGTTTAACGCTTGGGCACAGGGTTATGGCAATCGTTTTATCTACAATGGCAGTATGAAGCCTCTTGCGCATATGATGCTTATTATTGGGGGGTGCTGGATGTGCTGTCGAGTGGTGGTGCCACCACAGTATGTTGATCAATAGTGTGAGACGATGGATGTGAGTATTTTATTCTAACCTTATGATGCAAATTGTTTTGTATTTATCTGCAAATAGGACACGCTTATGGGGAGAAGAAGGAAGAGGAGCATCATTAGATGTGTGGAATTGCTCTATATCTTCAAGCTACTGTGACGAGGAATGCTGGATTCGTAAGAGATGACGTCTTGAACTACAGCTTCATTTTCTTGGCAAGCAGGAAGGCGAACGAGCAAAGTCGACCAAGTTGTCTTTTTGCTAGTGGGGTAGCTAGCTACCCGTTAAAGTAAAAATGATGTAAGAGGGACTCAGAACCTGAAGCAACAATTAACAGAAAACGTGAGAGCGCGAGGTAGTGGTGGCTATGATGATCAATTGAGTTGTCTTCTTTTCTGCTTTGAACTTGAGTCTTAGCTGTACAGACAGACGTTGGAGCTTAGCTCAGCAACCTAGCGTCGGTTGATTCAGTGAACAAGGTTGAAGTGATTTCACTCTTGCCTCACGTCTTGCTGTAGGAAACAAAGTTCTCGCGTGGGGATCTTGCCGTAGCCTTGTACAACCAGTTTATCATGAAACACATGCACTAAGGCATGCGCAGTCTCGGACGGTGCACATTCAAGAATAGCATCACACACGACAAAATGCACGCCTTCGTTGTGCATGCCTTCACGCGCATAGACGTATCCGTCAGCATGTGAATGACCTGAAAAGACGACACGAACGCAGCTAAAACGCCAAATAAGCTCTAGTACTTCAGGGTAGTTCCATAACAAACTTGAAGGTGACGGTGTCGAGTTTGGGTGGATCGGGACATGAGTAAAGATCACCACATTGTCGTTATTCTTTGATGCTTTTACAAGAGTCTCTTCCAACCAACACATTTGCGCTTGATCCACGGCACCATTAAATGCAACAAATCTCCTCTGCTCATTAACAAGACCATTAGGAGAATTGTAATTCTCGTTTGGGTTTACCCGACGCAGCAGTGCCAAGGCTTCTTGATGCACTGGGTCGCTCTTTTCACGCCCGAGAATTGATAACCCGTAGCAATCTAGTACGACAAAGCAAAAGTTTGGAGCATCAGGTACTTGAAAGTCATAGTAACTACGATGCGGTGCATCATTCGCTATCGTGGGCGGTTGATAGAGTAGTTTTTTCTGGATCACTGAAGCAGGAAAGTTGTAGAGCTCGTGGTTCCCAATCAGGTGATGCACTGGACCCACTGCGCTTTCAAAGGATCTCCAAGCTGCTTTCGTACTCTCCAGAGCTTGTCGTGATGTTGAAGCTGGTCGGTTCTTACCATCAATGAGATCTCCTAGATTTACGGCAAAGCGAAGTTTTGCCGTCGAGGTTTTGCTTTCGGCGACGCGCAGCCATTCAATGATGGTGGCATTTAGTTGGGGTAGTGCATTACGATAATATCGTTTGGACGTGTGGTGATAATCCCACCCATCTTCTACGTCGGCATATTGCACGTCGGTCACTAAACCAAATGACACAAGTGGTGTTACTTGTCCTGACGTCACGCCTGTCATGAGTTCTCTAACCTATATATGTCCTATACTATATTTGCTTTTAGATGACGTTTGACCGTTTTAGAAATGAATATACTCTCACGAGTGTTACTATTGGGTCTCAAGAAGTATTGACTTTGCTTGACGCATCGTGCCTTGATGAATTCCAAAACGACATGTAGTCAATCCTATCGTATACAAAGCTTACAATCATGACGTAACATTGTAAGAGCTTTTGGGCCATGTACAGAAGACTACAACACAGCGCAACCATCGTCGGACAGCTTCTTATAACAACCAGCATCATCGTAAAAGCATCACAAGGTTTGGAATATACCTATCAATATTTCTGCACCAGAACAAGACAATGTCCAGATGCATCATGGCCAGTTCTGCAAAGACATTTCCTTCCTTCCGTAAAGCGTGTAGGATCGAATACCTGTCTTGCTCCTTGGTTCTAAATGGACAACGTGGAATATTCGAAAATGCTATCGGGTCGTTACAGACGATGGTAGAGGCAACTTTCAACATAACACAAGTACCTTGGTCGTAAGGATGGGGCCGAACAAAGGACACGGAAGATTCGAAAACTGGTTGGTTGGTTGTATACCTCAACTTCATTTCGAAACGTTGTTTGAAGCTACTAAAGGTAATTAAAGTATATAATTGCAATGACAATAGGGTTTTGCTTGTGAAAAATAGGGTTCTTCGACTGCATTAAGCGCCAAAACAATCGACAGCAAAAGAAGAACCACATGATTGAAGGGTTTGTTTGACCTGAAGCAGCTTCTTCATAACGCACTCAATTATCTCAACGACTTTATACAAGTCAAAAAAGAAAAATAGTACACTATCAGATATGTTGTGACATAAGTTTGGAACAGCTAAATTAGAATGCCAAACTAAAACTACTGCAACATTGGCGCAACAATCCCACACGGCTTCATTGAGTACACGAGAAAGCAGCCCAATGAACCCATATGTCGAGGCAGAAGAGAGACAATTCGATCCAAAGACGTACATCCATACGTCTACAGGAAACACAATTAGTCGAAAATGTACTTTATGTGGTGCTCAGAACATTCTATTACGCGGGAAGGTAATCAATATCTCTTAATAGCTGTATACTTGTATTTATCTGGATATGATCAATATGTTTTAGTGGTTAAACCTCATGTAATGAAATGTTTATACCTTGTTGCAGACAATTATTGATTCAGGAACAATTGTACGTGCAGATTTAGCAAAAGTTTCACTTGGTAAACAATGCATTATTCGAGAAAATTGTGTTGTAAAGCCTTCGTCAAGAATAATGTCCACGTATGACTGAAGTTTTGCTGCATTTGAGTAGCTTTTGACCGAGACTTTCGTTACTATTGAACATTTGCTATTGTATTGGCATGTAGAGGATTGGTTTTCATTCCTGTAAAAATGGGGGACTATGTGTACATTGGGGAAAACACGGTGGTAGAAGCTGCAATGATCGGGTCTTGCGTGCAGATTGGCAAAAACTGTGTCATTGTGAGTGTCGCCTTCACTGTATATTGTAGCGAGCTCTTGCTGATATGTTGAGCTGTCTTTGGGTTGCAGGGAAAGCAAGCCATTATTCGAGACTGTTGTCGGATTGAGGACAACACTGTTGTTCCTGCTGATGCTGTGATCCCGCCATTCTCAAGGATTGGCGGCATTCCAGGTATATATGTATCATGATATGATATGAATCAGGTGTGGTGAGATCTAAACTTGTGTTGGTTGGTTTTGATAGGAAAACTTCTTGAGGATATGCCTGAAGCTACCCAGGAATTAAGTATTGGGCAAATCAGTCGATATTTTGAAAATTTTACACCGCGTCAAGAATGAGCTCGTGGAAATTTGACCTTGCGCAAGAAGAGTTTTGATGCTCGCTTGAGCGGAAGGACAGCAATAAGTGCGATCAAACTTACCTTCCAAATACACCCATTTGACTTCTTCCATTATCATTCAGGCCGCTTTTACATCACTATGTTGTTACATACCGTGTCGTGGCAATATGTGTGCGATCGTGGTACGTTTGTAACGCACTCTGTAAGCTCTTCTCTAGCCACTGAACCATTATTCTGAAATGTACATTCAAAGTAGATTCACGTCGATGTGTATGTTAATGTTGGAAGTTGAAGCTGCTGGTGCGCCTCATTGCAAGAGGCACCTGAGTTTATAGTTCCAAGGGATACAAGCGACTCTTAGGAAACCCAGGTAAGATCTGAAGAAGGTAGTTAACATAACTAATATGTATATTTCACTTTTCCATTTCAAACCTGCATAACACATCTGCCTTCCAACAGGTTATAAGCCCAAGTTTTGCATAATTGTTGTAGTGTACCAAACGTCACACTTACAAGAACTATTCGCTTTCACAAAAGGAAAGCAATAGAAACGAATTTGTCAACCCAGAGCCCAAGAAGATGTCATCGTGCTTGCGCTACTACAAAATATGAGTGCAAGGCTTGACGGTCTCGAATGACAAATATCGACGAGCCCGATCATGAGTTCACGTGATGGTCAAGCCCCCCGTTCAGATGATTCTGGAATCACCGTTACATCATCCAAGCGCCAGAGGTATTCAAAAATTTGCTCGACAAGGTCGATCGCTTGGCGCATCTCAAATGATGCGTCAAGACTACACAAGTCAAGCAGATGCAAATCAAGTTGCCCCTAGGCAGTCTTCGTTGTACTGCAAACCTGTCAGTGCAACCTCACCTGATTGGCCAAATTTGTTGAGCTTGACAGATGGGACAGGATGGTAATGATGGACGATACATGGGACAGAGAGCTAAGGCCGTTACATGGGATAAGGAGCTAAGGTCGTTTATATGGGATAAGAGCTCTAAGGCGATATGCGATGTACAACTTGATCAGGTCCAGTTACAGCGCAGGGAAATGCATGTTATTCTGTTGATTGACAAAGTTATCATAATGTATCCTACTTCTAACTTCTGTGCAACAAGTGCCCATCTTACTTTTTACAGTATTCACGCGCAGGCGGCTAGACAACACGTCCAACAACCGGCTCTGTCATATCATGGAATAGATGACAAGCGGTACCAACGCGGAACCACGCTGCTTGGTGCATCCTGGATTGTTGACCCCGATAACAAGACGCGGAAGCTAAGCTAATGATTCAACAATTCACGGGCAAGGAACTCTATGTCGGATTGGGCAGTGGCTTCCGCGAGTGGGCAAGCTAGTTCTTGGAAGCGCCTGAAAATGCGGAGATGGCTTCAGGATATCGGTGGGCGAAGCGAAAAAAGGTGAATAAGTCGGGTGAGTACCTGGATAAGGACTTAATAGCTACAGACTACTTTCGAAAGAGTGTGGCGGCGTGGTGGTCTGTTTCCACACGTCTGGAATTGTCCTTGAAGAAATGCACAAAATCTTCATAAAAGTGACTCGTGCGCAAGCCTCAGATTTTAATGATGGAACCAAAGGAGTCAACTAGAACGTGGTCCTAACATCTTTTGTATCAAGTACAGCTATCTCGGGTTAGTGAGTCGAATGAACGGCGAACCATTGATAACATTGTCAAGCATGCGAACCCCATAATCAAGCAAATGATGTTCATCAGGCTCAATCCAACTCACCTCGACTATGTTGAGCACGCTCAAATATTTATCGCGTGGGCTCAAGAGATTGAGGACAACCAGAAAGGCTCAAAGCATATGGCTGTGAAGCCTAAATTGACTGGTATAGTTATATTTGGCTTGCACTTGACAGATGGAGTGGCTGGATTAATTATCGAAAAGAGCGACGAATTCAGAGATATCGTGCTTTATTTACAAAGGACCGCGTGTTACGCACTACACAGCACGTTCAGAACATCAGTACACTGATCAGGGGACCAAACGCGCAGTTAGTTCGCCAATCAGGTGAGGAATCTATGCCGTTGGACAGGTCAGCTGGGCGCTAAGTCAGGTGACATGAGAGCGGATAAAGATCACAGTTCAGATGAATTCGAGGATTTGTTTGATGAGTTTATGAAACGGCGTCGAGCATCGGGAGAAGCCGAGACTGGACTCCAAGAAGTCCAACACGCGTGGGAAGCGCGGTGGTAAAGGGAAGAGGAAAAATCCCAAGGTTGTTATCTTCACATGCAATTGTATCATGAATAAGGATTCATCACCTCCAAGATGCCGACTCGCTCCTAAATTCATTACTCGGGTACACTGGTTTTTCGAGTCGATGGTAGCGCAAACCTTTGCAGATTTGTCAATATCCAGAGAAAGTTGTCTTTCTTCGCTGATTCAATACAACCAGATCTGTGCCTGGGCTGACTCAAATAGTCCCTCTTGGAAGTTTGATTGTATCACGGGCGTAAGGCTCTTGCGACTCTCCGACCGCTGCAACGACATCGCGGCCCTTTAAAATCTCGATAGTCGACTCTCGCACTTCATTACTGCGGGTCAGGCTGCGGTTGCAAATGTACCGCGTACTCGGCTGCATCGCCCCAGAACCTCAGTTGTAGTCCAGAATAGAAGATCATCGAGCGTACTATGTTTATCACGGTTTGATTAATCCGCTCAGCTTTCCCGCTCGACACTTCGTTGTCAGCTTCTTACACTTGGCGGCGCACACCAAAGTTCTTGCAAAACGGGCCGACTACCTTGTACTCGGCGCCTCCATCTGTGTGAAGGCAGTGAACCTTGCAATTGAAACGCTTTGAAGTATACAAGGAATTGATCGAACTGCTTGGTCACCTTGTCCTTCGTCTTGGCGACAAAAACGTGGCATGTAGCCGAGATACTGTAGCCGAGCTAGTGTTATGCACTACGTGCAGAGGAAGACAAGCTCCAAGAGCTTATATGTCTTAGGATGCTTAACCCTCCTAGGCTAGCTCGCAAGCTTGTGCCTATCGGTTGTCACAACCGAGTCTCAAAGAGACTAGTACCAACGATACTACTTCCTGTCTTTCAAGGAAGAGAAAGCTTAAGCTGTGATGCTTATAGAGCAGGTTTGAAACTGATTTATATTTATGTTTATCTTCTAACACTAAATATAGAAGCACCTACTCTATACTTAGTGCTAGTCACTATTTACTGACTCTTTAGCCTGTTATTATTATGCAAACATGTATAGTCAATATACTTAACTAAGTATAGTGACCACGTCGCTCTCTGCCACGATGCGACCTTTCGTACCTTACGTACGGTCACATCGAGCCTACTCTTGTACCCAAGGTACAGCCACACCACATTGGTGTGGCAGGTGTGTATGTACAATGCACACCTCTGTTATACCCCGTTACACTAGCTGTGAAAAATGAACCAGACACTCAGCTTGCCTCAAATAGTCATCTCTTTGGGGGTTATTTCGTGTAAAACGCTTTCGAACACTATGCTTGTGGATTCTCAGAATACCACGTGTCCGCTTGGATGTTAAAATGCTGATCAGACTTGCCAGTAAGTACCGACCAATCACATTCAAATTGATATCTTCAGACCAGATAAACCCGCTGAGTTCCTCACCAATTCACACTTGATGAAGTAATCGCTTTCCCAAGTCGCAAAATTTGAACTAAGTCCTGGATACACCTCCTTGACGTCGACGTTTCTATCGCGAACTTTAGGTCCCTCATCTGCAGTAACATCTGCGGTTCAAAATTAGCTGGTGCTGGAACAGAACAGAACGCCGAACCCCGAGAATCCTGAGGAGGAAAGCTCATCCCGCCTCCTTCACCGTCCAGTATATTATGCGTTGACCCTGCTGCGTCTTGTCGCTCTGATCCAGGCACGACTTCGTCTTTGAACGAGGCCAGAGTCATGTTTCGTTCAATTCCCGTGCGCACATCCGCATACGCGCGGAAGATGCTGCTACCGTAGGACACGTCCGACGCTTGATCTTCCTCGACTCGGCGAGCTTCAAGCCTATTAGGCCGAGCTCCTTGTCACCCTATAAATTGGTAATTATTTCTAACAGCTTGGCCATGCCCTTGCCCGCGCCGGAGGCTATACTGGCTCCGTCGTCGTCGACTTGGGTCGTGGCTGGCGCTTGAACTTGAAGTCGAGTAGCTTAGTCCATGGTTTTTAGTCTCATTCATCATGATAAAGCTAGAATCTTCACAAACGTTTGGTGATCCTAGTCGCTACTGCGTGACTTGCCTCATGCGACAACCGCGAAGGCACCGGCAGAAGATATCCAGATGACGCTTCAAGACACCCTCCAGCCCAATGGGCGACCGGAGACCCACGGCTGATACAAGGTCTACCGTAATGCACCCTGGCTCAAGGTACCTGGGGCAGTGGTTGCGTGGACCACTAGTCATGTAACAGGATGCCACTGGGACCGACTGGTATTGCTTCAGGACCGAGCGAGGGACGCGAACCAAGAGTAGCGAGCTTACAAAATGGCAGCACGTGTACAACGAATGTATATTTAAGCCCCTGATAGGTTAAATATTCAGCCAATCAAAAATCAGCCAGGACAATTACCAGTTTACCCCAAGGCGTGATGAAGTTGCCAGGGGAGGAGAACCTACAACCTGGTAGGTAGTCTGCAGACATGCTCCGACGCGTCGATGGCAAACTTTCTGCAAGAGAGCCAAGTACCTTAACGGAGGTGTGTCCAGAGGGATACAGACGGCGCAAAGTTTGACAGCCCAAAACGGCCCGAGTGCAAGCCTCGGGACATCGCACGACAGCTGATGCGGTATGAAATCAGTCGGCTCATGCGAGTACTATTCAGTATGACATGAATCTTGAAGAACCTCTAGCGATGACGGCCAATGACACACTGGAACAGGCGTCCTACATGGTTCCCCGCATCAAGCTCTCGGCGACCTCAGATCTTGAGGAATTTAATGGGAGAGATTGAGATGAGGAACGAGCGCGCAGCTCGGTGACTGTTATGTAGACCGCATTTACGAGAGTTAAGCGCCATATGGAAAAGTATCTCGTTTTGGGAGATTGTTGACCGGGCAGCCCAGAAATGGTGCCACAAACAATGTTGCTCTGTTCAAACAAATGGAAGGAACCTGACACAGAAATTCCAGATGCAATTCTGCGGTTTGCAGGTACCAGTGGCCCGCCAATAATATTATGTGAAGAAGAGATCGGATGGATCCTCGTTGGACTATTTACATTGTCTGAATGTTATGGACTCAGCGCAAAGATTAAGATCGAAAAGGTCCAAGAACCCCAGTCTGGGGTCGATGCGAGCTGTTAAAGAGGAGACCGAAGACTTGTTTGCGATGGGGAAGCCTAATGTAAATTCGGGCTCCTTGGTACTGGGTTGGCGGTCCTATATAGACGACATTATGATACCGGCCGACTCGTAAGATACATTTGTGCAGAAAGTTGAAGCGGTTGTTAGATGTGTGTGACTATTGAAATCTATCGATCAGCGCGGTCAAGAGCTCGTGGGGTGCCAGGAGGTAGACTATCTCGGTCACCGGGTCTCGGACCAAGTGCAAGAGGCCCACTCAAAGGACCTGCAGTCCTTGGTTGACCTACCATTGACAACTACACACAAGGCCATGCAATCGTTTTTAGGAAGTTTAAACTACTAGAATAGATTCATTGAAGATTATGCGGTGTACGCATCGATTGCCTATGTTAAGGGTGGTAGATTTCCACGCGTGGCGATGTAGGTGAGGATGGAGACAGCGTGGTAGCTCAAGAAGAAGACAAAGAGAAGTGATCCAGGGTCCAAGTGGCTTTCGCTATGCTCAATAATAAAACCGCCACTGCAGTTATCCAAGGAAGCAGTAGTTATTGGTTATGCGAGTGAATAGGCCATATGCCCACCGTGAAGCTTAACGAAAAATTATATGTCATGAGTCTTGATGGGCCGGCCCGTGTGAAACAGGGAGGTGGAGCCTGTAGTGTTATTGTATGGATACTACCCACTTGGACTATAACTATAGTCAAGACACTTCGCTACATCTACAGTAAATGAGGCCGAATATGAGGGTATGTTACTAGGTTTGACCTGTTATAGTCCCTAGAGAGACGGCGATTGATCATTTGTGAGGATTCCAATTGGTGTTACGACAAATGCGGGTGGGTGGGAGGAAGCTCGAGTGTAAAGCTTCAGGATTGTCCCGTTACGAGCAAAATCTTTAAATAAGCTATTGTCGTGGCCCACCCAAGGAGTTGTACATGTGAAACGTAATTGGAATTAGAGTGCCGACCAGGTAGCCGGCACGGCCTTGCATCAGCGGAACGGGATCAAGTCGATACCGGAGGGAGAATGGCCAAGTCTGGAAGCGATCAATCAATTGCCAGAATTATTAGTTCCCAAGGACCGGAGTCCATTGGCTAAGATGTTTGCGGTGACCCGATCACGGTCCCCCGTCAGTATCAGGGGAGATCATGCAAGAAGACGTGATGCAACGACTCCGGGTAGATCGAATCAGGGAGGCGTAAGAGCAAGAAGAATGGGTGCGAGATTTGAGGATAAAATATGAAGGGAGATTGGGTCGACCTGTCTATGGCGTCCAGTCGATCGTGCAGTAAGATGGCCAGGGACTACGAGGTAAGCAAAGAAGGGCTACTACTTTATTGCCCCGTCCAGAAGCTTAAAGGAGATGAACGAGAGGCGATAGCCCGATTAGTGATACCTAAAAGTCTCCAAGCTGACATTCTGCATCGCTTCCACACCAGTCTGGAAGGAGGTCACCATAGGATTGGACGTACCTACCACCGAATTCAACGGTACTGCCATTGGAGGGGTCTATTCCGCAGTGTACAGATACATGTAGGTACTTATCTGAACTGTGGGACAGGGAAAGGAGGGCCTGCCCTGTAGGGCAAGATCCCGGGAAATGTCGAAGCAATATAGCCTTTCCAGATTATAGCAATGGATCATGTTCCCTCTCTGCCCAGGTCGCACAGAGAAAATACCGGCCTACTGATTTGGGTCGACTTGTTCACGGGCTATGTGATGGCCAAGGATAGTTTTTCGCGAATGGCCCAGACGATAGCTGAAGGGTACGAAGAATGCGTTTTTTTGCCGTTTTGGTACCAGCGAGGTAATCCGCCACGATCAAGAACCGTTTTTTTGGTATATAGTCGCATGGTGGGCCAGCGTCAACAATATACCATGGACTATCGACCTCAGGCGAACGGTACCGCGGAGAGGATGGTTTAGACCCTGACTACATCAAGATGTATGTCGCTAATTTCTGACAGCTGGAATGGGATGATTATGCAAAACGCTTAACGTTTGCGATAAACACCGCGCAAGACCGAGTCCGGAAGAAGACACCATTCTATCTGGTCCATATTTGGGATGCTAGGACCACCCTCGAAGCTACATTACCAGTGGTAAATACTTGACGTCGGGATTCTGGACCTCGAAGATGGAGTTACCACATTCAGCAGCACTATCAACGAGCGAGAGCCCCTGTGAATGAGAATTTACGAGCGACCAGTCACGCTCGGGTAATAGCCCACAACGAAGGAGTGATCGACCACGAGATCAGCCCGGAACCCAAGTATGGATTTACCTGAACCGTGTGAAAGAAGGGTACGCCATTGGCATGGAACTTTCGAGTTCTAAACTGGTAGGAAAGTACGCGGCACGTCTGGAAACCCGAGGCACGCAGTACAGGTTATTCCCACTCGTACATTTTTCCAAGCTTAAAGAATTATAGAGTTCCCCGACCAAACGAGTGCCATGCTGGAGATAGACGAAATCGATCTGGTCGACTGGGATGAATGCCTGTTTCCAGAAGACAGTTGAGAAAGAGAGTTGGAGGAGGGATAGTAGGAGGTCGAGGAAATCTTTAGACCCGCGCTGGAAAGAAGACGCGCTGTGGGAGACCGCAACGTTAGCTCCTCGTTTGCTGGAAAGGGTATGAACAACCCTCATGGGTGGATGAAATGGATTTGAATTGTGGAGCCTTACTTCGGGATGTTGAACGCAAGAAGACCAGGAGAAAATCTATTCTGCGATGAAAAGTCATGAGGACTAGTGGCAGAATCCGGGGTCTTTGGATGGTTGACCAGAGTCGATAGTGGATAGACCCTGGCTTTTTGAGGTGGACCTTTAGTATTTCAAGGTCAAACAGATCTATGACAAAAATAGGGAAGAAATGGATCGCAAGTATATTCAGGTGGAGAGCCTCAGCGGTGGAGACGACCTTGTTCCGGATGCGTGATACCGAGTACCCAGGGTTTAGACTCTGACGAAAGCTGATACTGGGAGAGTCAGGGATAAATGGAGTCGGAGATCTCAGAGCTTCCAGCAAGTTAGCGGGATCCGATCCCTCTTCACATCCCTGGAAACCAGTACACCAAGTAGCGAGGTCGGGGAAGGGGTCGGAAGAAAAGGTCAAGCAGAGTGTCGATATCGTACTTATTCCTTTGAAGATCATGTCGACGTCCCTCGCCATGCTCGAATCGTCCGACCACGACGCTCCTTTCGTGTGTTATAATACGACGCGAGGAAGGTGCTGGCGCGCGTTTGGTCTCCAGAGATCTATAGGCAGTGAGTGGCCTCCCAAACAGCTTGGCTGTTTTCCTCGTCGAAACGCATGTAGGCCGCCTCCAGTTCCGCGAGCCATTCCACTGGCTGAAAGTACACAGGTGGGATCAAGAATCGTGCCGGCAGCCATGGTCGGGTGTTCAAAGGTCTTGAGCATCGAAGAGTTGACCAACAACGACTTCCACTCGGAAGGTCGATCGAACTTTCCGTCCGGTGAAACGAACCAACCCCAAGGCAGCTCTAGGCGGTCGACCAAGTCACTTGGAGTCATCATTGCGATACTCAAAGAGCTGACTAGGTCAACCGACCAAGGCGCCACTTCGCAGCAGGAGCGATTTTTACTTATATATACCCAGGATGCCGTTCCCTTTTAGAAGGGTGACCCGCCTAGTGCGTAGTCGGCCCTCTAGACCGTGACGGGGACCTTATTGTCAGAAACTGACTCTGTATATGAGTCATAAGACCCGAATATGGCCCTGGAAAACGATGGACTCGGGGTAGTGACGGGCCTTGGGACATAAGCAGTCGAGGCAGCTGGGGATCGAGTATCTTGTTAATGCGTAGAGTCGACTTGAGGACCACGATCGAGCTAGGGTCGCCCGGACTACCTCGCTATCGTTGCTTGCCGAGTCATCACTCGGGTCTGGAGAAGGGAGTGGATGTAGTCCACGAAGGTTCCCAACCGTGGGAGTCGAAGACGGAATGCTAACATCGCTGGACTTGAAGACATTGGCGGCCACCAATTAGCCGATTGCCGTGGACGCTTACCCGATGCCGGGGCAGTATTTACCTTGGCGGCAGCCACTGGGGGACCACAAGGGTTTTGGCAGATTTGAGGCATAGACGGCATGGTCCAGACCCGCCACCAGAAGATAATATCGGCTTTGACGGTAATCAATCTGCCACCGCAGGTGCTCCACCAGAATCCTCTCGTGTTGCAGACCCTCACGCAACTGGACTACGAGATTGTTGGTGTCGAGAAGCTCTCTCCTCGAGACGCTCACTCCTGGCGGTCTAGTAGGCGTCGGAGGAGGAGACTGGAGCTAGTCGACCCTCGCACGCCTCGATCATGCTGACCTGCAGATCGCGCACAACTTGTGCACGTCTACTGGTCTCTTCAACGTAGTCGTAGGGTCGTTATACGAGGTGACAAGCGGATCGCAAGCGACCTGTGAAATCACGGGTCCACAACGGCAGTGGAGCTGGAGGTAGACCGAGGGCCACCTACGACAGGTGGAGTCTCGTCACCTACAGCTTTAGAAGAAACCGTTGTGGATGGACCTGATCCTGGCACCTCGGGAGAATCGACGATTGGCGATAAAGTGGGGACTTGCATTTGTGGGTTAGCAGCGAGTGCGGGGGTGACCAGTACCGGTCCACCAGACGGTAAGTCTACCCCAGAGGGAGGAACAGCTGAGGTCACATCAAGTCAGACAACAGATATACAACACCAAACAAGCTGAAATTACTTACTGGAAGAAGGAGTCGAAGACATGCGCGTGCTCAAGCGGCTGTACCGTTGACTAAGTGCAGGGGGCGGCTGTGGTGAAGCATTCTAACAATTGGAAGCCCAAGGACCAGTGGACCAAAGAGAAAGGGTCTCACCAATGAGATGCGATGTTGGGTAAGGGACAGAGATAAAGGGATCCAAAATGTGGGAAACGACCGTTGGATGGGGAAAATTCGCGGTCAAAGCCTGCTGGTTAGCCCCCAGGTCGACCATGAGCCACTATGTCCGGTTTAATTCGAGCGTCAAGCGAAGGCCCTGTCGAGCTTTAACGGAAGAGAAAATCTTTAGAGTCTGTTGCACCTACTCCAATGACATTGCTTTCATCTCCAGGCGACGACAGCGTTCTGCACGTTCCTAGTGATCCCGAGTTGCCGATGGAAACAAATGGGATGATCTCGGCCGCTTGCCACGCTGCATAACTGCGCTGAAATTTGAAGCCCCACCAGTAGCCCCCCAACTGTTGTTTACAATACGGGGAGCTTTGCTACAATTTGCGTTATTGCCCTTAGAATCCGTTGGGCATAAAACAAATTGTGCACAAGCTAGCAAACTTGATTCGAGACACGACATTGAGCTTCGACAGTCTCGACAAGCAATCCATTCTGCCATTGGCCCAACAATTGAGCCGATTACATGCGTTTCATGACCTGACAAGTCAAACGGGGTCGCACTTCTGGTTATATACGGGTATATGATTTTGTAAAATATTAATAATTTGATCTGTAAGCAGCCTCTGCACCAATATTTTCGGCACTCTACGCCTGGATGTTTGTCCCGGACTTAGTGCTCGCATCTAAATTTCCGCAGTGACGTGGTCTCCCAACGTCAGAATAACCTCTTCGTAAATTTCTGCAATCGATGACTCGGTTTCCAATTGCTGCAACAAGTCGATGATAGCATGAGTGATATAAATTTGATTTAATACCCATAACGTTGTTTAGGATGAAAACGTTTTGGAAGTCCTTGTCTTTTCGTCAAGAAGTGCCATTAAGCGCTGTTGCGATTTTGCGGCACAAATTATGAGGGGATCCATGAGTTGCAGTATTCAAATACCTCGCGGCACCAAATTGGACTGCGATTTCAACAGAATACCAGCATCTTGCAGTACTGAGTTAGTTCCATCGCGCATTGTTACTATCAAGTTAATCGAAGGGTGTTTTTTAAAGCCCACAATAGACATCCGGGTCAATGTGAGGTCTAAAATGAACTTGAACCGTTTCCGAAACGACTTGTAGAACACTGAAAGCAATGAAGACGTCAATGAACAACCAAGTGAGAAATACTGTCATCACTGGTATCAAAAGCATGCCACGAGAAGATTCCACAATGTCTGAACCTAGAATTCAAAAATGAGGAAAACAAGCTAGCTATTGTGTGTGGTATAGTCCTACAATGGATCTTGACGAATTGTTCCATCTTGCGTGGAATGTAACAACCTTTGGCTCACTATAATCAGTCAAAGATTAGCATTTAGCATATTGGGAACGTGATCAGATCAACGTTTGCTTAAATAAAAATACACATTGCTACTGTTGTAGAGTGTAAACACTTTTCATAAACCCATTTGCAGCCTGCGAGGGGATTGTCAGTTATTTTATGATGAATAAGAGGATAATAATCGATCAACATGGGTTTCGAATTTTCTAATTGATTTGATTGGCTCAAGGGCGCGTGGCTCTTCTGTGATTGGTGCAATACCTGTTGTAATGTCTCCTACCACACAAATCACGTATTAATTTAGTCATTCAACGATTCATGGAGTTAAAAATGGAAGACACGCTCAAGAAAGCAGCAGCAGCGTCTTCTGGTGCATTGCTTACGTCATTGTTTGTGACACCACTGGATGTGGCAAAAGTGCGCATTCAGTCGCAGATTCAAGCAAGTATAATCTCGCCCAAGTCACTTGCCGACCTGCGCGTGATACACTCAAGTGTTGGTACTCCGATCATTGAACAATGTCGCTGTCGTAGTCGCTGTGTATGTAATCGATGCATCACTCGTCCTGTCGATCAGTTGAAAGATATGCGACGCGGGTGTAAATCCATGTCCGTGATGCGCCTCTCCTGTTCACGAACCATGGCGCCTCCTCTTTTCCAAAGCACATTTCATGCATTGCGTCACATCTTTCAGACTGAAGGACTTAAGGGATTGTTTGCAGGTTTGTCACCCGCTATGGTCATTTCTGTACCGTCAACTGTGCTGTATTATATATCGTACGATTTTTTATTGCACGAGGGACGTCAGAAATTGCCAGAGTTGGAGAGCTTGACGCCGTTGATGGCAGGCATAACGGCGAGAACCGTTGCGGCGACGATTACATCACCTATTGAGCTAGTAAGAACGAGAATGCAGGGAGTGAATGCTGGAACTAGTATTTTGTCTACATTTCAGCACGCAGTACGACGCGGAGGATACATGTCATTGTTGAATGGATTGGGAGCGACGTTGGCACGCGACGTGCCGTTCTCGGCCATCTACTGGATGTCATACGAGAATCTTCAGAGACGATTGATTGCAACGAAGGAAGAAATGACAAGAACACATAGAGCGTTTGTGTGTGGCGCAGTATCCGGTGCTATTGCTGCTACAATTACGACTCCTTTTGATGTGGTAAAGACGCTGCAGCAAGTATCAATGACTGCACAAGGATCGCAGACGTCTGGAATGCGGATGCTTCGACAGGTTGTGGCCAGCAAGGGCATGGCTGGTGCTTTTACGGGACTTGGTGCACGTCTTGCGCGGGTGATGCCATCGTGTGCTATCATGATTTCTTGCTACGAGCTTGGAAAGGAGAAATTAGGTGTTGCATGAGAGTCGAAAGTAAGGTAGAGAGCAGGACTTGTAGCAAGGAAGAAGCTTGCTTTTGAAAGGCCATGGCCCGATACTATTTAATATGAATGGAAGCTGCGGATGGGTTTTCTCAATCTTTGCAATCGGTGTAATCTTTGTTCTACTAATGATGAGGTGTTTCGTCAAGTGTTCCTGTATTACCTAATAACCTTTGTAAAAAGCGTTTACCTGTGTTTAGGCTTTGTTCCCTTGTAGCCTACAAACTTATTCAATGGATAATAACCTTTGTTAACAAATAACTGTCGCACTCCCTAGCATAGGCTATAACCATAGTTAAACTTTGCATACAGTCTTCGCTAGTATCTAATGACTTGTGGTGATGACATATAGAGCAAATCCATACGAATCTTTGTCATGAACATTGTGACAAAATAGGCGCCACCAGTAAACATTCGATTATGTTTGGGTGAAATGTATCATGCAATACGCAATCATAGAAAAGAATCGATCTCGGCTACCATCGTAAACATTGTTGCTTGAAGGTGTATTAGTAAATATTAACATTGATGATTCGACACTATAACAAAGCTCGCACGACCGTCGGAGAGAGAGAGAGAGAGGCGGATATGTAGCCAGCTTTGCTTCATACGGCAGTCATCACTGCATTTCTGGCTTCAAAGGCGAAACGTCAAAAAGTTCATGGTGAGGCTGTCCATTGTCAATTGCAGACTCTTGTGTTGTGGCCATGATGGATGTGCAATAATCTTTGCCATCCCATCAATTTTCCGTCCTACACATCTGCGACACCCCCATGCAGCAACAATCACAGTGTGCAGACTGATTTAAATTCACGGCTGCCATTCAATTTTAACACGTCAGCTGCAATTCGTTATTTAATATCAAAAGACGGTAGATTTATCAAAACACGGTAGCATTTGATTGCAAGGTAATTACTCGATTAAATAATGATCAACTTTTGGTACTTACTAAGCTCCAAGATAAGAATAAGAAATTGGGTGGATGCGCCTATCTCTTTCATTAATTCCATGCCAAAATCTCATCTTTGATTGGTCCTATATTGAAAACGTATCTTTAAAATATCCTGGGGATAAATAAGCTCGACAAAAGAGGGGGGAGAGAACCACGACGGAGGGTGTTCAATCTCAAGTCTCACTTTTCCATTTACTACCATCAAAACAAGTAAAGTGATCATTTCAAAAGAAGAGTGAGAAAGAGTGAGGGAAAGATGTCTGAACATAGTCCATTACTTGCTAATGGTGATGAACATTCATACAGTGGTGTAAGTAATGATGATCGATTTTACTTGGGAGTTGATAAACGTTCACTATTGGATACAAATGAAGCTGGATTAAGTACAGTTGAAGCTTCACGTCGTCTAAAGGTATTTGGTCCGAATGAACTCGTAACAAAGGAAAAAAGTGCATGGATTAAACTAGCGGAACAATTCTGGGGCCCTATGCCTATTATGATTTGGCTTGCTATTCTTGTTGAAGCAATTACAAGAGATTGGCCTGATTTCTTAGTTCTTCTCTTCTTACAATTACTAAATGGTACTGTTGGATGGTATGAAGAACTCAAGGCTGGTAATGCTGTGGCTGCACTGAAAGCTAGTCTTAAACCTGAAGCACAGGTCATTCGTGACGGTGTACACCAGACCATTAATGCTGCATTGCTCGTGCCAGGTGATCGCATCACACTATCGGCTGGCGCGGCCGTCCCTGCTGACTGTGACCTGTGTGAGGGAAACCCCGTGCAGATTGATCAAGCTGCGTTGACAGGCGAGTCATTTCCAGTAACTATGGCTGCTGGTGACAATGCCAAGATGGGATCTACCGTTGTCCGTGGTGAAGTAGAGGCTGTAGTCTCTGCTACTGGTGGTCAGACGTTTTTTGGTAAAACAGCCAGTCTTATCTCATCGGTGGACGAAGTAAGCCATTTCCAAAAGATTCTGCTTCGTATTACCATGTTTCTCATGGCCATTTCATTTGTATTGGTCGGATTCTGTCTTGGATATTTGATCTACAATGGCGAAGACTTTCTTGAAGCAATTGCTTTTTGTGTTGTGCTGCTCGTTGCTTCCATCCCCATTGCAATGCAGGTGGTATGCACATCAACAATGGCTCTTGGATCTCGCAAACTTGCCGAAGAAAAGGTCATTGTTACTCAACTGCAGTCAATTGAAACACTCTCTGGCATGAACATGCTATGTTCAGACAAAACTGGTACGCTTACGCGCAACAAGATGGAGCTGCAAGATGACTTGCCAATTTTTCACCCGACTGCTACACGAGAAGAAGTGCTAGTGACAGCTGCCCTTGCTGCCAAATGGAAAGAGCCGCCTAAAGATGCTCTGGACACGCTTGTACTGAACGCGATCGACTTGCGTCCGCTTGATCAATACACGATGATGGACCACATGCCGTTCGATCCCTCGGTGAAGCGTACGGAATCAACGATCCGTGGACCGGACGGTAAGGTGTTCAAGGTAACCAAGGGTGCACCGCAAATCATTCTTGCACTTGCCCATAACGTTACTGAAATCCAGGAGGATGTTGAAGCAAAGGTTTTGGACCTGGCCAAGCGTGGCATTCGCTCGCTTGCTGTTGGCCGAACTTCAGAAGATGAAGCTGAGGGTGGCTGGGTATTCCTTGGTATTATGACGTTCCTCGACCCCCCGCGTCATGATACTAAGCGTACCATTGAGCTGGCTCATCAGAACGGTATTGGCGTAAAGATGATTACTGGTGATCAGGCCGCAATTGCTGTAGAAACGTGCCGTATGCTCGGAATGGGTACGACTATTCTGGGCACGGATGTGTTGCCGACGGCTAACGCGCAGGATGGTCTCTCAATGAATCTGGGCTCGGACTACGGTGCTGTTGTTGAAAGCGCCGACGGTTTTGCTCAGGTATTCCCGGAGCACAAGTTCTTGATTGTCGAGGTACTGCGTCAGCGCGGATGGGTGTGTGGTATGACCGGTGATGGCGTGAACGACGCTCCTGCATTGAAAAAGGCTGATGTCGGTATTGCTGTTGAAGGCTCGACAGACGCTGCCCGCGCTGCTGCAGACATTGTGCTCACGCAGCCTGGTCTGTCTGTTATCATCAACGCTATTACTCTGTCCCGCAGGATCTTCCAGCGCATGCGCAATTATGTGACGTATCGCATTGCTTGCACGATCCAGCTTCTCATGTTCTTCTTCATCTCAGTGTTGCTGTTCCACCCGGACAGCTGCCGCTTCCAGCACTTTATTCCACACATTGGAGACTGCCCACTCAACAACAACGAGAGTACGGAAGCTGTAGACCCGTACTTCAAACTTCCCGTCATTGCTCTGGTGCTGATTACGATTTTGAACGATGGCACGATTATTTCGATTGCCTACGACAATGTGATTCCCTCGAAGCGCCCGGAAAGCTGGAACCTGCCCCGTATCTACTGGGTGTCGACAACGCTTGGTCTGATTGCTGTTGCTAGCTCTCTTCTGTTGCTCTTCTGGGGCCTCGACTCGTGGAACAAGAACGGCGTTCTTGCGTACTTCGACCTGGGTGATCTTCCATACGACCAGGTCATGATGATGATGTATCTCAAAATTTCGCTGTCCGACTTTATGACAGTGTTCACGGCTCGTACCGACGGACTGTTCTTCACGCGTGCACCTGGTCATCTTCTTGCACTTGCTGCGTGCTTTGCTACCATCGTGTCTACGCTTCTTGCTGTGTTCTGGCCCTTCACGGAGATGGACGCAATTTCGTTAAGACTTGCAATTTTCATCTGGATCTACTGCCTCGGATGGTTCTTTATCCAGGATCTTGGCAAGGTACTTCTCATATTCCTGCTTGATCACATTGACCACATGAACGTCTTTGAGCGTAAGGTTAGTAGCAAGCGGTATGTGAAGCATGAAGCCCAGCGCCAGAACCGTATTCGAATGGGTTCGACTCTGCTGAACAACGACTCGTTCATGCGCGGCTCGTTCGTAGCTGGCCGACCAGTGGGTGGTACTTTCGTGGAGCGCAGCATGACGTTGGAGCAAGCCATGAACCGCCTTGTGCGCCTGGAGGCTGAAATGAAGGTCATTCGTGCCGTCATTCAGAATGCCACGAGTACAGCCAAGGTATAAATGGTCGACAAGAAATGTTGTGGCTGCAACCGCGTGACGCATTGAATGGAATACGAATGGTTGGGTTTAACACCACAGCAAACTCAGTCTGTTCATATGAAGTGATTGCTGGTGCGCATTTTCAGTTTTCCAGGTAGAAAGTGGCAAAGGGAGATAGAAGGAATTGTGTGTGTTAACGCAAATTGTTCTACCTTCTCACTTTTACTTGATATCATTTGATTTTGTTCGTGCGTGTGCCAAATCAAATTGAACGACGACTGTATCGATAGCAACTATCAATAACTTGAGCCTAGACGAAGCCTCACAAATTTAACTAAAGTTATAGTTACTTCACATCCGCATTGGTGAGCCCCTTTCTCTTTGGTCCACTGGTCCTTGGGCTTCCAATTGTTAGAATGCTTCACCACAGCCGCCCCTGCACTTAGTCAACGGTACAGCCGCTTTAGCACGCGCATATCTTCGACTCCTTCTTCCAGTAAGTATTTTCAGCTTGTTTGGTGTTGTATATCTGTTGTCTGACTTGATGTGACCTCAGCTGTTCCTCCCTCTGGGGTAGACTTACCGTCTGGTGGACCGGGACTGGTCACCCCCGCACTCGCTGCTAACCCAAAATTGCAAGTCCCCACTTTGTCGCCAATCGTCGATTCTCCCGAGGTGCCAGGATCAGGTCCATCCACGACGGTTTCTTCTAAAGCTTAGGTGACGAGACTCCACCTGTCTAGGTGCCCTCGGTCTACCTCTAGCCCACTGCCGTTGTGGACCCGTGATTTCACAGGTCGCTTGCGTTCCGCTTGTCACCTCGTATAACGACCCTACGACTACGTTGAAGAGACCAGTAGACGTCACAAGTTGTGCGCGATCTGCAGGTCAGCATGACCGTTTGGTTCGAGGCGTGCGAGGGTCGACTAGCTCCAGTCTCCTCCTCCGACGCCTACTAGACCGCCAGGAGTGAGCGTCTCGAGGAGAGAGCTTCTCGACACCAACAATCTCGTAGTCCAGTTGCGTAGGGTCTGCAACACGAGAGGATTCTGGTGGAGCACCTGCGGTGGCAGATTGATTACCGTCAAAGCCGATATTATCTTCTGGTGGCGGGTCTGGACCATGCCGTCTATGCCTCAAATCTGCCAAAACCCTTGTGGTCCCCCAGTGGCTGCCGCCAAGGTAAATACTGCCCCGGCATCGGTAAGCGTCTACGGCAATCGGCTAATTGGTGGCCAATGTCTTCAAATCCAGCGATGTTAGCATTTCGTCTTCGACTCCCACGGTTGGGAACCTTCGTGGACTACTTCCACTCCCTTCGCCAGACCCGAGTGATGACTCGGCAAGCAACGATAGCGAGGTAGTCCGGGCGACCCTAGCTCGATCGTGGTCCTCAAGTCGACTCTACGCATTAACAAGATACTCGATCCCCAGCTGCCTCGACTGCTTATGTCCCAAGGCCCGTCACTACCCCGAGTCCATCGTTTTCCAGGGCCATATTCGGGTCTTATGACTCATATACAGAGTCAGTTTCTGACAATAAGGTCCCCGTCACGGTCTAGAGGGCCGACTACGCACTAGGTGGGTCACCCACGCTTCTAAAAGGGAACGGCATCCCTGGGTATATATAAGTGAAAATCGCTCACTGCTGCGAAGTGGCGCCTTGGTCGGTTGACCTAGTCAGCTCTTTGAGTATCGCAATAATGACTCCAAGTGACTTGGTCGACCGCCTAGAGCTGCCATGAGGTTGGTTCGTTTCACCGGACGGGAAGTTCGATCGACCTTCCAAAGTGGAAGTCGTCGTTGGTCAACTCTTCGATGCTCAAGACCTTTGAACACCCGACCATGGCTGCCGGCACGATTCTTGATCCCACCTGTGTACTTTCAGCCAGTGGAATGGCTCGCGGAACTGGAGGCGTCCTACATGCGTTTCGACGAGGAACACAGCCAAGCTGTTTGGGAGGCCACTCACTGCCTATAGATCTCTGGAGACCAAATGCCGCCAGCACCTTCCTCGCGTCATATTATAACACACGAAAGGACGTCGTGGTCGGACGATTCGAGCATGGCGAGGGTCGTCGACATGATCTTCAAAGGAATAAGTGACGGTCGATACGACATCGACACTCTGCTTGACCTTTCTTCCGACCCCTTCCCCGACCTCGCTACTTGTTACTGGTTTCCAGGATGTGAAGAGGATCGGATCCCGCTAACTTGCTGGAAGCTCTGAGATCTCCGACTCCATTTATCCCTGACTCTCCCAGTATCAGCTTTCGTCAGAGTCTAAACCCTGGGTACTCGGTATTACGCATCCGGAACAAGTTCGTCTCCACCGCTTAGGCTCTCCACCTGAATATACTTGCGATCCATTTCTTCCCTATTTTTGTCATAGATCTGTACTTCTTTTTCTTCTAATAAATTTTTTTTTTTTTTTTTTTTTTTTTATTTTTTTAAAAACAGGGTCAACCCAAAAAGACCAAGGTCTACCAATGAAAGACCAGGGTCAACCTCGAGACCACGGTCCACCAATAATAGACTAGGGTCGACATTGAATTACTAAAGGTCCACATCAAAAAGCCAGGGTCTATCCACTATCGACTCTGGTCGGCCATCCAAAGACCCCGGATTCTGCCACTAGTCCTCATCACTTTTCATCGCAGAAGAGATTTTCTCCTTGTCTTCTTGCGTTCAAAATCCCGAAGTAAGGCTCCACAATTCAAATCCATTTCATCCACCCATGAGGTTGTTCATACCCTTTCCAGCAAACGAGGAGCTAACGTTGCGGTCTCCCCACAGCGTCTTCTTTCCAGCGCGGGTCTAAAGATTTCCTCGACCTCCTACTATCCCTCCTCCAACTCTCTTTCTCAACTGTCTTCTGGAAACAGGCATTCATCCCAGTCGACCAGATCGATTTCGTCTATCTCCAGCATGGCACTCGTTCGGTCGGGGAACTCTATAATTCTCTTTAAGCTTGGAAAAATGTACGATTGGGAATAACCTGTACTGCGTGCCTAGGGTTTCCAGACGTGCCGCGTACTTTCCTACCAGTTTAGAACTCGAAAGTTCCATGCCAATGGCGTACCCTTCTTTCACACGGTTCAGGTAAATCCATACTTGGGTTCCGGGCTGATCTCGTGGTCGATCACTCCTTCGTTGTGGGCTATTACCCGAGCGTGACTGGTCGCTCGTAAATTCTCATTCACAGGGGCTCTCGCTCGTTGATAGTGCTGCTGAATTGGTAACTCCATCTTCGAGGTCCAGAATCCCGACGTCAAGTATTTACCACTGGTAATGTAGCTTCGAGGGTGGTCCTAGCATCCCAAATATGGACCAGATAGAATGGTGTCTTCTTCCGGACTCGGTCTTCGCGGTGTTTATCGCAAACGTTAAGCGTTTTGCATAATCATCCCATTCCAGCTGTCAGAAATTAGCGACATACATCTCAGGGTCTAAACCATCCTCTCCGCGGTACCGTTCGCCTGAGGTCGATAGTCCATGGTATATTGTTGACGCTGGCCCACCATGCGACTATATACCAAAAAAACGGTTCTTGATCGTGGCGGATTACCTCGCTGGTACCAAAACGGCAAAAAAACGCATTCTTCGTACCCTTCAGCTATCGTCTGGGCCATTCGCGAAAAACTATCCTTGGCCATCACATAGCCCGTGAACAAGTCGACCCAAATCAGTAGGCCGGTATTTTCTCTGTGCGACCTGGGCAGAGAGGGAACATGATCCATTGCTATAATCTGGAAAGGCTATATTGCTTCGACATTTCCCGGGATCTTGCCCTACAGGCAGGCCCTCCTTTCCCTGTCCCACAGTTCAGATAAGTACCTACATGTATCTGTACACTGCGGAATAGACCCTCCAATGGCATACCGTTGAATTCGGTGGTAGGTACGTCCAATCCTATGGTGACCTCCTTCCAGACTGGTGTGGAAGCGATGCAGAATGTCAGCTTGAGACTTTTAGGTATCACTAATTGGGCTATCGCCTCTCGTTCATCTCCTTTAAGCTTCTGGACGGGGCAATAAAGTAGTAGCCCTTCTTTGCTTACCTCGTAGTCCCTGGCCATCTTACTGCACGATCGACTGGACGCCATAGACAGGTCGACCCAATCTCCCTTCATATTTTATCCTCAAATCTCGCACCCATTCTTCTTGCTCTTACGCCTCCCTGATTCGATCTACCCGGAGTCGTTGCATCACGTCTTCTTGCATGATCTCCCCTGATACTGACGGGGACCGTGATTGGGTCACCGCAAACATCTTAGCCAATGGACTCCGGTCCTTGGGAACTAATAATTCTGGCAATTGATTGATCGCTTCCAGACTTGGCCATTCTCCCTCCGGTATCGACTTGATCCCGTTCCGCTGATGCAAGGCCGTGCCGGCTACCTGGTCGGCACTCTAATTCCAATTACGTTTCACATGTACAACTCCTTGGGTGGGCCACGACAATAGCTTATTTAAAGATTTTGCTCGTAACGGGACAATCCTGAAGCTTTACACTCGAGCTTCCTCCCACCCACCCGCATTTGTCGTAACACCAATTGGAATCCTCACAAATGATCAATCGCCGTCTCTCTAGGGACTATAACAGGTCAAACCTAGTAACATACCCTCATATTCGGCCTCATTTACTGTAGATGTAGCGAAGTGTCTTGACTATAGTTATAGTCCAAGTGGGTAGTATCCATACAATAACACTACAGGCTCCACCTCCCTGTTTCACACGGGCCGGCCCATCAAGACTCATGACATATAATTTTTCGTTAAGCTTCACGGTGGGCATATGGCCTATTCACTCGCATAACCAATAACTACTGCTTCCTTGGATAACTGCAGTGGCGGTTTTATTATTGAGCATAGCGAAAGCCACTTGGACCCTGGATCACTTCTCTTTGTCTTCTTCTTGAGCTACCACGCTGTCTCCATCCTCACCTACATCGCCACGCGTGGAAATCTACCACCCTTAACATAGGCAATCGATGCGTACACCGCATAATCTTCAATGAATCTATTCTAGTAGTTTAAACTTCCTAAAAACGATTGCATGGCCTTGTGTGTAGTTGTCAATGGTAGGTCAACCAAGGACTGCAGGTCCTTTGAGTGGAGCCTCTTGCACTTGGTCCGAGACCCGGTGACCGAGATAGTCTACCTCCTGGCACCCCACGAGCTCTTGACCGCGCTGATCGATAGATTTCAATAGTCACACACATCTAACAACCGCTTCAACTTTCTGCACAAATGTATCTTACGAGTCGGCCGGTATCATAATGTCGTCTATATAGGACCGCCAACCCAGTACCAAGGACCCGAATTTACATTAGGCTTCCCCCATCGCAAACAAGTCTTCGGTCTCCTCTTTAACAGCTCGCATCGACCCCAGACTGGGGTTCTTGGACCTTTTCGATCTTAATCTTTGCGCTGAGTCCATAACATTCAGACAATGTAAATAGTCCAACTAGGATCCATCCGATCTCTTCTTCACATAATATTATTGGCGGGCCACTGGTACCTGCAAACCGCAGAATTGCATCTGGAATTTCTGTGTCAGGTTCCTTCCATTTGTTTGAACTGAGCAACATTGTTTGTGGCACCATTTCTGGGCTGCCCGGTCAACAATCTCCCCAAAACGAGATACTTTTCCATATGGCGCTTAACTCTCGTAAATGCGGTCTACATAACAGTCACCGAGCTGCGCGCTCGTTCCTCATCTCAATCTCTCCCATTAAATTCCTCAAGATCTGAGGTCGCCGAGAGCTTGATGCGGGAACCATGTAGGACGCCTGTTCCAGTGTCATTGGCCGTCATCGCTAGAGGTTCTTCCAAGATTCATGTCATACTGAATAGTACTCGCATGAGCCGACTGATTTCATACCGCATCAGCTGTCGTGCGATGTCCCAAGGCTTGCACTCGGGCCGTTTTGGGCTGTCAAACTTTGCGCCGTCTGTATCCCTCTGACACACCTCCGTTAAGGTACTTGGCTCTCTTGCAGAAAGTTTGCCATCGACGCGTCGGAGCATGTCTGCAGACTACCTACCAGGTTGTAGGTTCTCCTCCCCTGGCAACTTCATCACGCCTTGGGGTAAACTGGTAATTGTCCTGGCTGATTTTTGATTGGCTGAATATTTAACCTATCAGGGGCTTAAATATACATTCGTTGTACACGTGCTGCCATTTTGTAAGCTCGCTACTCTTGGTTCGCGTCCCTCGCTCGGTCCTGAAGCAATACCAGTCGTCCCAGTGGCATCCTGTTACATGACTAGTGGTCCACGCAACCACTGCCCCAGGTACCTTGAGCCAGGGTGCATTACGGTAGACCTTGTATCAGCCGTGGGTCTCCGGTCGCCCATTGGGCTGGAGGGTGTCTTGAAGCGTCATCTGGATATCTTCTGCCGGTGCCTTCGCGGTTGTCGCATGAGGCAAGTCACGCAGTAGCGACTAGGATCACCAAACGTTTGTGAAGATTCTAGCTTTATCATGATGAATGAGACTAAAAACCATGGACTAAGCTACTCGACTTTCATATTAAATAGTATCGGGCCATGGCCTTTCAAAAGCAAGCTTCTTCCTTGCTACAAGTCCTGCTCTCTACCTTACTTTCGACTCTCATGCAACACCTAATTTCTCCTTTCCAAGCTCGTAGCAAGAAATCATGATAGCACACGATGGCATCACCCGCGCAAGACGTGCACCAAGTCCCGTAAAAGCACCAGCCATGCCCTTGCTGGCCACAACCTGTCGAAGCATCCGCATTCCAGACGTCTGCGATCCTTGTGCAGTCATTGATACTTGCTGCAGCGTCTTTACCACATCAAAAGGAGTCGTAATTGTAGCAGCAATAGCACCGGATACTGCGCCACACACAAACGCTCTATGTGTTCTTGTCATTTCTTCCTTCGTTGCAATCAATCGTCTCTGAAGATTCTCGTATGACATCCAGTAGATGGCCGAGAACGGCACGTCGCGTGCCAACGTCGCTCCCAATCCATTCAACAATGACATGTATCCTCCGCGTCGTACTGCGTGCTGAAATGTAGACAAAATACTAGTTCCAGCATTCACTCCCTGCATTCTCGTTCTTACTAGCTCAATAGGTGATGTAATCGTCGCCGCAACGGTTCTCGCCGTTATGCCTGCCATCAACGGCGTCAAGCTCTCCAACTCTGGCAATTTCTGACGTCCCTCGTGCAATAAAAAATCGTACGATATATAATACAGCACAGTTGACGGTACAGAAATGACCATAGCGGGTGACAAACCTGCAAACAATCCCTTAAGTCCTTCAGTCTGAAAGATGTGACGCAATGCATGAAATGTGTTTTGGAAAAGAGGAGGCGCCATGGTTCGTGAACAGGAGAGGCGCATCACGGACATGGATTTACACCCGCGTCGCATATCTTTCAACTGATCGACAGGACGAGTGATGCATCGATTACATACACAGCGACTACGACAGCGACATTGTTCAATGATCGGAGTACCAACACTTGAGTGTATCACGCGCAGGTCAGCAAGTGACTTGGGCGAGATGATACTTGCTTGAATCTGCGACTGAATGCGCACTTTTGCCACATCCAGTGGTGTCACAAACAATGACGTAAGCAATGCACCAGAAGACGCTGCTGCTGCTTTCTTAAGCGTGTCTTCCATTTTTTAGCTCCATGAATCGTTGAATGACTAAATTAATACGTGATTTGTGTGGTAGGAGACATTACAACAGGTATTGCACCAATCACAGAAGAGCCACGCGCCCTTGAGCCAATCAAATCAATTAGAAAATTCGAAACCCATGTTGATCGATTATTATTCATGATAAAATAACTGACAATCCCCTCGCAGGCTGCAAATGACACTCTACAACAATAGCAATGTGTATTTTTATTTAAGCAAACGTTGATCTGATCACGTTCCCAATATGCTGAATGCTAATCTTTGACTGATTATAGTGAGCCAAAGGTTGTTACATTCCACGCAAGATGGAACAATTCGTCAAGATCCATTGTAGGACCATACCACACACAATAGCTAGCGTGTTTTCCTCATTTTTGAATTCTAGGTTCAGACATTGTGGAATCTTCTCGTGGCATGCTTTTTGATACCAGTGGTGACAGTATTTCTCACTTGGTTGTTCATTGACGTCTTCATTGCTTTCAGTGTTCTACAAGTCGTTTCGGAAACGGTTCAAGTTCATTTTAGACCTCACATTGACCCGGATGTCTATTGTGGGCTTTAAAAAAACACCCTTCGATTAACTTGATAGTAACAATGCGCGATGGAACTAACTCAGTACTGCAAGATGCTGGTATTCTGTTGAAATCGCAGTCCAATTTGGTGCCGCGAGGTATTTGAATACTGCAACTCATGGATCCCCTCATAATTTGTGCCGCAAAATCGCAACAGCGCTTAATGGCACTTCTTGACGAAAAGACAAGGACTTCCAAAACGTTTTCATCCTAAACAACGTTATGGGTATCAAATCAAATTTATATCACTCATGCTATCATCGACTTGTTGCAGCAATTGGAAACCGAGTCATCGATTGCAGAAATTTACGAAGAGGTTATTCTGACGTTGGGAGACCACGTCACTGCGGAAATTTAGATGCGAGCACTAAGTCCGGGACAAACATCCAGGCGTAGAGTGCCGAAAATATTGGTGCAAGGCTGCTTGGGCACAAGAATTCATGGTCTTGAACGACGCTATTGCGACAATCAATACTGGTGCTCGTGCGACGCACGAGGTGTTACGATCGAATTATCGAGCTGCTTACGGATGGTTTGATCCGGAGACCAGAAGTGCGACCCCGTTTGACTTGTCATGTCATGAAACGCATGTAATCGGCTCAATTGTTGGGCCAATGACAGAATGGATTGCTTGTCGAGACTGTCGAAGCTCAATGTCGTGTCTCGAATCAAGTTTGCTAGCTTGTGCACAATTTGTTTTATGCCCAACGGATTCTAAGGGCAATAACGCAAATTGTAGCAAGCTCCCCGTATTGTAAACAACAGTTGGGGGGCTACTGGTGGGGCTTCAAATCTCAGCGCAGTTATGCACGTGGCAAGCGGCCGAGATCATCCCATTTTTTTCCATCGGCAACTCGGGATCACTAGGAACGTGCAGAACGCTGTCGTCGCCTGGAGATGAAAGCAATGTCATTGGAGTAGTTGCAACAGACTCTAAAGATTTTCTCTTCCGTTAAAGCTCGACAGGGCCTTCGCTTGACGCTCGAATTAAACCGGACATAGTGGCTCATGGTCGACCTGGGGCTAACCAGCAGGCTTTGCCCGCGAATTTTCCCCATCCAACGGTCGTTTCCCACATTTTGGACCCATTTATCTCTGTCCCTTATAGATATTAATAAATAGAAAGTGAGCAAATTGCTGCAACATTTTTGTTTCGTTTTGCTAAAAATAGGTTGGTCAGCCGTGTATATATATTTATCCATCGCATCCACCAGATCACTCTTTGAAATTCCTCTAATAATGGAACCAGTCGAGCACAACAGATCACAAGTATTATTATCTCCTTCTCGTCCATGCTCGCCACGTCGCAGCAGCCCTTCGACAGCGTTTCACACCCCTTCCCACATGGTCTTTGAACCTCCATTACTACGTCGTGACGCTAGTAGCACTTCTTTGCATTTTACCAAGCAACAACAATTACCACCTCCACAAGTGTCTGATCTTGAAATGTTGCCGACAAAAATAGCTCTCAATACAAAATCTCCACCTTGTTACTTGCCGTATGGTACAGCGCAATCATCGACTGAGTCCTTTCATCGGGACGTCCGTCACCCGCTTTCTAATTGGAAGCAAAGTATAAAGGACGTTTTGCATGCTGCACCTTGTGTGGTCATTGCAGTGCTTGTAAATCTGATGATTTGTGTCCCATTTGGATTGTCCTTTTTTCCTGTTGAGTGGACGGATATTCCTGTACCACACGCTCTCGGTATTCAAATGTTTCTCTTAACATCGGCCATTTGCCAATTTACATTTGTTGGACTGAGTAATTTTGATGGAGCAATTTGTCAAATGATGGTCGAAAATGTGCCATTCATGCACACGATTTCCATGGCAATTATTCAAGAATTAGGGCCCAAGAATCCAAGTGTACTGCCAACGATTCTAGTCACGTATGCATTGTCATCAGTTGTGTGTGGTGCACTGTTCTTTGTGCTCGGACACTGGAAGCTTGGCAACATTGTGTATCTTTTTCCAAAGCATATTATCGTAGGTGCTGTGGGTGGCATTGGAGCATTTGTGCTACAGAGCGGAATTGAAAATGCTACGGGACGTCCATTTGACTGGTCTAGGGACAGCATCAAGGGCCTTTTTGACCACGATATCTTGTGGCTTTGGGTTACTTCGGCCATCTTGGCCTTGATCTTGTACTTGCTTGCACGCTACATCAAGTCGCCGTTGTTTCCGCCTCTCTTTTTCGTGTCTATTCCACCGCTTTTTTACGTGGCATTACTCATGTTGGGCATTATGACAGATTCAGCACGCGAGCATGGTTGGTACTTTAATCGTGCGCCAAACGCTGCTTTTTACTCGCTTTGGGAACAATATGATTTTTCGCTAGTGGCTTGGTATGTCATTCCGAGACAGTTTGGAACGATCGTTGGCCTCACGTTTTTCTCTCTCATGCACGTACCGATTAACATTCCGTCACTGAGTCTTACTATTGACAAGGAAGTGGATATTAACGATGAGCTAATTGCTCATGGTATTTCGAACACTTTGGGTGGACTTTGCGGTAGCGTACAGAATTATCTCTGCTACTCCACATCAGCGCTGTATTTTAAGTGTGGAGGCACTGGGCGTCGCAGCGGTTTCGTCATTGGACTTATTATGCTGTTCTTCTTCTTTGTTGGACCCAACGCTGTATCCTATATCCCGCGCTGCATGGCAGGCTGTGTCATGATGCATCTTGGACGGGATCTATTGAAAGAGGCGCTGGTTGACACATATGACCAGCTTGATGCATTGGAGCTCGGTACTGTGTGGGTTATAGCTGGGACCATGACGTTTTGGGGCATGAACCAAGGTCTAGCTGTTGGTGCTTTGCTTGCGTGTATGACTTTTGTGATGCAGAGTGCACGCACGCCGACTAATGCCCCAATTCGTGGAAGTATGAGTGCTGCTACTCTACGAAGCCACACATGGCGTACAACGGACGAATTGGACGTGCTAGACCGCGAGTGTCGTAATATTCATGTTGTACAGCTAAAGGGGCATCTTTTCTTTGGCAACGCCAACCAGCTTAGCGACTATGTGCACGATCTGTTCCAAGAAGGTCCTCGTTCCACGATGAATGGGGTGGAATCCGCACTTGAAAGTGTACTAAGTGATGATATTCGACCGCGACCGAAAATCTGCTGGCTTGTGCTGGATTTTACGTTGGTGGTGGGATTGGACTCTTCTGCAGCGGATCGACTCACTAAGATCAAGTATGCGTGCGATACACATAATTGCAAGATTGTGTTTGCAGCCGTACCATGCGCTTACAACAATTTTACGGAACATCTCATTCAACTGTTTGGTGACAAGGGGACGCTTCATATTGCATCGGATTTAGACAGTGCACTTGCGTGGTGCGAGAATGATATTTTGGGGAACGATATGGTGGACAAGACTCGATCTCCTGCAAGTTCGTGCACAGGAGACGAAGACGAGGTTACACATTTGCTTAATCTGCGACGATTTATGCCGGATCAGCCGCTTTCCGTACAGCAACGTTTGTTGGACTATTTTCATATTCAAGAAATTAACAAGGATGAAATCGTATGGAGACAAGGTGATACACCTGACCGGGCATTGCTTTTGATTGATGGAGCTCTTACTGCTGTCGTCGAGGAGGAAGCTGGTACAATGGAGACGGTCTCGATTGGATCAATTGTGGGTGAAATGTGTTTTTTAACGGGTGAAAAGCGCAAGACGTCGCTTATTGCAACGCAACGTAGTGTGGTTTATGTCTTGAATCGCCAAAGCTTTCGAGAAATGCTTGAGAAAGACTGTCACTTGGCTTTTCTATTCCAAGGCATTTCGTTACGGTATACATCATATCGATTACAATACGTTGGTAACCGGATTTGGGAAACAAAATGTCTGCCCATTTAAACAAAACCTTGTATGTCTTGAAATCTTTGCACCATGTATATTTACCATATCACCTCTATTTAATTATCACATAAACGCGACATAAAAAACCAAAATACACTTTTAAATGTTACAGCTGACCATATTTGTTACAAAAGTTAGGAGTAACATTGCATTTACATACTAAAAAACCCACTTTAGTGTTTTTTACACATGGCTACATTCTACCTTCCCACCCACGAATTACCATAAAACCCCACTACATTAACTAAATCAAGGATGGAACTCGGTCAACTACTGGATGGCAGTCTCTCAGGAGCTACGGACGTCCGTGAGCACAGTGAAGCTCAATTGACTCAAATGATGTATACTCGTGGTTTTGCATCTGATCTGACCAAGTTTCTCTTTTCAATGGAAGCGTCCAAGGTCCAACGTCAATTATCCGCTCTCTTACTGAAAAAAGTTGTAATATCTTGCTGGATCACGAGTTCTGAGCCACCAATGCAGGTGGATTACGTCATCAATGAACAAGAAAAATTACAAGTAAAGCACGTGCTTATCAAGGGGCTACAGGAACCACATCAATTGGAACGTTTTCGTGACAAGAAGCTACAAACGGCACTGTGTCTGATTCTAACAGCCATTTTTGAACGTGATTGGCCCGATCAATGGCTTGAGATTCTACCATGTATCATGGGAATGATTACTGGACAAAACACATTGCAAATTGACGTTGCAATCCGTTTCTTATCACTTGCAGGTGGACATTTTTCAAGTGACCATTGCTGTGAACTGGTGACGTCTGTAGTTCCACATTTACAGCAAATGTTTGTAGTACTTGGTGGTCATGAGTTTCAAGCTGGTACAAGGTCCAGGATTGTACGGATTGTACAGAATACTCTACTCATGGTTGGAATGGAAGCGCAGGTAGGCAATGCTACGGCAATGCAGCTCCTCCATGAAAATACGACGCAGTGGATTGGATTGTTTTTAGCAGAGCTAGCTAGACCAGTACAGAATATTAAGGACTATTTGATCAAGATTCAGGTCTTGACGACACTCGCGAGCTTTGTGCGGGAATGGCCCAAGGAAATGTCAGACTTTATGCCGCAGATCATGCCTCAGGTCTATGGACTTATGCTGAATGATGCTGATGCGTATGAACGTGATGTGGTGTTGAGTGCTTCAAAGGAGGAAGAAGGGTACGATAGTGATGGAGAGGGTGCACTCATTGGCAGAAGTGCTATGATTGCTGCTGCTTTAGAGTTCGTGCGTGGTGCTGTCCAGACCCCGACCAAGAAGACACGCCGGCTAATTGTTAGTGGACTGGCCGATTTTGTGTTTGTCATGATTGGGTACATGCAGATCACGGTCAGTCAAATGGAGTCGTGGCAGGAAGATCCAAACAAGTACGTTGCGGACGAAGATGACGAGAGCCTGGCGTTTAGTGTGCGAAATGCTGCTACAGACCTTTTGACGGAGCTAGAGGCTGTGCTGGGACGGAAGGCTGTGGTGGCTGCTCTTGATGCGGCCCAAAGACGCCTGAAGGCTGGACATACGAACAACTGGCGGCTTCAGGAAGCAGCGTTGCTGGTTGTGGGATGTGTGGCCGTGTCGACACTTGATGCCATTAGCAAAAATGCTGCCGATATTTTCCAGCTACTGGATCTCTCCTCTTTCTTGCAAACTCTGTTCAAGGTGATGAACGGGAGTTGCCAGGAGATATATCTGCGTGCAAGAGCCCTGTGGTGTGCAAGCCGCCTTACAAAGGGTATGAACCAAGAGATGCTAGACGCGTTCCTTCAGGTGGCGATTTCGGGACTCGAGCAGGGCCAGGTCTTCCCTGTTCGGATGTACGCTTGCCGTGCTATTGGTGCTATTGTTCGCAACGACAGAGGTAAGGCTCAGCTTAAGGAGGCAAGCGTCGTTGTCATTGACCGGTTGATTAGCCTAGCTGAGCAGTCTTCCCGTGACACGCTCCACATTACTCTCGAGACGTTGGTTGTAGTTTTACAGGAATTGGAAGGTCTCGCTCTTGAGTCAGCGCAACGAGTTGTTGCTTGCTTCTTGCACCACTGGAGCCAGAATTTGAACAACCCGCTGATTTCTGAACTAATCAACGGCGCCTTTGGAGCGCTTCTTCAGCTCGATAATACTGCTGTAACGGTGACGGTCCACGAACAGGTCTTGCCTGTCATTCATTCTATGCTTGTCCAGAGTGTATCTGGCAATGGTGTGTACATTGCTGGTAGTACAGTGACTATTCTAAAGACACTGCTTTGCCACTCTTTCGCCTTAAATGCGTCCATTTCGACAGGCGGTGCCAACCCAGTGATTCAGCAACTTGGAGCGCAAGTTGTTCAGCAAACCTTTGAGCCACTTGTTATGGTGCTAGGCGCTGTTGAGGACGAGAAGGTGCTTAACGCTGGTTCCGAGTGCTTAAAGTGGCTTGTTATGTTCGCTGTGGATCCTCTGGCGGCGTATACTACCGCCGCTGGTGAAAACGGTATTGACACAACGTTGTCAATCTCCGCAAAATTGTTGTCGCCAGTTGTCTCCGATGCAAGCGCAACTTGTGTTGGTGGCCTAATTACTCAAATCTTGCTGAAGCTGGGTCCCAGTCTGCCAACTGCGACCGTGCAGTCAATCCTCAATGCCGTCTGCGCTCGACTTGCGGCAACAGAGTTACCATCCCTGGTGCAATCTTTGTGCATGGTGTTTGCTCGCCTTGTTCACTCGCATGGCCATGAAGTTCTAAACGTGCTGGAACAGTTACCGCCTCCGGCAGGCCATGACCAGGCTCCGAATATGCTGGCTTTTGTCTTCCGAACTTGGATTGAGAAACAGCAAGATTTTTACGGACTCTACTGCGTCAAGGTGACTATGAGTGCTTTGCTCAAAGTTGTCGAGTGGAATGACTCTCGAATCAATTCCATCATTGTTACTGGAAGCGCACTCGACCCGACTAGCGGAGGAGCCACGGGTATCCAGACTCGATCGAAGGCTCGAGGCACACCTGCGAGTAGCAAGACGCAGTACATGAGGGTACACTTTTTGACAAAGTTTGTTGTCATTCTTGCGAAGACAATGTCGAACTTGGCTGAGGAGGAGGAGGAGTGGGAATCATCTGACGATGATTCGTCGGATGCAGAAGGTGAAGACAGTGCTATCTCTTGTGGCGGTGGCACATCTTCAGTGTTTGCACCTGCAGGTGAGTTTGTATGTACACAAGGAGCTGACCAACACCCAGCTAAATCTTTTGTTGCGTGAAACGAACAGAGGACTATAAGCTTCTCTCAGATCAATTGGATGACAGCGACGCTGTAGAGACTCATGAGGGTGAAGAGCCTGAGGAAGAATTTGAAGCGTATTTTGACTCTTTGAACGAGGTCGACCTGAAGGTTTGTCATCCTTATTAGGTTTTATATGCGATAAGTGTTGTTTATCGTATCACACTCTAACGACTTCATCGCTTCTTTCCTGCTAGGGCGCAATACCTCAAGCTTTGCAACATATCATGGCCGACGCGAACGTGCTTCAGGCCATCATGCCGGAACTGACGGCTACGGATAAGGAAGAGCTTGCTGCTGTGTCGGCGTTTTCGTCGTACATCGGACAGCCATGGTTTCATCATTTTCATGTGTTGCGCAGTGCAACATCCTGTTAAAATCTCAGCTGTTTGAACGTTTACAACCGGTTCAATCATCTTCCTCTTTGCTTGTCCATCGGAGCGTTGCGTGGACTTTTTTTGCTGTGCAGTACGTGAAGGCGACCGAGTTGGCAAATACTGGCGAGCTTGAAGACAAGCTACAAGTGGACATTCCCGTCCATCACCAGCAGTGTGCACTGAATGGTATTGTTGTGATTAGCCTTCGTCTCGTCGTGAGGTGGCAGCCGGAAGGCCAAGACCTATGGAGGGAGTCTCCTTTGTTGACGCTCTGCTTGCGACTTGGTTGTCCATATATATTCTGCTGGCAAGGTAAGAACGCAGCATTGCTGTGTGTACTTCACGTTTTCTTGTTACTCATTGACGTTGAATTTGTTTGAACGCTCAATCGGAGGACACGTTGATGTTAGTTTATCGCTCGATAGGAGGACACAAGAAGTCGCTCGACCTTTTATGGTATTTTTCTTGTTCTTTTGCACTACTACCTCAAGTATCATCTATCCATGCAAACATAGCCTAAGAAATAGCCTCTGAGTACAAGATAGCAAAGGTGGCGACTGGCTTATGAGCAAAGAAGAAGATGAAGAAACAAACCAACACAATATTTTCTCATCTTCCAGTGCATTTGTTTATTGTTTCGTCGCCATTTGGTCCGTTGACGGCACACAAAAGGAATGACGTCATCTGTATGTAAGCACTTGGCACGTTGAGAGCTTCAAGCTTCATCATCCTTGTGTGAGTATTGCTTTTTGCCACGAAGTTGCATCTCTCCAATCATCTCGAGGTTCTTCTGGACAGCATCAGCTTCCCGTCTTTGGAAAAGCCATTGGCCATCACACTTGACCAGTACATCCGTCCATGTGACGACCATGACAGGGGTACACTTCCAAAAGACGGTAGTATGGCTTGACACTTTGGCATTGTCAGTGTCCAATAGCTCAACGACATGACCACTGGGTAAATGACGCGTTTCAGTCACAAACTTGAGCTTGGCCAATTCCTGTAGCGCTGCTTCAATCTCACTTTTACCCGTGCAGATACCACCCACAAGTTCCTCAAAGAATGTAGCGTCATCTGTAAAAAGTGACAATAATGTCTTTACCGATAAATCTGCATTCTCTAACGAGTAAGCAAAGGCAAACTTATTAACGAGATTAATAATCGCTACGATGTCACTCATTGTATCTTGTGAAATTTACAAGTCCGATCTGAAAATGACGAAAGGAGGGAGGGGAGTCCCCAGCCACTTTCGCTCGATTGTGGACGACTGACTGACTGAACGTTGAAAGGGTTGAATTAGGTACGAATTTGAAAAACACTGGTATTGCTTGTATTGCAATGTAACAATACCATCGTGCTGGACACGGAGGTCGCATCGTGCTGGACGTATCTAGACGACTACACGATAGAGACTTGACGATGATCGAGTTCCAAGCTGCGTTTTAATATTCCTGTCTTTTTGTAGTTCAACAAGTACCATCGTGCTGGTAGAATATGTGTCTTTAATATACGTTTGGAAATTTCGAGGTCTTCGATGTTCACCATGCTGAACATATGCGTAGGACTTGATACATGAAGCTTTAAGTCAAAGCATTTTTACATTGTTACAACATAGAAAACGTCGACTACTTGGTAGCGTCTGTCTGTATGCAGAAAAAGGTGAAACATTACGATCAACGGCTTGATAAATTCACTGACTTGCTGGACTTTTGAGACTCCAAGACTTAGTCAGCCAAGAAAGAAGACTTGAAACGTGCAGCATGTAAATACGATGTCCATGTATGTATGTACCGCTTTCTCCCTTTGCTCGTGTACTCGCCATACTCTTGAACCACAGCACTTCGATTTGCAACTCACCTTGTATTCATACTGCAAGGACACTTGCCAATTGCTGCTCAATACGTTCGTTTTTTTTCTTCCACCAGCGTTTTATGCTGTATTCTTTTCTTCAACGACGGCCTTGGCAGCATTAAAACTCCTGGAAACCTTCTACTTCATTACGCCATTCTTTAGTCGCCACAGGCTGTCGATATTAACAATGACTTTCTTCCTACCTAGCAATGTTTGTCGTCCATTTTTCATGGTACTTTGAATCGCTCCATCTCTCAAAGGGTCGGCGGTCACACGATCATATAATTAAACCAAGTCATTGCCAATTATAGGCCTCTTACCATTCTAAAAGAGAAAAAAAAGAGACTCCAGTGCGACCTCTTGAGCTTTATTCCTTCTCTTTATCATCTTGTGAGCATCGCAAGTCACTCACGTCACTTGGACGATCGATTTCTTAGCAACTTGTAGTGACTATTCTGTTCTGGGATTTATATCAACGCTAAAGCCTTTCGTTTCTGGCACTTGTACTACCTGAGGACCTAATTTAGCCACCATGGAATCCCCATCTGGAGACGAGAAACTCCTGAACGTATGCGTCACCAAGTCTATTGAGACCACACAATCTCTTCATAGCGACAACACAACGTGGAACTTTGTGCAGATGAATATGACGCTGCTACCGATTGCTTGCCCACTACCGGTTAGTATCAGTTGTAGAGTTCAGGAAGGAGCGGCATTGGTAGGGATAAAACCTTCTACGCCGACGCAGAAATTGCATCATCGACTACGCCAGCATACGACCAATATTAGTCCCAGAAGACATGATCAAGACTGCAACAATGTGCGACCATTGGCTATAACATCGTCTCATCAACGTCACGTCAGTCGAGGACTTCCTCCGACTCCGAGATCGGCTTCTGGATCGAAACGAAAGCTTTCAGAAACTTGGCATGTACCAGCTACTGACACTTCGATAACACCATTGGCAGGGAGTGTATCGACACGAATGCGGAGCTATAGTGAAAAATTGTTTACTCCAGCATTACGAAGAGACAGTAAATACGCTAGCGATCTTGTGAGTCAAATGCCATCGGGGTGCAGCCTGCTGGATCAAAATGCTAGGCGATTTTCAGGCTGTGCTGCCAAAGGTCTGTACAAAGGAAAGAGAATCCTGGAGCTACAGGATGAAGATCGTAGATTCTACCCAGACGATCGAGGTACGGCTCTATTGCCGTCCAAGCGGAGCAAACATCAATTGTAAACTCGTGAAAGTCGACTTGAGCTAATGCCACTTGTCCGGATGCTGATGCTTTCATCATGCATCTCCTACTTTATTACCCTACGTAACACGCTTATCATTGACTCTTTTCTCAGGGCATTGCTATCTTAGTGGTGAGGTGACCTTTCATTTACTATATAATCTATCTTGCATATTGGTGCCACCTACAACTACAGGAGTTTTCACCGGCACTACGTTCTACATTAGTTGCATTTTACATGTTCACGACCATGTGTCATCGCAAAGAGCTACAGAACGGCCGCATGAATAACCTTTTGCAAGCAACGCCGATATCACGCCAGTATTCTAGCTGCTTGTTGTCATAAAGAAAACAATAGGACACCAGTTTGGGCTGGACAATCATGCGCTTGGTCCAATGAGGCAAACCAAATAAATACGATGTCAACTTGTTTGTTAAGGTACTTAAAAGCGTCTTCATGCTTCAAGACTTACGAACAGTGAGGACTTCTAATGCGCCAAAAGCGTTTTCAACAAGTGTCATTAGCACTTGTTCAACTGTTCATTCGTCACAATTGGTCCCATTGTTACAACCAAATTCGTTCGATTCTATGACGTTGTGAATACTTGATCAGATCAGTTGGCTTGGCATATCCGAGTTTTGGTATGCTGTCCAAACGTATACAAAGTAAACGACTACAACATCCTTCAACTGATCTGCTTTGGAACACAGTGCATGATGAGGATAGTAGATGGACGAGAAGTAGCGGCTACTATTCGTCTTTTATGTTAGTAAAGTTGAAGGAGCACATTTGTCAGACTCAATGCATTGTCTTGATAATATCCCATGCAGGGCTGCAGCTATTTTGCTAGCCACTATAACATCAACTAAATTCTTTAATGGCATGTCTATCGACACTGAGGTGAGACCGCAATTGATCAGGATCATCATTTTTTCTCCAAATTGATCAAAGATTCTTCTCGTAATAGTTGCAAGGCACTGCGTTTTCATTGCATGGCATCTGCTTCAAAGAGACAATGGGCGTGAAATGGGCACTGACTTTCATACTCGATAAAAATATCGTCATCCGTCGCTTTCCTGTTCTGGTCACTACAGCGTTATGCTTTTCCTCCAAGTTTACCACCGTGGCCTCCAGCTCTTTCAAATCACTTCGTCAAGTGAAGTGACGATGTCTTCGTTATCACTGTCAGGACCCTCGCCATCTTCACCACTCTTTGCAGCGGCATATGCTGCCAAGTCAAACTCGATTGTACTGTTTCGAGCTGATTCGTTCAAAAACTTAATATCGTTGCGAGGAGTGTGCTACATTGGCTTACAGCAGCACGCACGTGAGAGTACTAAATGAGCTAGCATCACAAAGCAAGCACACGCGATTGACTGCATTAGCCTTTAATACATTCTTCTTGGACATATTTACCACGCAATTCATTAAGCGCCACGCATGAGACTTGAGTTATGTTCTAGCCTTCGCACCATTCATCTTATGCTCCAGATAGAAACACGAACATTTTATAATATGCTGCATGTTTTGCTCAAACACAAGCATTTTTAAGAAAAGACTGGAAGCAGAGAAACTGACTGCAATGCCAGGGCTTGAACCTTTGCCTGTACAAGCAAAATAGACCTGATCATGCACGATAGAAAATGCATCACTAGATGCCTTCCCGTTAGTGTCGGGTGTTTAAATGCGATATATTGCAACGAGCATGGTGTTTAGCAGACTTCAGTAGGCAGCCTTTCTGTATATCTGTCACGTACAACATATCGTCTCTCTGTTCCACTTGACTACAATATTGACTTGGACACAACGCCGGATGATTCAATATGCATTCCGAGAAGTATAAATTTGCACAGAACATTCTTTGATTGTCGATTTTGGTGTGCATTGACATGCGCAAGGAAAGACGATTAGATGACGTCACAGGACGTTCCTCATTCAAGGCGAGCTGCCAAAAAGGAGACTATATAGTTTTGGACTAGCTGCCAAACAAATTAATGTATTGTTGAGGACTGGCTGCCAACGAAGAGACGTCAAAGCAATGAATAGCTAGATGCAGCGCTTGCACCTTTACTAGTACGTAAGCTTCTAATTACAAATCACCGACTATTTGTTACAAGCTGCAATTTCTTCATCCAACTATGACAATATTGTACATCGCCAACGATCCCAATAAAACACGCTGCGGGTTGAAATTTACAATAATGTCATGAGCTAAGGATGCATGGAATGATAATTTCTACTTTGAGGAGTCTGATTGGTAACTTGTTTGGCGTGTTTCACTATTTCGTAAAGTCAGTGGCTTTGCCAATCACTTCGCAGGGAACAGTCTAGAGATCTTCAGTTCAAGGTATAATAAGTCAAGCCTTAGATAAAGCCGATGTTTAAGATGAGCAAGTAGGTACATTTATTTCTACATGTGTAGATATGTACATACACCTTTCGAGTGTCTTTGAGGTTGATGACAAGTAGCTGCAGGAGCCATAACAAAATTTCATTCAGTTGCATACTACCTCTATGCTCTTGAGTCGCTTTGAAAGCTGATCTTTTCCTTGAAAAGACTGTCCATGAAGTTTTGTCGCTGATAAAGCCAGCGATGCATTGCTGTTTCTGGTAGCTATTATTTGGAATGCTTACGCGGTAAGGATAAGGCTCGTAACTCTGCCAGTCTGAGCAAGCTTGACAAAGATTGATTCTACACAATGTTCGTTATGTCTGTCTTGGACTGACACTAACTAAGGAGTTTATCCAAGCCACGCACTCTTAAGTCATTTAGGAATGCTGTAGCCGAGCTGCACCGCGCCAGGTGGATGGCTCCCGCGCTTTCTCTTTTTTTGCTGGCACTTTTTCCTCAGGGTGCCGCTCAACATTCTGCATGCAGTTGCCTCAAAAGCTTGACAGTATCTTTTTTTCTTGTATTTTTACTATGCGCTTCTGGGCTGATCATTAGTTGACTTGCAGCACGTCGGATTGGAGACATTTCGCGCAAACGGCCCTTATTTGGAACAAATACTGTCTGTTTGGCAGGACTTAAGGTTTACTGACCCAGACTTTTATAGTGCAATGTCTTGCTGCAGGCGCTTGGGCTCAAAATGCAGAAGGACTTTGTGACGTTGCGGCTACTTACGCTACACCTGTTGTAGTGGTCGACATTACAATGCAGACTTTCTACGGCTTCTCCAAACTATACGTTTGGATCCTTTGATTTCTCCTCTTCCATGGTGGAAGCTTGGTATTGGTTGCCGAGCTTACGCTAACGGTCGGCTGGGAGTATAAAATATGGGCTGGGTTGCCATGGTATCCAGTTGTCACGGATGCAAAGCTCCGTCTTCAACACAATGTGATAGGGTTTCGATACAAGTATCGTTGGTTTATAGAAGTCACTATATCCTCACTTTGTATCCATGATTGCGACACCATCGAGTCTGCCATTCATTCAACTTGGGTCTGCCCTGCGGCTTGTTTTCAATGGGATTTTATTTAGCGGCCTTTGGAATTGTATCGATGGCGCTATTACCTAAACGTGCATCCTATTCCTGACTTTCTTACGGCTACTTCCGTCTACTACCATGAGGGTCCAGGGTTCAGGCTCCACCGGCGAAGGACCGAGATCTACCTTGGTGAAAGACCAAGGTCTACCAACGACAAATCCTGGGGTCAGAATTTACTCAGCTTGGTGGACAAAAGACAATGTCTACACTATCACTTATGGAACAAGTATGGCGTCACCACACGTTGCTGGAGCAGCCGCATTACCAGAGTTAAGTTATAGCCAGATTTGGGCTGCGTCGACTACCTTGACCGTTAGAGATGGAAACATCGTACACAATGCCTCGTTTCACTCATCCTGCGACAACACTTCTGTCTTTACCTTTCCGAACAACATATTTGGCTACGGTGATGTTCGGCATGCTATAGCGGTTATTCTTTCGAATAAAAGCACTTGCGAGTAATGGATTTCATTTGTATTGTTACAAACAAGCTTTTTCCTCACCTTCAACGTCGTCGTATGATTAGTCAGCTATTCCGAGCAGTCGCTGCAAACAATCTTGTAGCAAATACGTACGATAGCATATGGTTTGCAGTAAACATTGAGGAGATAGCAGGCTTGCTTCACGTTCTCTACAACAGCGGCCACGGTACTCGATTGTACTGATGCAGCTAGGACCCCCCCCCACGCTTAATTCTTAAAGCTTCAAGTTGGCTTGCTTTTTTTAAGTTGTACTTGTCCAAAAAATTCGTAAAGTCAGTCCTAATACTTCGCAGCGTCGGGTTGTCATCAACCATCTTTTTCGTTATCTCGAAATTCCACTTTGTATCCGTTGGGTCTGATGCACTAAGCAGATATAGCATATACCCATTCTCTGTTACCATATTCGAGCGAGCCATCTCTTCAAAATGTGATTCTTGCACTGCAATCACGTGTCTCACCAGCGTTTTTGAACTGCCTTTCGTGTGAATTATTCTGTCAAAATTCACCATAACGTCTAGAGCGTTAAATTTTGTTTTTAGTGTGAGCCAAAGCTCGTTGTCTCTCTTATACTTAGTTTCGGGACTCGTACCTTTGAACCTTGTTCTAAACACGGTGATCAAACGATCAAGAGAGTTACTTGCAAAAAACTGATCGACATTCTTCATATCTTTAAAAACCAAAATGGTATACAAATCGTCCGCTGATTTCCAGAAGAGCAGTTGAAGCCGGAGTTTCAGGTCCAACGCCAATTTGGTGACCAAAGTCTTTGTAAGGGCAGGCTTTTCATTATAGTCCATTTCGAAAGGACGCCATTCATGAGAAGTTTTATCAAGAAAACAGAGGTTTTTCTTCAAGTGCAGCGGGTCTCGAAAACAAACCTCTTGTTTCATAGTCATCGGCATCGACACTTGTCGTCCCGGCGGCTTTGGACCCCAGATGATGAGTAGGCGAAATACTGTTGCGAGATACATTGAGTAAACTGAAAGTGTTTGGCATGCTGATAGCGTTCTTAGGTAGCGAGTCGGTATCTGACATATTTGCGGCTGCGCAACATCCAAGTAGAAATGTAAAAAAAAAAGCAGCTTGATACAAGAAAGCTTGGCTTTGCTATTCTTGGCACCCATGCTGGAGACGGGAGAGAACGCGCTATTAGAAATGGAAGTGTAACGGTGTGTATTGTACATACACACCCGCCACACCAATGTGGTGTGGCTATACGCTGGGTACATAAGTAGGTTCGATATGACCGTACCTAAGGTACGGAGGGTAGAGTGCGACGTGGTCACTATACTTATTTTAAGTATAGTGACTTTACATATTTGCATATTATTATGCTACAGAGCCTGTAAATTGTGACTAGCACTAAGTATAGAGTAGGTGCTTCTATATATAGTGCTAGTAGATAAACATAAATATAAATCAGTATCAAAACTGCTCTATAAGCATCACTGCTTGAGCGTTCTCTTCTTTGAAAGACAGGAAGTAGTATCCTTGGTACTAGTCTCTTAGAGACACGGTTGTTCACAATTAAAAGGCATAAGCTTACGAGCTAGCCTACGAGGGTTAAACACCCTAAGACGTAGAAGCTCTCTGAGCTTGTCTTCCTCTGCACATAGTGCATAAGTAGCGTGGCTACAGTAGCTTAGCTACACCTAGTAGCACTTGTAGTCAATCCCGCACCTGGTTTGCGACTACTTCTCTGTGTGAGAATGGACATCGATGAGATTTCAGCGGGTGGCCTGTCAAAGACACAGCAGGAATGGTTGCAGAAGCTGCTCCCTATCCTTGGCCTTAAGGGCGTGGAATACCTCATTCCCAGGGCGAAGGAGAGGTTAACAAGCGTAATCATATACTTGATGAATATAACAAAGCTCTAGTCGAGCATGTAAAGTCACAGATGCCTTCTTCTTCGCCTTCGCCCATGGCGACTATGGCGCAGGAAGTGGTCCGCCGACCAAAACCCATACAAATGGAAGTCGATAAGTTCGACGGCAAAGAAGGTGACAGCCTTATGCTTTGGTTCCGACAGGTTGAGTCGGCTATGTTTATAGCCGACATCACCTATGAACCATACCGTGTTGGCTTTGCCACGGGTAAGCTGGGTGGTTAGCCAAACAGTGGACATTCACATGCGGTGCATCATTGCCAGATGCATTTCCCACATGGCCGATCTGAAAGATTAGATGACCCGGCAGTATGCACCGCCAAACCAAGCACACCGTAATCAGTCGCGGTTTTTGGCGTGTCGCCAAGGCAAGCGTGAGCTTGCGGCATATGTACAAGAGTTGAGAACTCTCATTGCTGCCATGGTCATAGACCCTATGCCTGAGGCAGTGACCGTCACGGTCTTCATGGATGGCCCCCCGAGTTGGCGTTGCCAGAACGGAAGTCTTTCGGGTAAACCCGTTCTCATTTGAGGAAGCTGTTGGAGTGGCATGGAATGCCAATACCAACTGTAAGACCGCTAGGCCTGCCACTTATAACTACTCGTCTGATGGGTCTGTACTCATGGACTGTAGTCAAGTGGAGGATGAAGAAGCTAAGCTTCAAGCTGCAGAGCAGCAAATTGTGCGCAGATGCTATGTCTGCTAGAGCACAGGCCATTTGATGGCAAAATGCCCTGCAAGAAAGGCATATTTGGTCTCGAAGGCGGGGCGCTCTACTGGGGAAGAACTGAGTTCTGTTGAACCAGGAGGTAGAAATAAACAGGGCCCAGCCCCAAAGAAATTCGAACTCTCAAAATCGGAATGAGAATGCAAGCCAGGCTTGCTAGTCGTCAAAGGCTACTTTGGAATCATCAAGCTAATGAAGAAGTGCATCAAGGTGGTGCAAGGCGTGCGAGGAGGGTCCGCAAGGGTCGACAGACTATTTGGGCTAAAGATCATTATGGTACAAGGTCGAAGACCTTGAGTCAACCAAAAAGCACCAAGGACGACACCTCGGCGGAAAACCGTGACGTCGTGAATGTCGTCATCGGGCAAGATTCCAAGACATTGTGGCAAAGCATTGTAAGGCAAGCATCGTGAACAGTGGCTGGTGGACATGACCGAAGAGCTGGATGCCTTGAAGCCGAACGATGTGTGACAGATGGTCGTGCCACCAAAAAGGTGCACATGTGCTGCACAACAAGTGGGTCTACAAGACCAACACGGATACAAACGGAACATCGAGCGGTACAAGGCTCGGTTAGTCGTGTGCGGAAACGAACAAGTTTTTAGTGTCGACTACAATCTGACGTTTGCGGCAGTGATGGATTTGGCGACCGCCAAGTTGATTTTGGTGCTCTCCAGAGGATGATACGTTGCGGCACGCCATGGTGACGTGCCGAATGCGTACGCGAAAGCATAGAAGGAAGAGCACCTGGATATCTATATGAAATACCAAAGGGTATGCAAGTGCCTGAAAGAGAGATCGAAGGGGTTGGTGTGAAGCCTTCCAGGGAAGTTGCACTACTTTTGAAGAAATCTCTCTACGGCCTAAAACAAGCTGGACGACTTTGGAGCAAACTTCTGCATCAAAAGCTAATCGAGGAGGGTTTCAAGCAGTGCACAACGGATGTGTGCTTGTACGACAAGCAGGAAGGTGACAGTTGGACCGTGGTAGGAAGTACGTGGATAACCTTGTAATCACTACAACGAAGCAAGGTGCAGTCGATGCTATCTTTGCTGGATTGTAGACGCTATCGATCAAGGCCCTAAGCGTTGTGAAAAAGTTTTTGAGACTCTGGATCTCGTTGAATGATACCCATAGATGTGTCTTGGACCAAGAAGTGATGATTGCCATCCTTCTAAGAGATTTCAAGTTGAAGTACGCGAATGGTGTAAGGACGCCAATTGGGGATGATGCAGCGAGGATGACATGGAAGAGTCAGACTTCTAACCTGCAAGCGGTGCAAGTGTTGAACCAAGTTTGTGTTCGTTTAAGTCATTGGTCGGAAGCTTACTCTGGATTGGAAGGTGCACCCGCCCCAACATTTGCTTTGCGGGGCACAAGGCTACGCTCTAAACGCACAAACCAACCGTTAAGGACTAGAAGACACAGAAACGTATCACTCGATATTTGAAGGGATACAAGAGCTTGAAGATACACCTCAATGGCGTCGGGCAGACTGAGGATGAGATCAAGATTGAATGTTGGAGCTGACAAGGCCGACCGTAAGTCGGTGTCTGGGTGTGCTCTAACTATGGATGGTGCTGTTGTACTATGGTCATGGACGAAACAGTCAGGGGTGTCACTAAGCATGATGGAGGCGGAGTTCATATTCGCAGCTCAACCGTTCGTGAATTATTGGGCGTGAGAGAGCTGCTATGTGAACTGAAGCTTCGAGTGTGCGAGCCGATGCCTATATGAGTGGATAATCAGCGTTGATCAAGCAACTCGTAGCGGAGAAAAGCACCTCAAGCACAAAGCATGGGGACATCCATTTTAAGCTTATCAACCATCACGCACGTGAAGGAACTGTGATTACAAGCTTCGTGAAGTTGGAGAGCATGATGGCGGCCATTTTCACGAACTCGTTGTTCGTTCCAGACATGGAAGAACTCTGAGGAATGTTCAACTTAAAAGTGACTCAGGCTGATGATGAGGAGGAGTGTTAGAAGATATTGTTTCTGACAGGTCATAGAAGCTTGAAGTGAAGACTGCAAGACAATGACAGGTAAAGGGCAGCCTCACCTAATTGGCTAAGAATGTGACAGGTGGGACCAAGACGTGATGTGGTGGAGTGGGTTTTCAAAACTGCGTAATGAGACCCCAAGCCACCCACTGTGCCGGACTGCCGACGGTCGGAGGGGGTACCCCGATGCCGCGTATGGACCTTCTCTCACCTTGTGTACCCGTCGGCAGGCGGGTTGCACTCTTCAGATGAATTGGTGGAGATCAGATGTCGGCCTTGAGAGAGGTCGACCTTGGGGTGTCTCGAGTGAATATACTTCACTCGGTAGGTTAGTAGGTGGCCACGCGGTCGACTAGGTCGAGGGTGGGCTCATAACTCAATTCTTCGAGGGAGAATCTCAGCCGTAGCCTTTTCCTTGATATCTCAGGGGTTTCAAACGCCTGACATTTACTTGCTCCTGATCCACTAGGGTAGGGAGACCGCTTCCAATAGCGGGTCGATTGGGGGGGGGCGCTACTCAGACAAACCCACAGGCCAAATATAACCTGGTGCTCTATTCACACTGGGTCGTGTCTGAGTGGCCGTAGGGTAATCAAATCTCTACCATGCAGTAAGGGCATCCGACAGCAGCTGTCGTAAGATACAATGCTGCCGCGGAATAAAATCGACGTTGGGACATATTTTTGGACATACCCGTGCGCGCGAGCATGCTGCAAAGGCTTGTCTGCCACTGGCTAGAGAGCGATGTGATCTGGGACGTCTTCAGGGCTTTCTAGCTAACAGCCAACAGCAAACAATGCAAGACGACGAGCACTAGAGCTATACACCGTAGTCCGTGACAAGATTAACCGTGCTTACCCCGACAAGGCGGCTGCATGGACGTATGGCGGCGCCTATGAATCATCCTGGGCAGCATATAGCTTGCTCGCTTACGGATACAATGAAACCGGGCAACGTTTCAGCAGGCAAACATGACCATCGTAGACAGCGCTCAGCAGTTGCGGAACCGACATGATGCAACTCCGTACAATCGGTAAGCGTGAGAGCCGATGCGTTGAAACGTCCATCAACGGCCCGCGTCTGCTTCTTAGTCAACGCATCATAGCACGGCAACCCCGAGAGCCAGCACCGCAGATGACTATCCCCATACAACAACCGAAATCGACCGAGCAAGCGAGGCTCAGAATCTACCAGACGTTTTATACACCATAACAACGTCCAATGGAATTGTCTGCCTCTCTCTAAGTCCGTCATTGCGGCGTTGTGTTTTTTCTTGATTACTGTACTCGTCGTTATAAACACCCTTTGTAAGAGAACCAGGCCGTATCGTCTTTTTTCAAGTGCATACTACGCCCTTTATTATACGTGTACAGACCAAATTTAAATTCTCTCTCGTCAGCTCATCTCCGAGATTTTCTGGAAGGCAAAAGGAAGTATCCATTCGGTAAATCGACAAGTCTCCGGTAAACTCTAGCATGTGCAATCTGATGGTCAGTATGGTGCTACTTTATCGAAAAAGAACTTCCTTTCAACTTCAACATGGCCAATAAAAAGGATCAAAGATGATGCGACAGACACGATTATAGATCAACAGGTATAATCATATTCACATAGTAGTAACCTGTATATTTTACTACATTTCCACAAACAAAATGCCAAAAACCTTACATTATCAAGATACTATCATTCCTAAATATTAATTCTCACAAGATACACGCTCAATACAAGGGTCTGTCAACTTTGGACCACACAATAGCAGCTGGCAACTATGCTCATACCAATTCGGTATACTGTTTTGCTTGCAGCATCATGTAGGTTACAATGAGATATCGTTGCCGTCCGAACACACAAGTGCGATGAAGAAGCACCCAATACAAGAAATGAGCAAGCGTGCTTCAGTCCAGTGAGGTAAAAAGCCCTCACTAAACAATACATGAAAGTATCCACTAAACTAGACTCACGCTTGATACAACGAGCTTCACAGGCATTGCATCTAGCCAACGCTCATGTGCCTTCAAAAAGATTTTGTCTCATCTTGTACCCAGATAGAATCGACAAGCATCGCAAACTTAGCGACTGCAGACGTGACGTCATTATGTCTGGTACGAGCTACAACTGCACTCACGTCATTATTTTGTTAACTTGTCCGTGACTGACTCATCCTCTCCGCCACTAGACTGGTCAATACCCAATCGTCGAGCCAATTCTGCATCAGACAGAATACTTGATGTGACACTTTTCATCGAAGTAGTCAAAGTCGCTGAATCGAACATAACGGCACTTGCATCAGCTACAGCAAACACACTGCTGTCGCTACGGCGGCGTTCATAAAATGTAGATGAGCTCTTCCTTGCTATTCTTGTATCACCAGTAGCATCGGGAGTGACTGTTGGTGATGATATCGAACCTGTTTGTAGATAAGCTAACGTAGTGTTTTTCCTTTCTTCTTCACATACTGGCACTGCCGAAGGCTGCTGCCTGTCATCGGCTGCTTGTTTGCTGGATCGTCTATAGCGAGCATACAGCTTAAGAACAAGATCCACCATGTCTTTCCTTTCAATACACGTAACATCGCTGTATCCAGCGCGATCAATACACTGCTTCAACTCCTTTATCGACATTTTGTGCACAGCCTCAATTGATATGCTCGGCTCCAGTGGATTCTTGTACAATTGCGATGATCTTTTGAGGTTTGGAGACAGTTTTTTATTCAAATCTCTTGATAGTGCTTGCTGTCGCTGCACTGGTGACAAATTAAAAGTCGACAGATCATCTGGTAGCGGCATGAGGCCAACCATAACTCGTAAGAACTGCAACGCTTGGATGAAAAAATTGAACGGACGCGGACTATTGTGACCTCCAGGAAACTTGAACAACTGATTCGGACCGTTGTGAAGTTTGTACAGCGCTTCACCGTGGTGTGGTCCCACTAGTTCATCTTGCAGGCCCACCACAAAAAAAGCAGGTACAGCACACTTGTGAACTTTCGCAATGGGCTTTAATTTAAACATGTCAAACTTGGCTCTCTTTCTAATGTCCCGTCGTATGAGCTTCATAATCAGTTTCACAGCAATTTTGGGCACACCAAGCTTTCCATCTTCCACTAGCTCGGTCGCTAATTTCGGTAAACTTGAAAAAGGCGAATCGAGCACCATCGCACTCACTGATGGATCCAACTCTGCATACAACAATGCCGCTACTGCTCCCATACTACGTCCCCAAAGACACAATTGCGAGGCTTCTTCCGTACTTTTTACATACTCAAGAGCTGTAGCAATATCGTTTCGCTCATGATACCCGAGAGACACGTACTTGCCCTGCGACATACCTGAGCCAGAGAAATCCAGTGCAAACACGGTAAAGCCTGCTGGTAGTGCGTACATGACAATTTCCAGAGCTCCAAGGCGACAGGAACTGTTACCATGAAGCACCACAATACACGGACGTTTGTCCAGTGTCTTTTCTTGATCATTTTTAAGCTTGCACGGCTTCCACCAGCTACATTCGAGTGTCAAGCCTGCTGAATTTGTAAGCTGTAGATCTACACGTTTCACTAACACATTTCCAATCTCTGTACTCTTTGGACCGAGCTCTGAAGGCGTATATTGAGCTCTCAAGGGCCGAATCACCGTAAGCACAAGACCTTCGTAGCCTTCTTTAATCATAGACCATAAGCCTCGACGATCACGCGCTGTGGCTAATACAAGAAGAAAAAAAAGATATAAAGATAATGCAAGCATATTAGTGTACATTAAATAGACATAGAGGTGAAGAAGGATAGATAGAAAGTAGCACGAGAACCTACCGGAATCGTCCATCATGGTTCAAAGTGTCGGGTTGACTGTCAAAAGTGATACTTTTCGACCAGATTTGAAACGTTTTTATCTAAATTGGGTACTTATCCTTGGTTTGTGTAGTTTAGCAGTATGTTTTCATTAAAATTGGGTAATCTGGTCAGTCAGTCTCTCATATGCAAGCAAAAGGTTCGTATAACATTATCAGTTTTTTAAGGTGGACTTCATGGCAGTCGTAGCAACTTTCTTGAATGGTTTGGCAAAATTAAGCGTGTGCTGTGACCAGAGTGTAGCTGTTAGGAGCACAATGGCACCGCATTGGTGCGACATAGCAAGCGGAATGGGCACACAATTGATCAGCGTGGTAATGCCCAGTAATACTTGACCACTAGCAGCAGCTAATGCCATATTCAGCGCGTTACGCGATTGTTGTGGCAGCTGGTTCCAAATGTGGCGACGGCGAGCTAAAGCATAGACACCACCAAAACCAGAGAGCGTGCTCAGAGCAAGAATACGGTGGTCCAGCTGCACAAGAGGCACGTTTTCAAAAAAGTTCTTGTACTGGGGATCGAGCGCAAACAGGTCGTCCGGAATCCACTGACTGTCCATCTTGGGAAAAGTGTTGTATGCCATACCAGCATCGATGCCAGCCACGAATGCGCCGGAAATAATTGTGAAACCGAGAACAGTAGAGACATGGCGCAGAATCGTGCGAATACGCGTCACTTGCTTTAAAACGTCCGGAGAGATCATCTCACGTGTTAGTGCTGAACGTGACGGAGGCGCGACCAGATTAAAGCCCGTCCACAATAGGACTCCCAACGATGTGAACGCAAATGCAAGCTATTAAAAGCAAATCAGCAATGCCTGTTAGTAGATTGACCCCTGATAGTTGCGCTTTACAATATGCGAATACGTACATGAGTGGCGAGACGGTAGGGGCTGACACGCACTTCGTTGCGCTTCTCCAGCTGCTCCTTGCCGTGCTCTTCCAACCCACTGCGCACCATCCACCAACCTATACCTCCTTGCGCCGCACCAAGAGCGAGCAGGATGCCAAAACGCTTGTAGAGCTCCCTTGGTAGTTTCTTGCGTAGCATAAAGTAAACTAGCGGCACCGTATAGACCATACCCACCGTACGACCGAGCATACGATGACCGTACTCCCACCAAAAGATTCGCTTAAACTCCTCCACCGTCTACGCAACAAAGTTTCATAACGTTACCACACGTTGCCTCATCAATGCTCAGCGCACCAACACTACCATTGCTACAATTTCGTACCATATTCTGGCGTTGCTTGTACTCTGGGAACTGCTTGTAAATTGCAAACTGCTCTTCCCACTCCTCCGGAGTCCTAGGCGGCAAACTGCCGTGAGGCTTCCACTGCACCATGGATAAGCCAGATCTCGTCAGACGGGTTGCACCGCCAACGGCAATCGTGCCACCGACCACTGCTGCCGTGGCAAAGATCCAGTACGCAATCGGGCGGTTGGCCGTCACGTTCTCAATTGAGGCTGTCGAAGCTGCAAACTTCTGTCACATTGCACACGAGACATTGTCAATATACTTCACAACCTTATCCGTCCACAGCAACAACATCATCATCTGCAACGACTCGAGACTATTACACACAAACCTGAGCTTTCATGGTATAGACGAGAGGTTGCTTCATCGTCCTAATTGCCTGAAGACCAGGAAACTGCCATAAAGACTTTGTATTGCAAGTGGACGATCTTACAGCTTTCACTATTGTTTGGTACCGGCTGCTCGTCAAGCCAAAACCTCCTCTCTGCGTCATTAGCATCAGTCAAAATCAGTCACAAGGTCAGGAATTCAGTACAATGTAGGACACTCTAGTCAGTGCTAAGGAAGTGAAACAACATACAGCAGTAGTAGCAGGATTAAAGCTGTTATAGACACGTAACTGCATGCCTCGTTGAACTCTCAGTGCCAGCATTATCTTCTTAGTGTACTGCAACAAAATTGTCGCTGTTCTTGATTAAGCACAAAGTGATTTGAGGCCATGAATGTCATGTGTAACCCGGGGTTTACAAGACGTGCACGTACCTTAAAAACGTACCCCCAAATAATGCTGAGATTTGGGTTGCTGAAATAACTTGGTTTCAGTATGCCACAAGTTGAAGTAGACTGCGACTACAAGGAATGACGTCATGCACACAATAATGCTTTATAGCAGACATGCATTATCTACTATAAGAGTTTGTAACTATGTTTCCCGTGATATATTTATACTACTATACAAATTGTGCTTGTGTGTTTATAGAATACACGACGGAATGTGTAGTATGTGAGTACTTCATAATTTACAATACGACAACCTTACCTTCATTAAAGCCACGTTGTACGATAATTTAGTGATGTAATTTACCTATGTCTTGTTCACTTCTTAAAATTATCACATGCAACAAGTCAAATATATCTTAGAATGTAATCGAATAAGGGTCATTATTACATTAGTCCCAGTCAAAATATCATGTTATAATTCAAATATTAGATAAAAGCTATGACGTAATTTGTAAAGAGACTAATGCGTACTCTTCATTGGTCGAAATTGACCTGATATTAACCAATCCGAAAGACACGTAACGAGAACAGCACTACTTCTTGCAGACTAATTGGTATCATCCCTTCTGCTATTGCGTAGTATTTGCGTTGTTCATCATCAATTAATGCTTCCTTACCTAACGACCTATCCGTTTCAAGCTCCCTTACGCGCGTCTAAGATTAGATATAAGCTTTTGCCGTGTATCATATAGTCGATGTGGATGTGAAGATACTCGTTGATGGGCAAAGGATAAGAAAAAATCAGCTGCTTTGCCGCCTTTGAGCTACCACTGAAGCAATCGTCTCTATGTAAATGCCTCAGCTCAAGGATTTGCCTGGAACAACAATGCATCGCTGGCTTTTTCGGCAACATATACTTCATGGATAGCCGATTCAGGGTGGAGCAAAGCTTTAGGAGCGCTAGATACTTCATGAACAGCCAATTTGAGAAAGAAAAAACCGAATCGGAAGACAAACTCATTCACAACCCTTACCTCAAAATTGTTGAGACTTCCACTTATCGTCGCGGCGTTGTTAAACCTTGAGTGCTGCTTAGCCAAGATGCTAGCATCGGATGCATTCAGCACACTAAAGGCGGTTGAGCTGTTGAGTGCATTTTCGGATATCAAGACAGTCGCAGTCACGCTTGTATTTCATCAACATCCGAAGAGGAGGAGGACAAAACACAAAAAAGCGCTGTTCTCAACAGTCCCTACAAACCAAACAGAAAGTACTAGTTTTGACTTGGAGGGAAAAGTGACTTGAAAGCTTAAACGTAAATATGCAACCGAATCAAATTATGTAATGGTTTCTGTGCTACTCCTAACTTACCACAAGGTCTTTGAGAGGATCATCAATGAAACATACACATGCAGAAATAAACCTACTCACTGATATGAAACATCGGGTTTTTCTGAAGCTCAACCTCTATACCTTGAGCTGAATTCCAGCAGAAAGCTTCATGTGAAGCGATTGGACAAGCACAAATTTCAAGAGGTAAACCGCCGTACCGATCAATTTCTTCACAGTAGGAACTATCATTCCGTACACTCTTAGCACATGAGCCAGACGCTAGATTGGGAACATTGGGAAAATATTGATCTCGATTGGGTAAGAGATTGGTCTTTGATCTCGCGTAAATCTTCCCGCGATCCCGAACAAAAAGCTGCCCAAGGAGAATAAATGCTTCAAGAAGAAAGACAGCAGCATGGAGAAGACGTTTCAAGCCAATGGGAATTCTAAAAGCTCAAATTTGGTCGAGGGCACGATCTCAAGTGATACCTTTCACGGAAGAACGGTGATGGTTATAAGGGCATGTGCTGTGAGTGTGACGAAGTCAGCCATATGTAGCGATCCTTTCCGGGTCATAAAGGCGGTAGCGATAGTGATGATATGTTTGCCGTGGGCGAGGAGCGCCTAAAAAGAGCCTGGCTGATCGACAGTAGAGCTAATCGCACATGACTACACACCGTTCTGACCTATTTAACTGCTTAGACAGTGGAAGTTAGCGTTGAAGTGCTATCGCCTACGGAAGACGTAAAGGGTTCATGGAGGAGGAACAGTGAAGTTAAACCGGTACTGACATAGGCGCATCAAGATAATGAACGTCTTGTATGTACCAGGACTCGAAGGACTCCTGCTATCGGTCCGACGACACGTGGACGCGGTTTGAACATTAAGTTCAAGCGCTTCTTGTGCGTATTTTTGCGTGGATACAGCGCAGTTGTTGTGAGTAGAAAGGTGTGCGGTGCAAAGGGCTTCTGCTAGACTGTCGGAAAGGGGCAGCACTGTTTGTGCTATTCTCTAGTGCAGAAAGTGAGTGGTAGCTATGGCACACCCGGATGGTACACCAAGCAAGTATTGACTGATCAAGACAGCGTTTCACGAATGGTATACTGGGGGGGGGGGGGGGTTTGAGAAGGAGCTCCAAAAGCTGTATTTCTTAGAGTCCTAACCCTCTCAAGGCTAGCTTGCAAGCTTATGCCTTTTAATTGTGAACAACCGCGTTTCCAAGAGAATAGTATCAAAAAATACAATTCCTATACGAAAGAAAACGCTCTAGCACTTGTGCTATTCAGAGCAGGTTTGATACTGGTTTATTTAATGTTTAACTTCTAGCACTAATTAAAAGAAGCACCTACTCTATAGTTAGTGCTAGTCACTATTTACTGGCTCTGTTGGCCTGTTATTACTATGCAAACATGTATAGTCACTATACTTAACAAAGTATAGTGACCACGTGCGATGCAACCCTTCGTACCATAGGTACGGTCACACCAACCTACCACTCTACCCAAGGTACAGCCACACCACAATGGTGTGGAATTTGTGTATGCACAATGCACACTTTTTTGTGTAACCCCGTTACACCCTACCCCACCAATCATTGGGGCCCGACATACCCACGAATTTTGAGCTTAACGTGGAGTTCTGACGATTCCTTTTCTTTCCATTTTGCTTGCCTCGCAATAAAGGGTTTCGCATTTTCGAACAAAGCTTCTGTGTTACGACACTTCCTCCTTGAGCATACAGTGCATTGCATTTACGTTAAAGCATTAAGTCAATTACGACGCTTGCTTATAAGGGTTAAGTGCCTAGCACTTGGTAATAATACCCATTAGTGTTTACAAACACTTGCTTTTACAGCATGAAGTGCCTAATACTTGCTTTTAAAGCATTCCAGTGTTTTAGACAGTTGCTTTATGCGTTTGAGCATTTAGTGTGTAACGCTTGCTCACAAAGCAACGTAGTGTTAACACTAGCTTATAATGCAGATTGGGTTCTAACACAAGCTTATAATGCAGATTAGGGCTTAACACTAGCTTGTAAAGCACATTAGTGTCTAACACTAGCGTATTAGCACCATAGTGTCGAACACTAGCTTATCAAGCACCGAAGGGTTCAACACTTGCTTATAAAGCACAT